ACTCCAAAATGTTGAATTGCTGTATAATAATATAGTACCCACACGTATATGATAGAAGAAGTACAGTAGTTATGTATGTTTATATTATATATGTGTATACAGAGTTACTACACGATCACATAGTAATAGGCGCCTAAATACAGCATGACATCACGACCGGCTCCGGTTAGGTACGACGTGGTAAGTTTTGAGCGTGTACCAAATTCAAAATAGATTTACGGTTAGCGCGAGTTACGCGACCCCGTTATTTCGGCCATTACAAATCGCGCTCACGACTTGCATCGCTAATATAAAATCATGAGTTCATTTACTTTTCAAAATAGCAATTAAATATTGACTCTGCAAATGTTTTAACTTTCATCATTAATGATATTGATATTGACATCGATATAAATAGATATTTATATATAGACATCCATATTATTACTCTAGTTCGGATTTAAATATACATTGTTTTATATACAATGGAAATTTATTGCAATGGAAGTTTTTTTTATCATCGATAACAAAGTTATACTCTTGTCTATTCTTCCTTTGCATTGTTCGAGCTTCGAGAGCAATTTATATGGGGTTACACGTATAAATATATACGTATATATATATATATATATATATATATTTGTAGATGAACACGATCGACCGGTACGGCGAATAAAATGAAGACGGAGTCTCGAGGGTGTGCCACGGATGTGAAACAACTATATGACTATACTATGAACGGCCATCCGTTCACCAATTTCTCAAATGTACTCTGAGTAATCGCTATCATGTTCTTTCTAAGATTTATTAGTGGTTAGATTTTTTTAAATTGTTTTTTAAATAGTTTTTTTTTTTTTAATTTCAAAGAAACAAATGGAGCTTTTTGTCACTCAATAGATAGGGGAAGACTACAAAAATTCACAAACTATTTTTCTTAGAGACAAATTTGAATTATTTGAATATTTTTAAATTTATATAGAATGCTTTTTGCAAATTTTTATTGCACTGGTAAAAAAAGAATGAATAAGTAATAAATTTGATTTTTCTATACCATTGCACGGAAAAATCAAAAATAAAAAAATTACATTATATGTCGTAACGTAGCGCTCCATGATGAAAACTGGAAAAATTACAATTTCAGATTGTAATTATTACAGATTTTATAAGAATTACATTGTAGAATGTAATATTTACATTGAAAGCTCTGAAAATTAACATTCAAAATTTTAGTTTAAAAAAATGTTATTTCAAACTGTAATTTTTATAGTTTTGAATACGACGGGACACTTATTAGTATTTATAGTGTAATTTTTTGAGTTTTATTTTTTCTGTGTGTATAAAAAATTTTCGTGCACAATTTTTTTTTTTTTACATTTTTATTTAGAAATTAAAATGATTTCATGGTGAATTCATTTTAAAGTCTTATTTATTTCACAATTTCAATTTTAGAGAAAATTCACGATGAAAAAAATTTTTTTTGGATAGACTGATAAAAATACTTGATTCAATTTATTAATTTATTTATTTTTTTTTTTTTTTTTTTTTTTTTATTAGTATGATTAATTCCTCAGAGCATAAAAAATGAAGTATAAAAAAATCATTGATTTTCTTAGCAGGAAGTTAAAAATTTTTTCAACCATAAATTTGATTGAATTTTTTTATTAAATTTTATTTCTAAAAATAATAGATATAATAATAATAATAAATCAAATAAAATTACTTTATATAAATCGAATGTGATTGGAGGCTGATAGACAGGAATTATAAAAATAAACCAACAATTTTCGTAAGCGGTAAAAAAAAACGTAATACACAAAATTAATAAATCATTTTTGAAAATAAAAAATTTTTTATAAAATCGAAAATTATTAAAAAATTAATTTCTGAAAAATAATCATTTGCAATTTATTTAATTAATTAATTTATTTATATAAATTCTCTGAAATAAGTCACCTTCCAATAAAAACAGCTTTAATTTTATATCACATAAAATTATGCTTAAAAAATTTTAAATAAATTCTCCAACAAAATTTTGAATCACAAAAGAGGCAAAAAAACATTTTTTAATCATTAAAAACATATTTACCGAGTAAATTATATTTCAGCTTCCGCACCAGCGGATTAAATTGAATCAAAATTTATTTGCAATGCGACTGAAAAGCACACCAATTAAAACCACTTAAAAAATTAATCATCCACCAATAAATATTTACAAAGGCATAAAATTAAATAACCTCAGAGCATAAATTAACCGGATGTTAAAGAGGAGGATCAAAGGGCCAAAAATAATGCTCGAATAAGTAATAACTGTGTGAAAATTAGGTAAATTTAACGATCGCACCTGGGTAAATTTACGAGACAGTGGGCAAGTGTACGTATGAGCAGAAGAATAAAGAAGCTCATACAGAATCGATAACCACACCTTCATACATATTTATGCTATGTATTATGTATTATGTATTATGGATGTATAAACTCTCGGCTTTTTAACTCAATCATTTAATTTGAGCCTTGAGCTTTTTATGCACAATAGAGCTCACTATTTCACCCAAAGGATCATTCAGCCGACATTTTATATTTAACATTATCCAAGTAATTTAACGTCCACGCAATCGTCAAACAAATAAACACCCTCCTGCAATTACTTTAAATATTTATCTCTATAATTCTACTTCTAATTCAGATTCGCAAAGTTAGCACACAGAAATATATATAAAGGCTCCAGCCGCTTGTCTAGTCTGCTGTGACAGAATCAGGATAGATTTACATGTAGAGAAAATAATAATAAAAGGCGTGATACTGCGTAGGAGGGTGTATGGAAACGCGTCAGACGGGGTCGCTACGCAATGGGGCATCCTGGCGCCTGTAATCTTGTACGAAAAGATATACTAGCATGTTCGTGTGTAGTAGCTCAGCTCGTTGTTAGACTCCTCCACATTTATCGCATACTCATGCACTACATGTCCTAGTCTACCAGTAATATAAGTTAAGTAAAGGGAAAAAAATAGTTCCTGACCAGAGGGTGGTGATACCCTGCTATTAACCCAGATTCTTCCTCAGTTCATCACTTAATCGCGTTATTCATTTATTCTTTTTTTTTTTTTTTTTTTCATTTCTTCCTTTTTTTTATTACCTGATAAATATTAAGTGGAACGAAGTAAAAGGAAAAGTAAGACACTCGGGTACATTACCAGGATTAGTTTTTTTTTTTTTTTTAACTAATATCTATTAGATATGTAGAAATTTTTTTTATCTGCTCAATAAAAAATTTTTCAATGCAAAAAAAAATTTTTTAACTTCCCGTTAAGAAAATCAATGATTTTTTTTTATTATCTAATAATATTAAATGGTGCGAAGTAAAAGGAAAAATAAATACATTATCAGAATTAGTTTTTTTTTTTATATAGATTTGAAAAATTTTTTTTGTCTGCACAGTAAAAAATTTTTCGTAAAATTTAAAAATTTCTGTTCAATTCCTGGCTTAATCTTGATTCCTAAAAAATGTTTTTTAAGATAATCTTTTGTTTCAATAAATAAAAATTAAATTAATTAATTATTTAAAAAGCGATGAATATTTAAAGCTAAAATATTTGTTATAAAATATGACGATTAAAAATTAATAATAATTTTTGCAAAAATTTTTTTTAATGACTTACACAAACTTAGTTTTAATTTTCGATTACTGAAAATTTTTTACTGTGTTCCTACATGTAGGAAGAAATAAACATGGTGTGATAGTGTGTATTTAATATACATAACAATAAGAGTTACCAGGTCGTGGGAGACGGAGATATCTATAACAATCTATGTTCTACTGGGATAAAATTATGGTGATATTATATGAAGCTTGATTAAATTGATCGTAATGTAACCGGGTGATGTCTGCAGACTAAGACACGCTTATTCACCACACACGACACTCATTGTCATTATTACTATTACTATCCTTAAATGACGAGTATTTACTTGGCCTATTTATTTCTAACGAAGGCGTGGTTATCCACTTATATCTATGTGTTCTTTTAAAAATATGTATATATACATGTGAGATCTACTTTGGAGATGTATAAGTATGTCATGTCTTGAAGCTTGATGATGCGGCTGTTAACGGGCTATCGTCACGCGTGCTCTGCATGTCTTTAGTATTTTATCATCACTGCCTCACCCTTTGGATTAAGTGGACTAAGGGCTCGTGCTATCTGAAACTAGGATAAATTGATGTATTGACATATGGCATTAAGAATAATTGTCGGTTTTTATTCACATTTCTCTGGTGGATTATAAATTTTTCTATTGTTTTTTAAACGGATTTTCTTTCATTTTTTAATTATCTAACACTAATTTTATTTAAATGATTTTTTAGCTTCATTAGTTTATTCATTAAAAAATTATTAAATTGATAATAAAAATTATAAACCAATTAGAAAAAGAATAAAACTGATTAATAATTTTTGTGTTTACAATTCCGATTTTTTAGGGTATATTTTTTCTTATAATTCCCCAAAATTTTTATTATTATAAATATTAAATTTCTTTTTTATATCAAGAGTATTTTCTAATCAATTTTAATCCAAATTTTTAAAATTTCATCAATAAGAAATTTTTATTTCAAATAAAAATAATTCTGATTTTTTAGGATACATTTTTTCTTTGTAATTCATCAGAATCATTACTATTATAAATATTAAATTTGTTCTTTAAATTAAAATTACTCTCCAACCAATTTTGTCTTAAATGTTTATAAATTTTGTTATAAATATAAAAAGTTATAAATATTGAATTCCTTTTTTACATCAAAAGTTTTTTCCAATCAATTTTATCTTAAATTTTATCAATAAAAAATTTTACTTAAAACAAAAATAATTATAATTTTTTATAAAAAATTTTTTCCTTGTAATTCATCAGAATTATTAAATTTCTTCTTTAAATTAAAATTATAAATATTAAATTTCTTCTTTAAATAAAATTTGTTTTTTTCAATAAAAAATTTCCATTTTTGAAACAAAAATCATAATTAAATTTATTATTTTATTTTTTCAGCTTATGGAAGACCCGACCAGCAGCCAAACGTAGAAAATAATGAAGAAGAAGGTTACTTGGGAGACGAAACAGAATATGACGAAGAATCAGAGGCAGACGCTGATAATGATAACAATGGGGCACTTGCAGAACCCCCAGAAATAAAGACCAAACCCCAAATGATCGAAGTTAGACCGGGTAGCAACGTTGAGTTGCCATGTTACATTGTTAACGGAGGTATGTACACAAAAAAAAAAATCTACAATATATATATATTTTTTATTCCTTTGTATGTGCTCGACTCTTTAGAATTAAAAAGAAAATAATAGTAGCTAAGGTTATGCCGAGTCAGGTAAAACTCTATGAGGGTGGTTTTATTATTTCGAGCGGCCGTCAATTGTAAAGAAGAAATTTAACGCTCTGAGATTTTTTTAAATAGACTAGAGTTTCAAAAAGACACTGCTTTATTTTCTGTTAATAATTAAAAAGTATAATATGATAATGATTATTTATTGACAATAAATTTTTTTTTATTTAATAGATGCCTATACGGTTGAATGGAAGAAAGGCAACGTCAGCTTGTTCTTCGGCGACTCCGATATGACTAAAGATATCACCTCGAAGATAGTCACGACTGCGAATCACAGTTTAATTATTTATAATGTGACGAAGAACGACTCCTCAGATTCTTACACGTGCTCTCTCTTAGGTGTAGAACAACCGGTGGAGGTCATACATAAGGTCCATGTTATCGACAGACCGAAGGATGATGACAAGCGGATCCGCGTTGTTCCTGGGAAGCGAGTCGAGGTCAACGAAAATGAGAGTGTTACTTTTGGTTGTGAAATTAAGGGATCACACAAGATTGTTTGGTCGCACAAGGTATGCAAGCTAATTATTAAAAAAAAAAAAAAAAAATTTTCAACAAAAATATTTATGAATAAAAATAAAATTTTTTTTAATAATTTAAAATTATCAAAGTGTAAAATTGAAGCTGAATTTACATAAAAAAATGTTATTACATATTTTTTTTTTATGTTTGTACTCACTAACCGTATCGTGAATTACTTTTTTATTATTTGAGTGTAAAAACAATTTTTTATCAATTTGTTTCACCAAAGTTAATTATATTCATGTATATTATATACAGCGGTCTCATTTTTTCTTCTCTCTATCCTGTTGAATAATTTATGGATAACCGTCAGCAGTGTCTATTTTAGATTTTTAATTTAAATTTTAATTCCAGGGATCATCGTTGCACAATGGTGAAGAAATAGACAAAAATGGCAAATACGTTAAAATAATTAAAGCCAATAGACATCATGGAGGTCTTTATCAATGTCTTGCTGATGTACCGGAAGACCGTCCTCCATATGAATCAATTGACGTAGTTGTCAAGTGTAAGTATTTTTACTCTCGATAATTGTTTACTCGACTTCATTTTTGTATTTAATCAGACCAAAACTTCGTAACAAAATACCTGCAGACATAATACTTAGACATCAATATTTTGCCAGTTAATTATCACATAAAAAATTGAGAGTGGTTTTGAAAACTAAAAAAAATTATTAATAATAATGATAATAATGAACTAATTGGGAAAAAAATGGAACTGATTAATAATTATTGTGTTTATATAATCAATTTTAAAGGTTCTAATTTTTAGGACATATTTTTTTTTATAATTCCCCAAAATTTTTAACATTATAAATATTAAATTTCTTCTTTATATCAAGAGTATTTTTTAATTAATTTTAACTTAAATTTTTTAAATTTCATCAATAAAAAATTTTTATTTCAAATAAAAATAATTCTGATTTTTTAGGATAAATTTTTTCTTTGTAATTCATGAGAATTATTTACTATTATAAATATTAAATTTCTTCTTTAAATTAAAATAACTTTCCAATCAATTTTATTTTAAATTTTGTCAATAAAAAATGTCTATTTTTAAAATAAAAATCATATTTAAATTTATCTTCAAGAATCTGCCATGATTTTTTGAAAAAAAAAAAAATATTTATTCTCTCTTTACATGAACGCGGGTATTTTTTCTGCGGGTATTCTATTATGCTACCATTAATTCAACCAAAAGTATGTATATTTATTCATATTTTATATTTTTATAGTCAAACCAGTAATAGAAACAGAGCATGACATCGTTCACACAGGAAGGGGACAGATTTCTGAGTTGAAGTGTAAAGTTCACGCCCACCCTCGCGCCAAGGTGACATGGTCGAAGAACGGCAAACCGGTGACCGGCAGAAAGGACAAGAAACTTCATCCTGAAGACAAATCTTCGCGTGTACTGATAATTGAACACACTGACAATGATGACTTCGGTTCCTACGTTTGTACTGCTTCAAATGTGATGGGTGAAGCCAGCAAGGAAATTATTCTTACTGGTACTCCGGCTAAGCCCAGGTGGGTTGGAATGGACCGTTTGGACGACGAAAAAACAGTTGTCTTCAAATGGAAAGTTAAAAGCTACTCACCCATCAAGGAGTACAAAGTAAGCAAATTTGTAACCCATTAAAAGTATACTACTGTTATAAAGAAATTTAAAAGGCTTTCACGTCCTGAATTAGTTTTATTGTATTCCGAGAAAGGGTGTAGTAAAATAGAGTTACTGTTTAAAATTAGCAGCTTGCACAGTGATATATATATTTTTTTTTTTCCAAGTAAAAGTATAAAAATTTTAAAAACTGTGGGTGCAATTTTTAAATATTTTATTATAGAAATTTATGTGATAAATTATCAGACCTGATAATTTTTTTTAACTGATAAATTATCATTAAAAAAATTAATAAAAAATTACAAAAAAAAAATTTAAAAAAAATGTGTGAAATTTTAAATACAATTTTAAAAAATATTTTTTTAGCATTAATTTTTTCTTTAAAAAAAATAAAATTTTTTTCAAATATCTTCTGATTTTAATATTGTAAATTTATTAATTTATTAATAAATTTATTAGTTTATTATTTATAAATTTATTAATCTATTTATTTATTAAAAAAAATTTTTTTTGTCAAATGTTATTATTAAAATAATAATTAATTTTTATAAAATAAAATTGATGAATCTTACCGGATATAGAAGTACAGTATGTCCCGCATGATCAAAAGAGCAGCGGCATATTTTTAACATACACCAACTGTAAACTAAAAATTTTCTTTGTGTAACTAGAACGAATCACCACAAATTTTCCTAAAAAAAATGTTATTTTTACTTCCAACTTTCCAATAATGTTTTTTTAACGATTAAAAGTGTCTCACATAAACTTTCTTCTCAAAATGATCTTGTTAGACAACAAAAATATGTGTAAAATATAAAATAATTGACAAAGAATATTAAAATCATATAGAATAAAAAAAAAAAGTTTTCACCGTATCAGGCGTGAGAAGTATTTAAATGGTGCACATACGCGGACCGAGTACTTAAAACAAGAGTGATTAATGACAGAATATTTTTTCTCATTTAATGTGTTTTCTTCTTAGCTGGAGTATCGTCGCAAAGGCGATGCAGATTGGAAGTCAGTGAGTCCTAACGTGAAAGACGGAGAAGGAGATGAATTTATGGTGGAACATGCTCTGGAAGGTCTTCAGGCGGGCGTGACGTACGAGACGAAACTGCTGGCTAAGAATGAGTTGGGATGGTCGTCCAGCTCCGACACTCATTCCTTCGACCTAGAATACATTATTGCTTCGCCACAAAATCGTAAGTAATCAGTAATTACCGATAATATCGGAAACCGTTGAATAAATAGACGTTAATATAAATTTAGCATAAAATAATTAACAGAGTATTTAAGAAATAAAAATAAAAGTAAAATTTTATTACACAGCCTCAGAATCTAAGAATGCAGCATCGACGCGATCGCTTGCGGCACTCTCGGTACTCCTAGTCTTCTTGTCATACATTTCAACGAATATTTAATTAATTAATCGCTCCATACTACATAGGTAAGCAATATAAACATGATAAAAGTCATACTTATCATCGCTAAAGCATCTCTTGCATGTAACATTTTGTTAATATATTAATATTCAATTATTCAAAATGGCGGTAAATTATATACATGTATATATTCTTAAACATACATACATATTTAAATATATATATTATTTGTGTAGATAATTCGCTGCAGCCAAAGCGTATACACACCAAGCAAACTTCATGGTGAATATAAGAACGAAAATTGCCTAGGGGAGTGCCACTAACAGCATTACTTACGTCGTTGACAGCCCATCGATATTAAAAATTAAAAGAAGGAGCCTTCATCATATATATATATAATAATAATAATAATCATAATGATAATAGTAAAAACAAGACAGAAAGAAAAAAAAGTTAATGAAGAAATAAAAACTTCCTTGCCTTTCACCTTTGTCTTCCGTTATAATATGGAAGTGACGAAATCAGCGTGCCTCAATTTGCGACGATGACAATCAAGGTCGTTGCAAATACGATATATATCTATATATTCATTAAAATATCTTTATTGAAATGTACAAATTATAAATTACTATTATTTCTTCAGTTTTAATTAATTGAAGCTATTGATTTTATTATTTTTTAGTATGGAATGTTGGCGATAGATAAGCTTCCAATAAATTTTTTTATCGACGTGCCTTTTAAAGGTATAATTTATTAACTGATAAATACTATGCCGGAATTTTATTCGTAATCTAGGGTTTTATATTTCTATTTATTTTAAACATTTTTCCTTTTTTTGTATTATTATACATGTAAATTATTATTTTTTATGGCTTTTTGTTAAATTGAAAGATTAAATTTAAATAAAAAATTTCAGTGTACTATTTTTAAATATTTAACGTAAAATTTCTATAAGGTCTCTCCTAGGCGTGCCATTATGTGTTAAAAAATATAATTAAAGAAAGCATTTTTTTTTTTTAATTCACGTAAGAATATTATTTTAAGAAGATATATTAATACTTTAAAATATATTTATATAAATACATATATATATATATATATATATTATAAATATTACCTGTATAACATAGTATTCGTTGTACATGAGTAAGTCAAGAGATACATTATCATTATTATTATTATTATAATTTATTTTTGTATGCTTAAGAAAATCATGAAAAAAAAATATTAATGTGAAATCAAATCTGTTTTACTAAAAAAAAAAAAAAAATAGTGCCATCGTGCGGGTCATATTTTTTTTTTTTATTGTGTTTTTTTTAACTACCCGCACTAGCACTTTAATATATGTCCGGCGGTATTAAATTGAAAATAATTGCTTCCAATATTTTGTATAATTTTTTTTTATTAGATAGAAAATTTATCTATTAAAAAAAAAAGTAATACAAAACAAATCAATTATTTTTTTTTTGTTACCATTTGTCCATAAAAAATATTTATAAAAATTTTATTGATAAAAATTTTAAATCAACTGAAAGTCTTAATTATGTCTATTAAATAGACAAGTCCATGTTTATTAATTATAATTATAAAATCAATTGAAATAGCTTTCGCACCACTACCTAAGATCTGTAAAAATAAAATGTAGAATGAGTGTTTAAATGTCTCGTGTGTATGTGAATGTAATAAGTAATGATTAATTTTTTTTTAATCAATTAATTAATGTAGTTATTACTAGATTGAAGTTTTAGAAGGCGTTGTACAGAATCGTTGTTTACGCAATTATTATATAATCTAATTGGTAGATTAAAAAAATAAGACGGTGCAATTTTTTAAGTATATTTTGAAAAAAAAAATTTTTTTTCTTAGACGCTAATTTATTTTGTACTTGTGTTTCAATAGTTTAATAATTAATTATCTAATTATTAATTCTAAATCCATAAAATATAAAATAAAATAAACTCTGATTTTATCTATTATTAATTATATTGCACCGTACCGTAATTGTAGCTAATAATTGTAAGCAGTTTGTTTTAAATATTTTAACTATTAATTAAAGTAAATTATAAGGTACTTATTACGTGTAAAAAATAAATAAAAATAAAATGCTTAAGTTTATTCATCGAGACTTTAAATGTAATTATAAATTTAACGTTTAAAACCACGTGCTGTCTTATTTTTTAACCAGACCTATATGTACAGCCATCACTGTTGCCTTTAATTAAACGTACTAAATGTATAAAATAATTATAAAAATAATCAGTAACAGTAAAATAATAAATAACACAATAAAGACAGTTATTTAATTTTGTTTAAAAAATTTATTGTGGGTTCAGAGTGACGTCGATAATATCAGGCGTTGCGACATTTATTAAATCTAATGTAGTTAATTTTTTATTTGTCATTGCTTTACCGTTAGAGGTTCTACGATCTTCTTCAACTTCCTTACGAAAGAATTTACACGACACAATATACCAACACGCTTGTATAGCACTATTAATTAAACCACTCGTAACATAAATTCCACCGACAGTTGCACATAGTTTAACTAAAAATTGTATCAATGAATCACGGTTCTGTGTTACTTTAACTCTAAGAGCACTTGTGTCGTACTTAAAAAATATTCCTGGCACCCCGTGCGATCCTTGGGCATGATTTATTGGTCTTGAATAATCTTTAACACTGTACTGATAAGTTTTTGTTGTCTTCATTAGTGTATAAATGTCTGTTGGCACAACTTCAATAAAGTATTGATACAGCATCATATCTGTTGAATAATTTAAAAAATCAATTAACAAAAATTCAATTTTCAGCGAATATTAAAAATTTATTAGAATTGGAAGTTACTCAATCTTTTATATTTGACATCCAGTTAATCTTTTTAATGTCAAAAATTAAATTAAACTAATTCTAATAATCTATATTATTAAGAGAATAAAAAAAATGTTATGTCCAGGATAGTTATATGACAAAATCGGTTTTTTTAGTGAAATTTAGTGTCATTGCAAAGGTCTTAATTTCAATTTGTGCCTTTTCAAGGTTTCATATCATTCTCACCGATAGTCAATTTATTATGATAAGTATTTAAACTGCATTCGAAAATGCTCTACCTCTAGATACATAATTAAGAAATGACCTTGTATCTTGTGAACTATTGACATTTTTAAAGATATAAGCTCACCCCGACATTACACTCATTGAGACCTTTCATTTGAGTACCCACATCAATTTTTCATATATTTCATATATTTATATATATTATATATAAATATGTATATGTATATATGAAAAATATATCAAAATGCATGTGGGTACTCAAATGAAAGCTCTTGATGAGTGTAACATCGGGATGAGCTTATATCTTTAAAAATGTCAATAATTAAGAAAGTAGAGTGCAATTTAACATAATTAAGAAATGACCTTTTATCTTGTGAAATATTGACATTTTTAAATATATAAACTCACCCTGACATTACACTCATCGAGACCTTTCATTTGAGTACCCACATCAATTTTTCATATATTTCGATATACGAGAGCTTTCATTTGAGTACCCACATGCATTTTTTATATATTTTTCATATATACATATATACGATTTATATAAATATATGAAAAATTGATGTGGGTACTCAAATGAAAGGTATCGATGAGTGTAATGTCGGGGTGAGCTTATATCTTTAAAAATGTCAATAATTAAGAAAGTAGAGTGCAATTTAACATAATTAAGAAATGACCTTTTATCTTGTGAAATATTGACATTTTTAAATATATAAACTCACCCTGACATTACACTCATCGAGACCTTTCATTTGAGTACCCACATCAATTTTTCATATATTTCGATATATTATATATATATATATGTATATATGAAAAATATATCAAAAATGCATGTGGGTACTCAAATGAAAGCTCTTGATGAGTGTAACATTGGGATGAGCTTATATCTTTAAAAACGTCAATATTTAAGAAAGTACAGTGCAATTTAACAAAAATCATTATTTAATAAAGCAAAATTTTATTTATTTATAGTTCACAAATCACGGCATTCACACAGTGACTGCAAGGTTACTAGTCATAAATTATTATTATTATTTTTTTTTTTTAATATTTTAAAAATAATAAGTGTATAATTAGAAAAATATCTTACTGTCAGAAGCTATTTTCTCATCACCATCCAGTGGCTGAACAATTCCAGGACTTTCTTCGCCAAATGAAAATTTATTTATACGATGAGTGAAATTATAATCACGACTGGTCATAAATGCAAAAATATGTATATGACCCCGTGGAAGAGATAATGATTTCCCAGCAGTTATATGGAAATTACCAGCAACTTTATTTAGATTTATATTGCCGTAGAGTCGGCAAGCGTCAGGACGGTGATCTGGTATAACTGTTCTAAAATTAAATTAGGTAAATCGATAGTTTATTAAATTTTTATACTTGTTTTAACAATTCAATACGTCAGTCATCTATTTGCGTATTTTCATATTTCTTCTTTATGAAGAAACATATACTCATTCTGACTCATAAAATATTCAATCAAAAAGTACCTTTTAGGCATCTCACCCATAAACGCAACTTGATTAGACCTCCAGAGTAATTCATGAATTGCATGATACTCTTCTCTCAGGTACGAATTCATATGTTTCAAGGCATCAAAATGGGACCTTTGATCCGGCGATAACTCCCACCAGGTTTCTTCTTCATTAAGCGGTTCAAATCCCAGTAAATTTTGATTCGTCGAATCTAATATATCTGCTCCAATTAAGCTGCACGGCATCGCTACTGTCATGTCAATATTTATCTTCAGCTTATCGTCGACGTCTATGTCAGGTTCAAATTTAAAATGAAGCCGAGCGTTCAAGAAATAACGGGTCTCAGATATCACCAGCCAGCTTATAACAACAAAAGTTACAAATGAAACTGCAATTAAAAAAATACAATTAATAATCAACATATTGTTAATTTTTAAATAAAACTAAAACCAGTAGACACTTAATAATTTTTTGATTCTTCTTTAAAAATAAACTAGGCATAGAAAATTATTTATAAAAATCTCATTTATAATTTTTTGGAGCTTTTAAAAATAAAGTTTTTAAATAAAAGCTTTTTGCTATAATTTGTTAAAAGAATTCTAAAAATTATCAGATGTCTCTAAATTTCAGTATCATTAATTTAACCATAAATTAGCAAATAAATAATCTTACAGGTTCCACCAACAGCAGATTTATTTTTATAGGAGTCCGGTACTTTAGGAAAGGCATCTAGCTCTTTGACAGTTTTTAAATTAACATTTCTCCTTCGTAAAATCATTATTTACAGTACTTTAATTATCTTAAATAAATCACAGTAGGTAATTACACTGGTTAATTATCATTAATATTTTTCTTAGAATCAAATAAATTTTTTTCGTTATTTACAACTAAAATTTTTAAATGACAATACTGAGGTTAGAAAGTTAAAAAAAATTAAAATACCACTTTTATAAATTTCTTCTTTAAAAATAAAAAAAATTCAAAGAATAATTAATGCAATAATTAATTTATAAAATTATTTACAATATTTACACTTATAATAATTGTTAAACAATTTTGACACGTAGGCGTTTTGTTTATTGCTATACTATCTTATAGAATATATAAGATCATAATACACACATTAATATATTCACATACTTATATATAACTCTTTATACCGGATATATTAAATAAACATGGATAATTCACCAATTGAATAAATAATTGTATTTAAAATTAATCACTAGCGCTTTTTAAATTGTTTATTTACTTTTACTCCGGCCGCAGTTGTGTGGTTAGTAAATTATGTGTCAGCTGATTGATTATTGTGATTAAAAAAACAAACATTTGCTAATCAATTTATCCCTATTGTTAATCAGTGTAAAAGATTATTTATTTACCAAAAAATATTGTTTGAACTAAAAAAAAAAATGCACACAAACATATCCGGTAAATAACGGCGACATCTAGGTTATTGACGTAGAGAGAAACCACGTACTCCAGAATGATATCTTGATCTAGCAATAAATTATTTATTTGACTGTAACTATTTAAGTAATTATTTATATTTAATAAATTAGATTTAGTGTTGTATTACAAATAAGTTATTACAATTGTTTGTTAGTTTAATACATGAATATTAATTATGTAACAAACGATCAATATTATGACGATTTGGTGCATGACTATTTTAACATGTGTAATTTAAACTATTTATATATATTTAATATTATAGGAATTTACGTAAAAAATGATCAGTATTGGTGACATGAACGGTTGAAGAGAAGAATTAAAAGTTTAAGTTTTAGTAATTGATAATCAAAAAAATGGGGATGGATTATAATAAATTGCATCCTGATGATGACAGGGAAGGTGCCGTAAAATTACTTTGCTTTGACATGACAAAGGCTAGTGAAAAATCAAGATTTGTATGGTGTTCAATAGGTGTCTTCTTTTTTTATATTATTTATGGATATCTTCAGGTAATAATTATAATTTTTTTTATGAAAATTTATTTAGCAGATTTGATTATTTTTTTTTTAAAAAATAAATTACAGTCAAAAAAATTGACGTAAAATTAAAAAAAATGTAATTTTTTTTAAATATTTTTATGAGAATTAATTTAGCAGATATTTAATAATTTTTAGAAAAAAGAGAAGAAAAAATTGACATGTAGAAATTTAAAAAAATAAAAAATGTAATTTTTTTTAAATAATTTCTTATCAAAAACTTTTCTGTTGAATAAAATTAAAAAATTATCAAGTGACTGCTAACTTTAATATAATATTTTTTTGGAACAAATTTATTTGTTAAATAAATTAAAAAATAGTTAAGTAACTGCTGACTTCAATGTTATTTTTATCAAATAATTATAAAAATTTCAGTCATTCTGTTTATCTAAGTAGGACTCAACAAAATAACAAAAAAATAGGATGATAAAACTTTTTTATGTAACAATAAGTAATTAAAATTTTTAATGATACTGAAATTGAGAGACTGATTTTTTTTTAGAATTTTTATAAAAAATTAATCACAAAAAAAAAAATTTATTCTTTAGAAGCTATAGAAAATTATGAATGCAACTTTTTAAAAATAATTTTCTAGACCTATTTTATTTTTCAAAAAAAAACCAAACAATTGTCAAGTGTCTGGTTATTTCAGTGTCATTATTTGTAAGTTTTACTCTAAAATGTATGTTTATTATTTCAGGAATTAATATTTAGTTTAGAAGGATTCCGGGAGTATGGCTGGTATTTGACATTAATACAATTCGCTTATTACACAGTATTTGGAATTTTAGAATCTAAATTACGAGGAGTAACACGTCGGATTCCATTGTCAACTTACATAATCCTAGCTTTTTTAACACTAGGTACAATGGGATTTTCAAATTCATCTCTCGGCTATTTAAACTATCCAACTCAAGTAAAAAAAAAAAAAACTTTCCTTATATTTAAATAATTCAACTCAGTATTAAAATTTAATATTAATCTTTTTATTATTTACTCCAGGTCATATTCAAAAGTTGTAAATTAATTCCAGTGCTAATAGGAGGCATTATAATTCAAGGAAAACAATACGGACTTTTAGATTTTGTAGCCGCAGGGTTTTTGTGTGCTGGTCTAGTATTATTTACTCTGGCAGACAGTATGATATCCCCGCGATTCAGTATTATCGGCGTGATGATGATAAGTTCAGCTCTTCTGTGTGATGCGATAATAGGAAACGTTCAAGAAAAAGCTATGCGACAATACAAAGCAACAAATACTGAAATTGTTCTCTATTCATACAGTATTGGATTTTTATATTTATTTATAATATTATTTACAACTGGACAACTTACAAAAGGCGTTACATTTTGTGCCGATGTAATTATTATTTTTTTTTTTTTTTCAAATGTTAAATGAAAACTTTTAAAGTCATTTTTTTTTTACAGTATCCAATTGAGACTTATGGGTACGCTTTTCTGTTCTCAATCTCCGGATATCTTGGTATCCAAATGGTCTTGACACTGGTCCAAACTAGCGGCGCATTCGTAGCAGCGACTGTTACAACTTGCCGTAAAGCAGTTACCATAACATTGAGCTTTATTTTCTTCTACAAACCATTTACAATGCAATATTTGTGGTCTGGTTTGTTAGTTTTACTGGGCCTATATCTAAATATTAGGAGCAAACAGCGCGGCGGCAATAAAGTATCACTTAAGACGATCTGGTCTTATATACAACATTGCTGGTCTAAGCACAATCAAATTCAACGACAATTAATGATGAACGTATGACAAGTGATTATTAATAATTAATAATTATGCCTGATAATATTTTATAAAATATTTATTTGATAAGTAATAATAAATAAATATAAAACAAAATTTAATTAATCAATCTTCCAATAGTGGAATGCTTTTTATTTATTTTTTATTTTATTGGTAAAGATAATAAGGATTACATAGTAACAGACATAAGTAGGATTAAAAATAATAATAATAATAATAATATCAATAATGAAAATAGTAATATAATAGAAATAATTTATAAAAAAAAATTTTAAAGAAACAAAAAAACCGTTTACGCAATAATTAAAATGAAATCTAGTTAAGAAACTCTGTTATTTACATGTAATGGATAAATCAACTGTGAGTGTTATTACTCATTATTTTATCGGAATTTAAAATCATTTCTTAATATTAAATTAATAAATCAATTTTTTTGTCTTTATTATTTTGTTTTTGAATTTTTTTTACAAATGTTAATTAGATAATAATTGATTATTCTTATTTTCTTAAATTTTATTTGCCTACGTACTCACGTAAATAGCCGCACAAGTCCGTGTTGTGTGTTTACGATATCTTGAAAAATCCATATGAAACAATAACCGCCTATTAATTTAATTTATCTTTTTAAAATAGGAAAAATATATAAAAAAAAAAAAAAAAAAAAAATGACATCGTCCAGGCACGTCTTAATTAACCTCGTACTATATTAAAGGTATAATTTATATTAATAGTAATTAATTTAACCGATAACCGATTGATTATTATTAAATATTAATTAAAAACTGAAATTACAATAATTAAAATTTTATACGCGTGAAATTACGTTTGTTGTCATCATAGTGGACAATCTTTAACATGCTGTGTATTTTAAAATTTATTATCCGAGGACCTATGACCAAGTTTTATACAAAAAGTTTAGTTTAATACAATCTGTACTACCAAGTTGTTATTCCAGTCGCGTCACTGTCGTGTGATGTCCTAGTAAAGTTTATTAGTATTATTATTATAATTAATAAAATATTAAATTACTCCGTTCAAGAAATACGCGGGTTTATCGTTTACGATCGTTGGATCCACTTCGTCGTGAACGGGATCTACGACCCCGACTGTCGCTGCGGGATCGTCGAGACCTAAAATAAAAAAAAATCAATGAGTGCAATTATATAAAATAATAGGCTGTAAAAAATAATTGGAGTGAAAATTTTCCTGCTATAAAATTTACAATTCAGTATATTTATAAATAAGTTTAAAATTAAAAATTTTTATAAGACGTTAGAAATTTTTTTTTTTAATTTTATAGCAATTAAATTATTTAAAAAAAAAATGTAATAAAAAAATTCCACAAGTGAAAATTGAAAAAAGTTTGGAAAATCCAAAAATGCACGCCTCATAATTTCATTTTTCACAATAAAATTGATTAAAATAAAATATAAAAAGCAAAATAATAAAAAAACAGAAAACTCTGCTACGGTTTAGAGGCGTCATAATTCTAAGGTGAAGAAAAAAAATACTGTAATAAAATGTGTAGATAGATATATACAAAAAAATACACAGTCATATATTAGTTTTTTATAAATAATAATTTAACGACAGTGAATTGAACGCTCATATTAACTGAGAAAGTCCGTCGTGTGTTACTTTAGATAATAAAAAAAAATTATTCCGGTACGATCATTTTTTCGACCAATTTCCCTGCTACATACGCCAATCTATAAATACAGACACACGGACGTCTAGAAAAGATTATTTTTGATATTATTTACTATGTTAAACAAAATAATTATTATTGAAATATATTTTATGTGCCTGACAAATTATTTGACTTGATATTAGTACACTCAGATTAACCTGTAAGGGCGATATAAATAAAAATAATTTCATTTTCGAGAAAACTGTTTTTTTTAAATGTCGAGAGTAGAGCACTACCTCAACGTTTTACTTATGAGACGTGCAAAAAATTATTAGTGGAAATTTAATGCATTTTTTTTTATTGCAATTGCTTTGTAATAAAAAAAATTGTCAGCTAAGTTAAGCATTATAATTTTTATAGCATTAATTTTTTACAGTAAAATTATTAATAAAAATATATAAAAAATTACCTTTTACCACGGCTGCGACTGCGTGACCGCGAGCGCCTGCGATCACGGTCACGGCGATCACGATCGCGGTCACGATCACGTTCGCGATCCCGATATCCAAGTCCACCACGCCCACGATCGTTCCTCGAATCACGATGATCGCGATCACGGTCATCGCGATGTCGGTCACGGTCCATCATCGACTCGCGTTTCTCTCTGCGTCTTTCCTCAACTGTTTTCTCAAGTTCCGCTAACTTTTCACGGATCTTGATGAATCCCAAATGAAGTTTACCACCAAAGTGGTCAGCGAGTCGTCGATCGTTGTCGTGTATCCCTAAGTAAGCGCTGCACACCTCGCAAACACGCAACTTTTGTTGCTGATAACTCGATGCTGGCATGCTATTTCTATACTCTTGTTCAGCTTCATTTTTACGCTTACGTAATTCATCAATCTCACCCATCAGCTTCATGGATTCCTCGACGAAACCCTCTTCACCCAGCTGCTCAGCTTTTGCCAATTTTTTTCCGATTTCTTCGGCCAGTACATGAACGCTGTTGGCTTTCGCGGCAACTTCGGCGCTCAACTCTTCTTGAGTTTCAGCAAGACGTTGTTTAGCTTGCTCGGTTCGACGGTCACAATCAGCAATAAAATTTTGCAGATGTTCCATTGCCTAAAAAAATTCATCAATAAATATATATTAATATAATTAATATTAATATAATTAAAATAAAATTTTTTAAAAATACTTACATCAATATCATAAAAGTGGTCTTTCTTTTTCTGCGCAGCCTCATAGTCAGCTCGCAGGGCTAAGTCGTGAATCTGGGGGCATTCTCCCAGGTCCATGCGCTGCGATTGACAAAGCATTAAGACATTAGCTAATTTTTAAAATCAACTCAACAATCTAATTTATTAATAAACAATTTTCAAGCCCTTTCTTTTTTATAATTCATTCTCTGTTTTTAAAAATTTCATTCTAAAAAAAATTTTTTTCATCACCCGTTAGACTTTTTTTTTTTTTAATTTTATACTCACACTCACACTCACACGTTTACTCGAAGTCATCATTCATTCACGCACTCGCCCAAATGAAAAAAATTGGCTTGGCGTATTTATTTTTTTTTTTTTTCTTCAACCAATAAATGAGTCCGCGACAAATATTAATTATATCTATACATAATATGAAAGGTAGAGAATACAATATTGAATATTCTAGTAGTGGTTTAAACTTACAGAGTGGCAACACCTCTCCTGACGCGCAAATGCGATGATAACGATGCTACAATCAGCACATACACCTTAATGTTCATGTTATAACTTAATAACATTTTTATTTATTATTTTTCTTAATAATCATTGATGAATTGATGATATACGTAGGTATATCCATTAATTTCGTTTTTATATAAATATTTATATGAAATCGTTTATATGTAAATACGTACATGAAGTTGATGAATTACTCTTAAACTTGCGATTCTCCTATCTCTCATTTCCTTGTTATGTCATTGATCTAGAATATTTTTCTAATTTGTTCTTATTAACATTTCCCATACAAATAAATATTGTAATTCAATAACCATGTCTTCTCTTTAAATATAAACTTTGAATAATCCCAATCAATCAATAGATCAATTAATTATTCTCACGATTTGTCATGCATCCATGGTATATTTATTTACTTTTTAAAATAATAAAACTCATTAATTATTTTTCAAAGTTTTTAGATCAAATTACTTACAGAGTAATCAGCAAGTGTTGATGTGCTTCTGAATTCTTCCAATAATTAAATATTATTATTTTATATCAATAATACTCACGGAGTAATTATTGTCGGCGACTTTTTAGATTTTATTCAATTTTATTCATTTATTATTATTATTATTATCATCATTATTATTATTAGAAAGCGACATACTGTTTAATAATTTACTTTCATTATTATTATTATATTATTATTATTATTATTATTATTATTATTATTTAATATTTCGCAAGAATCAATACAATTGTTTGACGCTACTTACCATAGCGTTAGCATTAATCTAGAGTTGATTTCTAGACTTAATAGAAGAGAATTGAGGGGGGCCGTGTATCTGCCTCCTAACATCCTTAATTATAATTATTATTATTTTAATTATCACTAATATCTACTATAGATAATAATTGTGCAGAATATCACACAATGTAACGGTTATTAAATATAAGACAAATTAAAATGTTAATATTTAATTGATTTTTTTTTTTTGTAACTTTAGCCTTTTGAATGAGAGTACTTACATTAACGCGCGTGCAAGTGTTCGAGCAAGTACAACAACATACGACCGGACATTATTTTCTCAATGACTCTGTACAATGGTTCTGATTGGAATGGTTTTTCCAGACACTCTGGAAATAAGAACTGCACCGGGATACCATAATTAGTTGTCGCTGTTATTTTTAAATTATAAATTCATAATTATTTTTTTTTTTTTTATTTTTAAATCCGTTTATCAGTTCAATTTCAAAATACCCGGTAAGATTTATGCCCGCATTGTACAATCAAATTAATAGTATGACAATAAAACTCAAGATAAACTTGACAGGATTAATTATCGATATAATAATAATAATAATAATAATAGTAATAATAATAATGTACGTATAATATTCTATGTCAATTTAATAACCTTATAATCAATGGATACTTGGTAGTATTTATTAAATGTTAATTAATTAAATAATTTATTTTATTTTTTATACTCACAGTGGATGATAGAATTTCATGAGGACAGCATGCCAGAAGAAAACTCTTGCAGACTTTTGGATCGGAGTATTTTACTTGAAATTTATTATTTTCACCTGAAAAAAAAATTTTTTTATTAAAAATTAAGTTAATGATTTTGAGGGCCAATTTTTAAATCCGGGATGAAATTTTATCCAATGCTAAAATATATCTATATATTTTAGGTACATAGATATATTGATAATAATAATTATAGCTTGGATAAAATTTTATACCGGAGTGAAAAACTGGACCTTAAAGACAAAACAGAAAAAAAAATTAAAAAAATTTCTGGATTGATAAAAAAAATTATTTCAAGAAATTATCACGGATCTGTTATTTTTCAGTTTTAACTATATTTAAAGACTTGAGTCAAAAATAAAATAATGTGAAGAACAAAATAAATTTTGTTTAAAGAGGCCAAGACGCCACGTTAAATGTATAACAAAACCCTGTGTACAATCAATGCAATGTAACGTAAATACATGTATGTATAGTAGCAATAATAATAAAAATGTACGTTACCATTACGTCCTGTACCCATCAATTGGTCGAGCATAGCTCGCATCTGGTCGTGGGCCGTCATTTCATCGAATCCTTGTGGACTCCAATAACGATAATCGAATAAACTTATTAAGAATTGAATTTATCTGGTCAAATGTTTGATTGATCGTTACTTCCTGATCAATCGTCCACGTACTTGTACTCACTCGTACTTGTGAAAATATACAACAAGCCGACCATGGGGCAAGCACTCAATTTTAAGATAGGACAGAATTTCTTCAGGTAGCATGTAAAGTTAAGTTTGCCAACTTAATTTTATTAAATTCAGAGTTTCCGTAGTTATTTCTTGTTATTATCGCAGAAATGTCAGCAGTGTTTAGGAAGTCCGGAGCGCTGCCTGCCGAGTAATTTGATTGGAGGAAATTAAGGCGGTGAAATTTGAACGTGACCAAAAAAATAAAATATGATAAAAGAAATTAATAATCTCAAGAATAAAACAATCCTTATATATATAAACTAATTCAATAAAAAAAAAAAAGTGCTTAGATATTAAAAATTTTTCTAAGAATTTTATAGCAATTAAATTATTATAAAATAAATTCAATAAAAAAATTCCACATGTGAAAATTAAAAAAAATTATTAGTGGAAATTTTTAGAAGCAATTTTTTTTTTTTTTTTTTCATTGTAATTGATTTGTTTTAAAAATATTTTAATTGATAGCTGTCAGCTTACTTCAGTATCACAAACATTATTATGATTGTTTTAATCAAATGAAGAAATTAATATGAAACTAAAATTAGCCGACAGCGAAAAATTTTTATTTCGTTTTTATTAATTAAATTAGCAGTAAAAAAACATTTTTAAGACATTGCACGCATAGTCTTTCAATTTTTTTACATGTGGAATTTTTTCTTTTAATATTTTTGTAATAATTTTATTAATAAAAAAAATTCTGACAATTGTCAGCTGTCTGCTAATTTTATTTTCATGAAATTAATAATAAATCTTGAAAAACAAACTCACCAACAATGCTTAAGATGTAATTTTTTCTTTATTTTTCTTTGAACTTAGCTTTTAAAAAATTCAATTACTGAAAATTTAATTTTTTTATAAAAAATATATGCACTTTTCATAAAATTTTTAAGTAATTGCGCTACCTGTGCAATCAGAATCTGGGTAAAAGACGCCTTTTCACTGAAGTAATGACAATTAACTAGATGTCACTGTGAGTTAAATCTTCAAGCCACTGTATCACGTGTCATCTTGATGCAAATTATAATACATAAAATGAAATAATAATTTCACTACCTGCTTCGTTTCATTTTTCCAATAAATAATTATTTTTTTTCTCACCAGGTGAACCAGACAAACCAACTAATACTTGGCTCAAATTTATTCCGTAAAATTTCAAAAATTTTTATAGTAAGGGATCTCAATTTTTTTCTCGAATCGAAGCATTGAAAAAAGCGAATATTTAATTTCATTCTCTTTCTCAAAAAAAAAGTTTATAAATTTACAGGTACATTATTTACTATTTACTTTAATAAATTCTAGACTTTTTTAATATATGTTTATATTTTTTTTTCTTTTATACAAAAAGAGCAAGAGTTTTGTATAGGATGAAACACGAGAAGTACATATTGATATATACATATATATAAGGCAGCGATTTTTTTATTATGTCGATTAATAAATATAAATTGTTTAATAATAATTAATTTATTTAGCATTAATTATTAGTAAAAAATGAGAAAGAGAGAGAGAGAGAGAGAATGGAATCGTAATTTTAAAATTAAGCTTGTAACAAGCGGCCTTAAAATCCGTCAACGTTATTTTTATTAGATAAAAAAGAAATAAATTTCGATACACATGAATATAATTAATATTACGCGTGTTGATTGTAATTATTTCTTTTTTTACACTAATACCAAATTTTTTTTATTGCTAAATAATAATGAAATTATAACTTTGAAGTACTGAATTTTTTAAAACTAACGCACGCACTTTTACACGCGCAAAAATACCACTTGAAGAATATTAATAAATGAAAAACATTAAATAATAATTAATTACAATTACTGATGGTAATTAATCGCGTGTTTGCAATATAATAACAAGCGGAATTAGTTTCATTAATTATAAATTGGTTCATTGATAAATTTATTTCTTCAATACTTATACTTTAAATAAAGTTAATCAACTCTTATTTTATGCCCACAATATATAAAGGAAATTTATTTATTTATTTATTTATTTATTCGTCCATATATCTATCGGCCAGCTTTGATCGTAATTAATAATAATTAAAAATGATGGCGCATGTGATATATAATATAAAAATATGAATGTGACCGCGATGGGTTACGTGGTTCACGCTAAGCCTCTTGGACAATCTACTCTTATCAATTTTTATTTTTTATTATAATTAATATCATTATTATTATTATTTATCCATTTATCAATTTTAGCTTTAGTTTAATTATTATTTTTTTTTTTTTTTCATAATCACTATTGATTTGAATCATTTCTTTCAAATTCCACGCACTATGATGCGTAATCTACCATCGCAACTTTCTGTGTTATCGTTTTCTTTATTATTATTTTAATTCATTAATTTTAATAATTTATTTTATTACCTTATAATCGTTATATTACTAGCTTATTAATTAATAATTAATAATAACAATGGGGTCGTTGCCGATCCTTACTTTTTTTTTACAAATACAATACCACTAATCGTCAGCTTTTTTATTTTATACTGAAAAAACATGTTCCAAATTTATTTAATTATTAATTTTTAAGTTTATCATTTTCCTTCTATTAATTTATATCTGTCAGTAATAACTTTTGCATTTAATTGCAACCATTTGCTGCTAAAAAGCACTTTAATTTCAAGTAAAATATTATTCTTTTTAATTTTATTATTTATCATTATTTCACAAAATTTTCTTTTCTCTCGCTCGCGAGACATTGCAGTGTTTTTTTTTCTTTTTCAATTTATGGCTTTATTTTTAATAAAATTTTAATTTTATTTAGCATCGACTAAAGTCGCGTGAACAAGCGTCCTTACCTATTACTTACTTTTTTTTTTTTTTTTCCATTTTGTTTACTATTTTTTATTCAACGATCATTATCAAATCAAAAAACAATCTGAGGCCTGATCTTTCTATTATTTATCCTGTTTTTTGTTTTATAATCAAGCGAAGCATAACATAAAAATTATTCAACGCATATAAACAACCCAGTTTATTAAAATTATAAAAATGTACAAAAGAACCCCGGCCATGGTTCAGACTATTAAAATAAAACTAAAATAAAATAAAATAAAATAAAATAATATAATTCAATATTATCGTAAACTTGTTTTTAATGGCAATAAAATAATAAACAGTACAATAGCAATAATAATAATTATAATTATCATTTAACACTATTTAGTATTTTCTCCCACCAAAGTTTATTTATTAATTAAACTTTTATTTTTTTTAAATGAAAAAATTAATTTTTTTCTGATTTATATTTATTACTTACACCTCGTACCCACTAAATCATTAATTATTAGCAATAAGAATAAAATCAATAATAATATTGATAATAGTAATAATAATATTATTAATATTATTAATAATAATAACTCTTTATCCTCATTATTTACTCTCTCCTCTTTTCACATCTGTTAAATATCATTTACTCTATACCATTTTAATTAAAAATCGCGTTTGAGTGAGTGTTAATTTTTACTATTAAAAAAAAAAAAAAAAAAAAAATTCACATTGAACAAAGAAAAAGAAAACAATAATTTCTTAATAATTTTACATCAACTGTTTACATAATTTTATCTCCTTACTTTGAACGATTAATAATTGATAATTATTAAAGAATAAAACTCACTTGCAACTATTACAAACATTAATATTAAAACATTAATATAATAGCCGTGTAACAGTAATTAATCATTATGTATATACGTGTATCAATACAGATAATATTTATATACATAACTATATGCATTTGTGTATATATAAAAATTAAGCGTAGTTGAACGCATGTGGCCGTCTTTTCAGTATTATATTCAATTGTTAATTATAATTAAATATTGACAAAATTAATGCAATAATTGTCAATATATATTTTTTAAAAAAAGATATTTTAAACGTTTTTCTATTTTATGATTTTCCTCTTATTAAACTTAGTTTTTCAGTCACTAGTGTAAGCACAAGTGCGTGTACTTTACACGAGGATCGCGTGAGAGGACCGCGACACAGGAGTGAAGAACGAAGAGCGAGAGAAGGAAAAAAAAAAAAGAAGAAGGTAAAAATGAATACCTAGCGTCGCGGCAGAGGCCAATGACCCTCGTGTCCATCGTAAGTTACTTCAAACGAGACGTATGTACACTTGTTTAATTTTGTTTTATTGTTTACTTTTTTCTCTCTCATCATTATTATTAAACCGTACTTGTGATCTAAATTCAAGACTGCCAGGTGCGTAACCACTATACGCTTAAATCGTATCTGCGATCGTTGAAAAATGAAAACTAACTAAAGTTATTTAAAATGAACCGAACAAAAATAATAAAAAATATAATAAAAATTATTTATGAAGTTAATGTGTGGAGACCGGCATGTTTACGAATAATATTTGCGTTTTATGTAAATAAGTGTAAAAAAAGTGCCTAGGATTGAGAGGCCGGTATCACGTTGCCGAATTATCATTATAAAATCGAACCAACTACGCAATTGGATCCCGGAGTTATTTTTTTGTCTTTAATGTATATTACTAATATCTCATATTTATTTTCATCCCGATCGTCTTTTTTTTTCATCATCATTATCTTGTCCATTTTCATTTTTTTATATTTTTATTTTTATTTATTAATATAATAATCTTATTATTTTCTTTTTCTTTCCGTTTTAGTAGTAATATTCTTATTTATCTCGCGTATCATCTTGTACGCGGCTCGCTGCGTCGTTGCGTGTACACTTCCGCTATTGCCTTCGACCGGCACTAACGATCGATGACGTTGAGCAAATTTACTCGACAACCTTTAGCACTTTGCCAATGGCAATAGTTTTATCTGTAATTAATAAAAAAAAAAAAAAAAGAAAATTATTTATATTTAAATCTAAAAACCAGAATTGTATAGCATAGTCAAATCAAAGAAGCTTTAAAAGAAGATAAAGACATAAATGAAAAATAAATAAACTTACTTTCGTCTCTGAGGGTGAATCGTCCCATTTGGGGAAAGAGTTTAAATTTTTCAAGGCAAATAACTCCAGCACATTCTATTCTCATAATGGCAACCTGGTCTTGCTTAACAAACCTAGGTCTCGTTTTACTTTTATCCCCAGTCTTTTTGTCAACAAGACAAAGCAACGTTTTAACCGTGACCTCTTCAGCAGCACAATGAATATGCATCACCGCGCTGTAACCCGCGCAAATGATACTCTTGTGCTCCAATATCACTACTTGAGCATCAAACACTTTACCAGTAGTTATTGGATTATTACTGTCGCAGAGTACAAATCCTGGACTAACGTCTTCCTCTTCAATACCCTTAAGCTTTATTTTAACATTTTCACCGGGACCAACAGACGTGACTTCCTCATCATCCGACCACAGCTGATCGACAATAACCGCCGTCCTGTTTGGCATAACTAATAAAGCTTGACCTTTTCTAGATTCACCCGCCTCGACCTTGCCCATTACCACCGTACCCATGTCCTTGTACTTGTCAACTATAGGCATGATAAATGGTCCGTTGCTTTTACGATTGAGCGATGGTAGAGAATCAATGAAAGGTATAAAAGGTGGCCCACTGTACCAAGAACACAGACTCTCGGGTATCGGATCTTTTAACCCAATTCCCAATTGACCTGACGCAGGCATAAAGGTAAGATCTTTCGCCGGGTTGAACCCTAATTTACGGAGGTATGGAAGGATTTTGTCTCTGAAAATTGTTATTAAACGTTATATAACTATCTAATGTTCAAATTATAATTATAAATTTTTATCTATGGTATAATTAATTTTAGGTATTACCTGCACTCGTTGTATCGCCCCTCATCCCATTCTACAGTTGGATCATCCATTTTATTAACTAAAACTACAAGATGCTTGACACCAGCCGTTTTAGCAAGCATAGCATGTTCTCTCGTCTGTCCACCTCTGTCAAATCCAGTTTCGAATTCACCTTTTCGCGCAGATATTACAAGTACAGCAAGATCAGCTTGTGCCGCACCTCCAATCATGTTTGGCACAAAACTTTTATGACCCGGTGCATCCAATATTGTAAAATGTTTTCGCTCTGTTTCAAAGTACGCTCGGCCGACTTCTACCGTTTTACCCTTTTCACGTTCTTCCTGGTTGGTATCCAACGCCCAACTGAGATACCACGTTTCTCTGCTACGCTCCTTGGCTTCTCGCTCGTATTTTTCGAGTGTTCTCTTGTCTACCATTCCTGTGAGTGCCATTATCTGACCACCGATTGTTGATTTACCAGCATCTAAATTATTTCATCAATATAAATATACGTTTTTACACGGAAAGAACAAGATGACACTGGATATTATCCCAGATTATACTCAGTGAAAAAAAATTTCAGGTAGTAGCTAGTATAATTTGAATTTTTCTAACTACTATCTGAAATTTTTTCTTCACAGATATCACTGAGTATAATCTAGGATGATATCAAGTGTCATCTTGTTCTTTCCGTGTAATACGATCTAAAAATTTTTAAAATATAAATTATATTCAAGCAAACGTACCAACGTGACCAATAAAAACAACATTTACATGCTCTTTTTTGCTCTTCGTATCTTCTGCTACTTTAACTGGTTTCTTTTTCGTTATCTTTACAATCATTTCTTCATCTTCTTCAATATCCGCCTAGTTTAATTATATATACAAATTAATTAGTATATTTTGATAAAAACCAAACATAAAAAAAAAAAAAAAAAAAAAATTCAGAGTGAAAGAATAAAAATTAACCTCTTCATTTTCTGGTGTTATGAGAGGATCACCATCAACAGCTGCTTCCTCCCACGAATCAGCTGGTTGATGTTCCGGACTGCTGTTGCTCGCTTCTGGGTCAATGACGTTCGAAGGTGGAGGAGGTCCTCCTCCGGCAGGAGGTTCCTCGACTCGGTTGCCCACAGGATCCGGTGGAAGGGCTGGTACTGGTGGTGCTACAAAGATAAACAAAAATAATAATAATAAATAAAAACTTTAAGATAAATAATATAAAAATAATGATGATTATAAGATTCTATGAATATTTTATTACTCATTTGAATTAAATAAATTACTCTAGCTTGGTATTAGCTTAGTTATCTAAGCACGTATTCGATTTATCGAGTATCGAACAGAATAAACTGAACAAAACCAGCTGAGTTGTGTATCACAAGCACAAGTCAGGTTATCATGTACTACCAGAGAGGGGTGTAGCAAAATGGGGTTAGATATTGGATGCCTAGCCTCTCTTAACATATTTTCGTCCTCCATTAAAAAATTATCATACTAAAAAAAAAAAAAAAAAAAAAAAAAATAAAATAATATTTAAATAAAATGATTTAAAACAAACCATGATGGGTTTCTGGCGGTACAAAAGTGGTTGTAGCAACATTAGTTTCGGAGATACTGGTGGATTCGTCAACTGGCGTATCACCACCACTCGTGGCAGCTTCAGGTGTTGCCACGGTGTTATCAACGTTAACTGGCGTGCTGGCATTACTAGTTGTCTCGTTGCTGGTGACATTACTTGGCGGCAATGAGTTTATGCAGAATGAAGGCACAAATTCAGCTGCGTTAACATTTAGAGTAGAAAATTTTCCCTCGATAAATGTATTGTCGGCGGTAGTGTCAGCGCTGTCCGCCTGTTGTTCCCACGAGTCTGGTGCTACGCTGTTCGCCATATTTATCAATCTTTCGGCACACCCACTATCTAATTTACGATAATCCAATATGTTGAATAACTTTATGCAAGTTCTTCAACTAATTAAACACAATATTTTATGTATTCCGTATTATCCTTAAAAAAATAATTATTTCACGAGTATATGCGCGCACAGCACACGCGTATGGCTCACTCGTCCGCGTGCAGTCCCCGTGGTCTGGTTTTTCGCTGCTGCTGCTTCTAATTCGTGTCTCTGCCACCGGAACAGCGCTAGTCAAAAAAATAATTATTTTATTATTATTTTTATCAACTGCTGTTACATCTTGTAATTATATAAATCATAATTCCACAACTAAATTTTGCTCCAAAATTTTTTTTTAATAAAATAAAATTAGTAATTTTTTTTTTTTTAATTCAATTTTATTAAAATTATTAAATTATTCATGATAAATAAAATAAAAAATTGATATAAAAATTATTATAAACAATTTATTATTTTAAATATTTATAAAATTTTTATTTGTTTACCTTTTTATTTATTTATTATCTCCGTGTGCTTTTTTAGAGCTTGGACGAAATAGTTTGTGCTGATTACTTACTTTTCTATTTTTACACTTACTTTTTTTTTTTTTTTTTTTTTCCATTAAAAATAATCTTAGAGTCAAGAATCTAAAATAGAATTTTTTGCTGGTAATAATTCAATAAATTTTAACATTATACTTACATTTGTATAGAATTATTATTTTTACTTTTAGAATCAGTAAAAAAAAATTAATTTTTATGACTTTATTTATGATTTGATTTTTTTTTTTTTAGGTTTTTTAGCGCCAACCGTCAAATGAAATGGTGACGAAATGGAGTAACACGTGTGTTAAATTGATGAATGATAAATTTTTATTATTATTGTCACATTATATTTGTTACAAACTAATTCAATGACTTATTAATAACTGTCACGATGCATTAAAACTCTTAAATATTTTACTGTGTTTAGTTGTATATGAAAAAATATAATTATTTAAAAATAAGCTACGGGAGGTTGAAAAAAAGTACTTTCGTACAGGTATTTGTAAATTATTTTTAATTGACAGTGCCTTCAAAATAATTACCTAGTTAATCACTGTACTAAATAATTTATTTTTTTTTTTCCTTTAATTGACAGTGATTGATAATTATTACACCGCGATGAATACCAAAAAAATTTTAAGGTTATATTCAACCCGAAAGTTAATCCTGAGAAATGAAAGATTTTATTCCAACAGAAACATCCTTGCTCTCAATGACAGGGGAATGTATCAAGACTTGTTCCCAGCAACGAGCGCGTAAGTTGTTTTTATTATATCATATATCATTATTAAATACATAAACATAAATATGCCCAAGAAGCTCTTTTTGGGCTCTTATTAATCAGAATTAATAAAATAAATTAATTGTCTCTCCTTAGAATCCTGATAAATCTCACTGAATAAACTGTAATATTTTTATGACACTAAAGAAGACGTGTAAAAATTTTTGATTTTTTTTATTAATTAAATTACAACTAAAAAGATATTTCTAAAAAATTGCACTTGTAGTTTTTCAAATTTTTTACATGTGCCATTTTTTTTTTTTAATTGTATATATTTTTTAATTGTAAAATATATTTTTGCAAATCTTTAAAATCGCGATTGGCGTTTTCTAAATAAATAAATATTAAAATTACTATTAAGTATTACCTAACAAATTTTATATATGTTTACAGACCGGAAATTAAAAATCTCTTAATGAGAGAACCGCAGTGTGTTTACTCAGGATTTGATCCCACAGCAGACAGTCTTCATGTAGGTAATTTGTTGGTTTTGATGAACTTACTTCACTGGCAGCGAGCTGGTCATCAAACCATAGCCGTACTGGGTGGAGCAACGGGGCTAATTGGAGACCCGAGTCATCGAGCGTCAGAAAGAGATGAAATAAATTCAAAAATTCTGGCAGAAAATGTAGAATCGATTAAAAAAAATATTCAAACGATATTTAAAAACCATGAACAATATTTCTGCAAAGATTTTTGTAATCCTGTGAAGCCTGTTATTTTATTAAATAATTTAGACTGGTACAAAAAAGTAAATCTCATTGACTTTATCCGTGGGATTGGAAAGTATTTTAGGATGGGTACAATGATGGGAAGGACGTCAGTCCAAGAAAGATTGAATTCTGAGATTGGAATGAGCTTCACTGAATTTTCGTACGCTTTATTTCAAGCATATGACTGGCTGGTTTTGTTTGATAAGTACAAGTGTTATTTCCAAGTCGGTGGTAATGATCAAATGGGCAATATTATGTCAGGACACGATTTGATTAGTAAAGCAACTAAGAAAACTGTTTTCGGACTTACAATGCCGCTAATTACGGCTGAAGGTGGTAAAAAGTTTGGCAAATCTTTGGGTAATGCTGTCTGGTTATCCAAAGAAAAGTCTTCTCCCTTTACATTCTATCAATTTTTTATAAGAACTACTGACGCAGATGTGGAAAAATACTTAAAATTATTTACCTTTTTACCAATGTCAGAGATTAATAGTATAATGGATAGTCACAGAAAATTACCCAATAAAAGAGACGCGCAGAGAATTTTAGCGGAACAAGTAACGCTTTTAGTTCATGGACGTAAGTATCTTAATCATTATCAATTATAAACTGAGGATTAAAATATTTATTTTATTTGCAGAAAAAGGTCTAGATGAAGCCGTACGTGCGTCTTTAATTTTATACGACACTTCAATAGAAGCTTTATCTAAATTAAACGTAGACGATCTTATGAATGCGTTTGTCGGTGCCAAAATAAGTGAATTATATCATGAACAAGGTCTCACGAGCTACGGACTCGCTATGAAGATAAAATGTTTTAAATCAGAACATGATGCATCGAGAATTATTCCAGCAGGAGGTTTTTATATTAATCATAGTAAAGTTACAAATATTAATGAAGTTATAACACCTGGAATACATATTTTGCCAAACAATTTAACTCTTGTGAGAGTTGGCAAAAAAAGTTACCATGTGGTAAAATGGTTATCGTAATATGTAAATATATTTTTAAAATAAATAATTGTTAAGAGTACTTTTGAATAAAATAATTTATGATAATTGTAACGTTAGCAGAATTTTTTTTATATCGTCTTTGAGGTGAGGAAAATCTCGGCTAGTTTGCTCCATTATTTCTATCAGATCACCATTTAAAATCCTCTGACGCTCTAATTCGTCGTTCAATATTGCCTCTGATTTATGAAACATTTTATATTTTCCCTCTCGGACTTTTTGCAGTAGTCCTATTTTACGTTGTTTTCTCACCAGACATTCAAGTTTCTATAATGATAAATCCGGTTATTAAAACAAAACTAGTTAATTATAATTAATTACTTAAGTATTTTCACTTACGTGATGTTTCATAAGTTCAGCTTCAGCTATTTGTTTATCTATCTCATATATTTCATCTTCATAATCCTTTAATAGTTTTTTATTCTCATCAGTTTCTATTTCAAGTATATTTTTTTCAGCTTGTAATTCCAAGATTTGATTCTCCAGAGATTTATTTTCCTGAAATAAATTTTTTTACATTGCAATTAAAAATATTACATATTATTTATAATTGCAGATAATTATTGTATGTTATAATTTAATTTAATTAATCGAAAGTTACACACGTGTATTTCCCAACAAAGTTACTAGCTAGCTATTAGTTAATTACTTTGAACTTAAATCCCAAAGGCTCCAAAGGGTTGAACCCTTTTCGTACTTCATAACTTAACTAGCTCGTAGTCCAGTGGCTTAATGAAAGGAAACTTGCCAAGTTTCAAACAAATAATTTTAAACCTTTGGGATAGCCGTATTTAAAATTTACCCCAAAATTTTACCTTAGAAATTTGTTTAATCTTCATTCTCCGTCCTTCCATACGTTTTTCAAACATGACCTGTTTATTATGACTTCCCCGTAAATTTTTCTGCTCTTTCGCCAAAGCAGCATCCATAATCATTTCCCTACGAACAACACAGTGCTCCATATCTTTAATCATTTTTTCTTGTGCTTTTTTCAAATGCAACAATCTCATTTCCATTTTATGTATCTCACTCTTCATAACAGCAACCTCGCCACCAGGATTCTGTTCTTCTTTAATAACTCTCGAGGTCTCAGCAGCAACTTTAACTTTTTTCTCCCACGATAAATACTCAGAGTGAGCGGCACGTAATTTGTCTTCTAGCAAAGACTTTTCTTCCGCTAAATCACGTATATTATTCTCCAATTTAATAAGTTCAGTCTCTTCATCCTGTAACTTTTTCGTAAATTCATCTTTGGTAATAAAATTTTTATCCTGCAATTGATCCTTAAGTTCTTTTTGTTCTGCAAGAATCGCATTAGTCTTTATCAGACGCTGGTGAAGTTCATTCATTCGTCTGTCGATATTCTTCTCCGTTTTCTTTTCATTCTCAAGCAAACGCTCAAGTTTTAAATTTTTTTGCTCCATTATCATTATCTGTTTACTCAGACGATTGATTTCATCTAGCTGAACGTCTTGTTCCTGAGTCAGTCTAACTAAAAGACTCTCTTGACGCAACCACTGTTGTTGAGATTCTTGATTTTTAGCGTCAAACTCCTCAATACTTTTTTCCAACGAAGCTATTTTAATATCCTGAGGCGCCATATCGATACCACCACCCTCCTTCGAATTTATCTCGTCTATTTTTTTATTCAACTCAACTATTTGTTTCTGCTTACGCTCAATCAATGAATTATACTTTTCTACCTGCCCTTGCAAATCCGCCAATTCTTTTTCTCGAACACTATTAGAGTGTGCTAATTCCTCTAAATCTTCTTTTCGCGAAGATACGTCGCTAGTCAATCGCTCTAAGTTTAATAAATTCTTTCCATACTGATTTTCTGTTTGAATCATCGATAATTCCAATTGATTGGCTGTCTCTCTGGTATCACGCAGTACTTTAGTAAGACTTCTTACTGCTTTATCTTGGATTACTTTGTCTTCAAGTTTCGTTGATACGTCATTCTCCAAAGTCTTCTTTTGATGCGCTAATTTATCAAGTTCTTGATCTAAAGATTTTTCTTCATTTTTTAGACCTTGAAATTCCTAAAAAAAAAATTTACTATTTATTAATAAACATAAATAAAAATATCAATGAATTAATAGAATATTTACATAAGATAAAGCTCCAACTTGAGTATCATAATAATCAATTTGATTATTAAGTTTGTCAATTCTGTATTGCATAGCTTCAGCTTGATCATTTTGGGCTCCATAACCAGCATCAATACATCTAACTTCTTCCTCAAGTCTTGATTTAATTTCAGTTAACTTTTCATTATTCTCCATTTCTTTTTGAGTGTCTTTTTTAACTTTTTCTATCCGAGTAAGTAAAGTTTTAAAAGACTCTCTCATAGTTCTGAAATAAAAAAAAAATCATTAAATTAAAATTGACAATCACTATAAAAAAAAAAAAAAAATCGTTGATACTTACAATCTTTCATGAGACAGTTCATCAAAAACTTTATCTCTTTGTACAATACTGGAAATAACACTGTTCCAGGCATCCATCAAATCCTTTCTCTCTCTCTGAAGTCCCCCGAGATCAGCATCCGCGTCAGCAACAGTCTGAGTAACAACTAATTTTTCTTCATTCTTAATCTCAATTTGTCGTCTTAAATCATCTATTTCTTTTTCGAGTCTCCAAATTTCCTCTGACAATTTCCACAAAATATAATCAGCTTCTTGTTTCTGTCGAATCATTTCTCGTTCAACAGTCGCGTCTTTTTGCGACATTCTTTCAGCCACAGCCATACGATCGGATATTTCTTGTTCGTACTCTGAAAAACGTTTGTACAGTGACGATGTGCTTTCAATTTCCCGCAACATTTCTTCAGCACGTCGGTTTTCTTCTTCAGTCTCATTACGTACTCTGTTACGTATTTCTTTTAGCTCAATTAAATGACATTCTTTTTCTTCTCGGCTTTGTTTTATATCTTCCAATAACTTTCTGTACTTTTCAACCGCGGTTTGTTGGCGTGAAATTTCTCGCTGAGCTTCATACATCTCAAGGCCTTTTTCTTCACGTTTTTTATTTGTCTCCTTACACGTCACTTTCTGCAATAAAAATATACGTCTAAAGTAATTTAAATAAAATATTTTTTATAAAATACTTACAAGTTCATTGATTTCTTCAGTTAAATTTTTATTTATTTTTACAAGATGAGTTTTGAGTGCTTCTTGAAATCGTTTCATCAGAGGATCTTCTGGGTCGAGAACTTTTAAAGACTCAGTAGGCTTGTCTTCATTCCAATTATCTTTTATCAATTTATAAATCTCTTCATCCTGAGAAATATTTGGACTTTGCAACTCTAAAGCCGCCATTTTATTATTTAAATAAATAATTAAGTATATAAATTAATAAATTCAATGTATTTGGCTCATCTAACCAAACATTAAACCAAATTCAACAACTATTGGTTACCATAGATACAAACTAATAAATCGATTGCGAGGAGGAAATAATTACTCACGCTTGTTGCACTTACAAATTGTTATAAAATAATGCGTTAAGTTTGCAACTAAACCAATAACTATAAAAATAATTAATAGTAATTATCTATCCTCATTAGAATTTATAAATGTATCAAAAATTATCATGTAAAATCACTACAATTAACATAGAATAAATTATTATTTCATCACTTTATTGCTACAAAGTCTACGCATTTTAAAGAAAATGATTTCTACAAATGTAGAACAAGGTCAAATCGCAAGATATTTTTTCTAAAGCTATTGAGATTTATCGAATGAAGCGAATCGCGACTTGATCCTCGCGGCATTCTCTTGGGCTAATCTAGCAGCGGCATTGGCCTTCATTACCGCAATCTTCGTATTTTCAAGATCACGTTTCGCTTGTCGCGTCCTTTTGGTCAATTCATGGAGACGCCGGCGTGCATCATTCACTAGCTGTTCTTGCTCGATAAGCTCACGTCTTGCTCCTTGGGATGCTTCTTCCGAGACTTCGACGTTTTTTGTCAACGTGCTCAAAGACCGACTCAGTGTTTTATACTAAGAGAAAAAAAATAATTAGCCAATTAATTTAATATTTATAGAAAAAACAATCAATAGATATAAATGTCTTCTTCATGATTTACTTCTTCACCAATTTGCTGAGCTGCCAGGACAGCAGATTTAACTAAATCCTTAGCTCGTCGAATTGAACCGACTTCTTCATCAACAACAGATTGAGCTTCTTTTACTTCTTGTTGCAGTTGCGTTACAACAGACATTTTTCCAATCAATATCGCTTCAGCAGTTTTTGCAGCAGATGAAGCTTTGTCCGCTAGTTGAGCTTTTATCTACAATTATTAAATCTAATAATTAAATTATTACTTAGAAAATTTTTAAAAATGTAACAAAATATCACTTGATTAAATTTATCTGATAAATTTAATATCATATCTTTTATATCTTTTATGTATATTGCCGCTTGACATAAAATAAATAAATAAAATAAAAAAAGATCTTTACCTGACGAGAAGCTTCAGCAGCAGCTGCATTTTGAATATCTGATGCAGCTTTAGCTTCATTGGCAGCATCTTGAGCGATATTCGTTGCCTTGTTCTGAGTCAAATTATTAACATTATAATAAATATACATAAATCTATTTTTGAGGATATTTATTTAATAAAACATTGAAATTAATACGTGAAAAAATTTACCTCACCTCACCTGCTTCTCGCAATTCTCGGGCACTGTTAGCTGCAACTTTTAACGTATTATCAATCAAAAATACAGTAAATAAAACACATAGCATTCTCATATTTAAAGTAAGTGAGTAATTTTTTTTTTATTAACCCATTAATGACGTTTATTAGCAAGAGTCATTTGTTTCTTCATAGCCTACTTAATTATTTGATTGATTAATACATTCATGTATATATAATACTGAATGTAACTAAATGAATTTATTAATGAGATTATACTAAATACTACGATTAACTTTAGATCTTGCATTGCGAGCAAATTCTTGAGCTTTAATGGCAACACTACGTATTTTTATAAGATCATCTTCTGCGACGTGCAGTCTCTCGACTAAGTCTTCGACACGTTTTTTCGCAGCCCCCAGTAGTTTTTGTTTGCTTGTCAGCGATCGTTTAGCCCCGACGACAGACACATCCGCATTCCTCATACTTGTTTTTACCATATTTACAGCTTTGGTCAGCATTTGTAACTAAAAGAATTTGTCATTAATTATTTCATTTTATTTTTCAGCAGTACGCACTGCTCGAGGTGTTAATTATAATTAAAAACCTGCTGTCTTGAGTCACGCGCCACGCGTATAGCTGCATTCGTACTTTTTCGTATTTGTTCCAACTCTAAACTGCCATCTTGGAACACTATTTGCGCTTCTTTAGTTTCTTCACCCAACTGTTCTAACAAAGCTATTTTACCCGACAATGCTGCTTCGGCGGCTTTTGCAGCACGAATCGCTCTGTCTGCTAATTGAGACTTTACCTATTTAAACCATAAATTTCTTAGTTAATTAGTTAGTAGATAAATTAACGTAAAAATTTATTATTATTAATCTATCAAAGTTACTTGATGAGCAGCCTGTTGCGCAGCCATTCCTTGAGCTTCTGAAGCTGCTTTAGCTTCTTCTACCGCTTTATTAACTATCTCACTGCTTTTCTCCAATTGATCTCTCTTTTCAATTCTTTTTAATCTCATTTCATCAACGTCGCGAACTTTTCGAAGTTTTTCATCCTGTAATATAATTATTTAAGTGTTAATCATCCATAATTGTTTTAATCAGGTCCAAGGGAATTTATAATTATAATAATCAGATTGATCAGACCACAAACGCAATGTTGACAATTATTTCACACTTTATTGCTACGTTTCGTCGGACACCCTGACTTCTTCAAACAATCTAAAAATACATACATCAAATAAATAAATTATTTCAATAAACCATGTCAAAAATACAAATTGTTTCATAGTATGTTGATGATTTTGTTATGTGTATTTTTATATTATATTATATTAATTTTTTGTATTAATCATATTATAACATTTTTGTTTTTAAACAAATTTTATGTAATTAAAATTGTTAAGATTGAATTTTGTAATCTGATTATGGAATATTGTATTATTTTATATTATGTATTGTAATGATGAATTTTAAGACTTATTTGACAATTTGTATTTTTAACATGGTTTATAGAAATAATTTATTTATTTGATGTAAGGTAAAAGACCTAGTTATTGACACTGGCCTAGTTGATTGACACTTACAATTTTATTCTAATAAAATAAATAAAATTTATTTTATTAGAATAAATTTTAAATTTAAATTTAAATCGGCTAAAAAAATCAATTATCTTAAAATTTAGAAGTAAAAAATTATATTTATTAATTTATTAGAGTCGATTTGTTTTATTTAATTAAAATAAAATTGCAAGTGTCAATAACTAGGTCTTTTACCTCATGTATTTTTAGATTACCTGAAAAAGTCGGGATGTACGACGAAACATAGCAATAAAATGTGAAATAATTGTCAACATTGCCTTTGTGGTCTAATCAACCTGATTATTATAAATATTAATTAAGTATTAATAATTTTTTTTTTCAATTATTTTTACTTACCAAATAGTGTGGATTGTAATGATTATTTCCATTGTTATTATTTCCGATAGATTTTAATCCACGAGCACGATTTGTTGTTCCGTTTTGCTGCGCTTCAGCTCCTTTAGCACGTTTCAAGTTCCCAAATGTCAGCGCAACTAGAATTATATATTATATCAATTTATAAATCAAAACTATTAGTTCACTATTAAGCAATCTATGAGAATGGCTAGTAGTTTTATTAAAATAATTTTCATTAATCCGGGTTACCTAAGTAAAGGGCCAGGAAGTACTGGATATTTCTCCAGCGTCTCCGTTTCCTCATGACATATCAACTTGACGTCTAGGTTGTCATAATCTCAATTTGTTCAATCTGAAGTCAGACATAATCATTAATTTTTTTTTGCTAATTGTTTAAGCAGCTTTATTATTTAGTAACATCATTCTTAACTTGTAAAATTAATTAATATGGTACAGATATGAATCTCATCGATGTACAAAAAAAGAATATTGATGTAAGCGTGTCAAGTATGACTTCATCGTGGGTACTTGATACCTTTTAAGCTTTTACGTGTTATATGTAATTCAGCTTTGTTATAATATGAGTATTATACTATTATTTATTGTAATGAATAATATATAATTAAATTTATAAGGTCCGTGTGAAAGTAAGAGCACAACGTACGTCAATAGATAAACGTACTCCGGACCTACGGCAATTTATGTAGTTATACGGAGTATAATACATAATATTTAATAGTTTCTAAAAGTTATTACTCATTCTATGATCTGCAATTTATAGAAAAATATAATCTTAATTCAAGATAAATTGTATCAAAATGTTTTAATGAATATGATTGAAACGCGTTTCGTGTTGAGAGATCAAGCTGAATTAATTCAGGAGTTTTAAGAAATTAATTCTTCATGCAGTTAATAAATTATGTTCAATCCTTAAAAATCTATTAAATAAACTTAAAATTTCAAATATTTTTAATATTTGAAATTTTATTTCAATTAATCACAATTTTACAAGATTAAAAAATCAAACACTGTTATTATATTTATTACAGTGTAAAATTATGCAATACTTAAAGTTTAGGTGACATTTTCGAAGAAAAATTCTATAAGATGTAATTGTAAACAAGCTGGGAGGTCCACTGTCTACAATAGTAAATCCCTTCCGTAGCCTCGCCTCGAACAAACCGCCAAACTGGACCAGCGGGACTATAAGAACTCCTAGGATCGGCGAGTTATCTATCAGTTTGTATTAGTTCCCGCCACGTGAAAGGACAGATACTTTTCCTTGTATTTTTTTATTTTTCTTCTCGTGCCAAACAATTTAATCTTTTGATTCTGTAACAATACGTAAGTTATTTATTGTTCATTATTAGAAACTATAATTAAAACTATAACATTAAAAATTTACTTACAAAAATTAATAATAATCAATTAAATTATTTTTAACAATTATTTCTTCATATATATTTATAATTAAAAGTAAAAAATAATTATTAATTTATTTGTATTTAAATATTAATCAATAAATTATTGTAAATAAATTTACAAAAATTGATCTAGATTTAATTAGTTTAATTAATTAATTTAAAAAAACATCACGATTTATTTGAAATAAAAATCGTTGACAGCTAATTATTTAATTTACTTCCTTGAATCAATAAGAAGATAATTAATTTAATTAAATTAAGTGTAAAAAATTGGCGTACAAAACCAATCGGTAAACTAATAAAAAATTTAATAAAATGTGAAACTAAATTGAAAGTAAAAAAGTAAAAATCACGGATAATTTATTCAAGTAATATTTGCGTCGATTCAATGATAAATTATAAAAGATATTTATGTCATTTCTAAACTAGTTATTTATACCAGTCATAAAAATATTCGTAATACTTCCATTATTCACTCGCAATTACTTAAACGATTAACGGATACGTTGATTTTTACTCCTACAAATTTTAAGCGCCTTTCTATAAGTTTTAAAAGTAATTGGTAATGAAGGTCGATTGTAACTATTTGAAAGGACTGTAAGCTTATAATAGAAAAAATGTAAAAATGTAATAATGAAAGACTAGATAAGTGATACATAAAATATTTATCGCAAGTAAATGTTTATTCCCATCGGGCTCAAGTTTATGCATTTTCATTATACAATATCTTGTATGGTAAGAATAAAAATCCATAAACCGGGCGTTTACTCTCGCTAAGAGCGACTTTCAGAGCGCAACAAGACAAGTAACAGTTAGTGTGTACGCGTTTGTTAAATATACATACACAGATATGTATCTATATCAATTCTTACATTTGCAATAATATCACATAAGTATAAGTAAATGTATTTGCTCGTGAGTAGGCCTAACTTTTAGATTGAGATAATAAGTTTCGCCCAATAAAGAACGTACGAGTCACGATCGGCACGAGCTTATAGCTATAATACATATTAGCATTGATATGCATTAACACACTGGCATGGCATATCACCACTCTGTACTTTTTCTGTCATTTAAACTTGGACATGTACTTGTACTTTTACTCCCACAATTGTTTTAACTAACATATTAGGTAATAAATGTATTGCAAATACTAAGGGCGTGGTCGAAGACAAGACCTGTTAACACAAGAAATTTTCATAAAAAACAAATCGTTTAGCATTTAACAGAGCAATTATTACTTACTTTTACGTTCATTTATTCTAGCTACTTTGTTATTGAGCAAATAGAAAGAAAAAATCATACTTGAATAATTTAACAATTTAAAAAAAAATATATTTCTTAAGTAAACTGTTGATTATTCAATGTCGATTGTTTATTAGACAAAATAAAGTAAACCGGTAATCAAATTCCCCTCACTCGATCTCTTGCATCATAGCGTGATACCAATTACGCATGGATAAGCTCGCTTTCGTCGCGAGCACTGTTATGTCTCGATAACATGGATTTGTGAATTTAAAAATAATCTAGAGAACAAGTTACAAGTTAGTCCATGATTGATATACATACATAGTAATAAACTGTTATTAAAAATATAATTAGAAAAAAAATCTTGAGTTATGGCATAATCGATTCTTCGGTACGAATGATTGTAGTTGATCGAGAACAGATTATTAGATAATCAATTCCATAATTGAATAGTTACAGGTGATTGACCATGCGGCTATCTAAATTTCGGTGAAATTACTTCGGAATCCATCATCTTGATTTCTAAAACATACATAAGAGTTGATTAATTAAAAACTTATTTATTTTCACAAAAAATTAGACGACAAAGAAGACTATGATATTTTTATATTTCCTAAGATAATTAAATCTTAGATTGGAAACAAATATTATCCCTTATTAAAAAAAAAGATTCACTCCAGGCAACTACATATATATAATATATATAACAGTCAATTCAAATTTTTTTAATCGTTTTTTTTTTAATTAAGGATTCCCTTTTCAGAGTTCGGCTGCCTAATTTTAAAACACAGTTACTGCAAAATTTTAATACTTAATTTTTTTTAATATTGCTGCATTTTTTATAACTTTTAGACCTTAATTTCAAGTATTTTTTTTAAATATTTATATTTAAGTATTTTCTATTCATAAATCAAATTTTTCATCAATGTGGCAAGCAAACTTTTTTATTTAGATAAAAATAATTGAAAAAAATTTCTCAATGTTAGTTACAGTGTTTTGAAATTAAGCAGCCAAGTTCTTGACAATTACATAAACAAAAATGTAACAAAGTTTGTAGAACAGACTATACATCTGCTAAAAATATAATAATAATAAATATTCTCACAAAAAATTAGTTCACTTAACTATCTGATAATTTATTCATGATCAAAATATTTAAGAATGAATTTCAATTTCTAATTATGAATTAAACTAATTACATAATTTAATTCGAATGTTGCAGATAAAAAAATGTACAAACTGCTAACTTTATCTCTGGTATGTACGAGTGTGGTCTTTGGTAATCCAGCAGCAAAGCAGGGGAAAGAAGCTCGCAAACCACGCGAATATATCGAAGGCTACGAGCACGCTAATCATGGAGCATATGCCTTTCTGGCTGACTTGCCAAACGCTAAGCTTGGTAAATTCGACAGCTACTCGGCTCCATCCCACCCGACTCATTACAAAACCGGGTTCAGCGTTGGCGGAGGCCTAGTTTCTATCGCGCGTGGTGCTGCTGATCAAGCAAGAACTCAAGTCAGCCAACAACACTCAGCAGCTGGACAAGCTGCTTACACCGCGAAGAACCAATTGGCCCAAGCCGCAGCACAATCCGCAGCAACAGCAGGCGCAGCGCTTGCTGGAAAGCAAATTATTCTTTCAGGTCTTGAACAACAATCCCGTGACGCCCATGTAGCAGTTGATGGTGAAAAGATGCAGCTTCAACAGGCAGCGAGAGCTGCAGCTGCTGCTAGGAATGCAGCCCAGCAAGCTATGCATCAAGTTCAGGTTGCTACCACCGCTTTGAACTCTGCTCAGGCAACTGCTGACCACTCAGCTCAAGCTGCTGCTGAGGCTGCCGCTGAATTAGCTGCTCAGACCAGCATGGTAGGTCAGGCCAAGGCCCGTGCCAAGACTATTGATGAACAACTCGCTGCAGCCCGTCTTGACTTCCTTGCGACTCAATCTGCCAACGACAAGGCCACTGCTGCTGCTCAATTAGCTCAAAACAACGCTGCTGCTGCTGCTGCTCATGCTGCTGAAAGTGCTCAAGCTCTTGCTCCTTTGCCTTCTGTTGCTGAAGAAGAAGATCACCACCACGACGATCTTCATGACGTTCAACCCGATGCTCACTATGATGCTCACCACGATGGTCATGGTCACCTCGATGGTCACCATGATGCCACTTATCTCGTTGAACACCACCAACAAGAACCAATCCACGAAGTTCATGGTCATGCTCACGGACATGTTCATGCTCCAGTCCACGGTGTTGCTCACTTGCAACCAGTTCACTACGCTGATCATCATGATGACTCTTATGCCCCTCACAAGAATTCTCTTCACGCCCAACACAACGGAGCAGCCTACGTAGATAATTATGATTACAAAGGATATTATTAAGTAAAGAATTCATTTAAAATCATAATTATGTGATGTAAAATTTGTTTGTACAGGATTCATTTTGTATATGATTGAAAGAAATTTAATAAATTTTTTAGTTCTTCATTAATTCTATTAATTGATGTCATCAAGTTAGACCGTTGCATTTGTAAATATCACATACCTTTGGGAAAATTAAGGTATTTTTCGATTCAATTTGTCAAACTAAAGCGATAAATATTTTTGGATCAAAAAATTTGTATTATATTGCATCAACGAGAAATTGATTGTTAACATGAACTGATATCTTTACTCAGCTATCTTTGTTCAAGAAGCTTATTGATTCTTCAATGCAAACTTATTTATTATTATTATTATTATTATTATTATTATTATAATAACTAGCAGACATCTAACAATTTTTTCTATTATATTTACAAATCAATTATAAAAAAAATATTTAAAAAAAATTTACAATTACGATTTTTTCTTATTTCTAAACATAGATTCTTTTATGAAAATAAAGTTAGCCGACATTTAAAAATTTTTATAATTTATTTTATTAAAAAATAATTTTTAAAAAATTAAAAGAAAAATTTTCACATGCAGAAAATTTTAAAAATTATGCGTGCAATTTTTTAAAAATATTTTTCTAGTTCTAACTTAATTAATAAAAAAAATAAAAAATTGTTGTTGGCTATTTTTAGTATCATATTTTATTATTTTTCCATACTCTTTTTTAGTAGATTTCATAGGAAATTTAACTATTACGTTTGTCCTGGATAATACTAAAGTTAGCCGACGTTTTAAAATTTTTTTAAATTATTAAATTAGAACTAAAAAATATTTTTAAAAAATTTCACGTATTGTTTTTCAAGTTTTTGACAAATGAAAAATTTTTTTTTATTTTTTTGTAATCATTTTTTTAGTAAAAAAAAATTCTAAAAATTTTCAGATGTCAGCTAACTTAATTTTCATTTGTCCTGGCAAGTTTTGTGTAACAATATCATTTTTTAACAACTTATAATCACAATATCAATAAGTTTTTTCTTTTTACAATGTCATTTTTCATCGTATGATGATTTATCTCTACTTGTTTAATTTTAAAATCTCTTCTGAAACAAAAAAATGCCTACTGTGCTGCCACCTAGCGATTTGAATTGTGGTAACGTTCCGACTTACCTACCACTTTTGACCAACAATATAAACTTCTTCTTAACCAACAACAATAAAAAATGAATTTTGACATTTGCAATTCTAAATGTAAAGTTTGCAATCAGTGGCCGTGCAAGTGTTTATACTAGTTGAATTGATTCAGCCAGTGATTTCACACTAATTATTTTTCATAGCTTATGTTTAATTTTCTAAGACAAGGTAGAGTAAGCCAGTCAGTTACGGTAAGTTGAAGTTGGACGATAATCAGCTGTCTCATTGGCCGCGGAACAAACTGTAGAATTACGCGTATGTATTTCACACACATGTACGTATATCGATGTATATATGTATATAAACTGTATGTATAATTCGTTGATTTCTTTTTTAGTAATAAAAGAACAGTGATCGAGGTACGCGAGAGAGCTGCAAGCGAGTATGACAAGAGCAAAGAGTGTGTAATGTATGTACAACTCTGATGACTAGAATGTTCAGTAAGTGAAGTTCATTCAAATCAGCATGACGTACTGGTTCTGACAGTACAGTGATAGAGACACCAGAAAATAAACGTGGTTATATATATTTACAGGTTTAAAAACAATAGCTGTAGTGATATATTTTTATTTGCAATAAGTTCAACATTGAAGGATAGTCGCCATTGAAAAAAATTAACAACGTCCGGTTGGGCCTGTCTTAAGTTATTATGTTTAAGTTTATATATAACCCATGATAAATAAACTAAAAAACTGAAGATACCAAGGATGAAGGTTGAAGGATAATTACGAGGTCGTGAAGGAAACAGGAAACTAGCTATCAATAATCGATTGTTACGCTTAACTAAATATTAATTTGTAAGCTTACATCTTCAAGTTTATTTTACATATATAGTCACTGACTATTACTATTATTTCAACTAGTGGCTGGTGAACTTTTTTTTATTAATAATCTGTGAATGAGATAAAAAATTATCGTGGCCTTGACAATTTAAGAAATGACGAAACAGTGATTGCTTCTTTTGGTTTGTTCAATTTTTAATAAATACTCTCTCTTTTTTTTTTACAGTAAATCATTTATTTATAAATTAATTAATTTTATTCTGTGATAAGGTATTGTTGAAGAATACTTGAATAATGAGTTCAGTGTGGAAAAGATTGCAGAGGGTGAACAAGAGAGCTGCCAAGTTCCAGTTCACCGTCTCTTATCATGAACTTACTCTCGAGACAACATCTAAATGGTGAGATAAACTTTCTAAATAATAAAGATGTCGTAATTTATTTTTATAACTTTATTATTATACCTCATGCCTATTATTAAATTACAGAAAAATAGTAATTGATTTTTTCAATAAAAAAAAAATAATATTCTTTTTTTTTTTTTCTATCATTCAGGAGACCCAATAAATTGAGTGTTGTTTGGACAAGGAGAAGTAGAAGAGTTAGCTCAGACCCGCTAGAATGGGAGCCTTGTTTGAGTGATCCAATGATCGGAATAGTCAGTTGGGCTGTTCCTGATAACCACACTGTGTCCGTGACACTTTTTAAAGACCCACGTACTCATGAGCTAGAGGATAAGGACTGGACTTTTGTTATTGAAGATGTAATAAATACTTTAAATTGTTTAATTGACTGATTGATTGTTTAATTTATTCATGGAATACTTTAATTTAATATTGAATAGGTCTCTCCAACGGGAAAAAGAAGGCACGTCGCGGCAACAAATATTAATATGAAGAAATATGCGACCCTGGAATCAAGTCAGCAACAGCTCAAATTAGATCTCAAACCAACGTCGAAAAAAATAGTCCGTGCTACGTTGGAGTGCACGTTATCGTGTGTGTTCCTACGAGAAGGCAAAGCTACGTAAGATATATTTATATGTTACTCTTAATCTATAATCACTAGCTATTTTTTTTTCAAGTACATGTATATCATCACTAATGATCATATTACTCAGCATTTACTAATAATTATAATAATAATAATAATAATGGTGATGATAATATATACATCTTTGATTTGTTTACGTATGAAATAGAGATGAGGATATGCAGAGTATGGCCAGCTTGATGTCTGTAAACAATAACAGCGATATAGCGCCTTTAGATGACTTTGATAATGAAGATATCCCTGAGGATGTCGAGGAGTTATCGCTAAAGAATTTAGACGAAATTCTTGATATTTCAACGCAACTAGAAATGATGACGAATAGTCTGACTGAAAACGAAATGCCAAGTACTCCGATAAGCGGTAAAATATTTATTTTTTTTTTTTCTATCTACTAATGAAATAAATATTTGATCATTTGCGTAGATAATAAAGTAGGTGATAACTATTATTATAATAATAAACTATAATTAATATTTTAGTGGCTAGCTTAGTTAAAGACGATGCAACACCGGTAAACGATCAAGTTAGTGTAACACGTGATGTCAGTTTAACGGCTATCCCTGATAATATCAAGGACAGATCGCCTATTAAAGATGAGATCGCCGTTGAAAACGAGTACGTTTATTTTATTTTTATTTTTATTTTTAAAGACAATAAAATAATATCTAGTTCATTGTTCTACTTAAATTACTGTACTAATGATTCTTAATAAGAATTAAAATTATTTTTATCTATTTATTTTGTTTGTTTTTTTTAGTAAAAACGCTTCAATGAGATCAAAGCTACAACCATTGGACTTGAAAAAAAATGAAACATGTGCACCACGTATGCGAGAAATAACACCGGGTCAAGATCTTTTAGAGTGGTGTAAAGATGTTACACGTAATTATTCAGGCGTTAAAGTAACAAATCTAACGACGTCGTGGCGTAATGGAATGGCGTTTTGCGCAATAATTCATCACTTTAGACCTGACCTTATGTAATAATTTACAATAATTCTATTTTTATTCATTTTTTTTTTTCTTAAATTTACGTCTTTGTCTGTGACATTGCGTAGAGCTCGTTTGCTTTTGTGATTTAAAATTAGACTATGGAATATTTATATTTATGCTTGTAATTTATTACTTCTCAGCGACGTGGATTCATTGTTGCCGCATGACGTCAAGGGTAATTGTAAAAAGGCATTTGACGCGGGGGAAGCACTCGGTATTCCACGTGTTATAGAACCAGCTGACATGGACATACTAACTGTACCGGATAAGCTAGCGGTAATGACGTATTTGTACCAATTAAGAGCCCATTTTACTGGTCATGAATTAGAGGTAAGTCAATGTTCAATACACGTACACGCACATACTTCCATAAATAATGAAATAGTAAATTATTGAATGATCATTTTTTTATGTATGTGTCTATGAAAAAATAGGTTCATCAAATCGGTAAAACCGCAGACGAATCATCGTATATGATTGGTAGGTTCAATACGGACAATAATTCCGAGGTGAGTGTACAATTATTTGGTCAAGAGATCATTAATATGCGGAAAAAGGAAAATATTGAGCAGAGAAGCAATAAAAGTGGTGATACTAATACAAACAGACGGTCTAATCCGTTTGATTATAAAAGAGATGAAACTTGTGGTGAATCGCTGAAAAATAAATTACACCTTAGTTTAAATACTGATATTCAGGATAATGAACCAGGTAAAGATAAATCACCGTCTAGTGTTAAAGACGTCAAGGACATTATTCTCGCAAGTTCGAAAAGTATCTTGGGAAAAGTTTTATCGCCGACTAAAGAAAAATATACCAGAGAAAAGGTTCGTCATTGGTTATTCAATTTTTCCATAGCCAATTTATTATATTTTATTTTTTATAAATCCAGAGTAAATCTCCACCACGGTCACTTCACGTTCAACAGCGTCCAATTCTCATGACGAGACGTCAATTAACGGATCCATTTGGATCTGATGATGAAGACGAAAATATTCAAGTTGTTGACGACAAGTGGTCTCAATCGATTTCTATCACCAAGTCACCGACCTCTCCACGAGACGTACGAATTTATTACTATATTATTGTTATTATTGTCATTATTATTGTTGTTGTGTTATCATTTTTTGTTTGTTATGTTGAACATTAGTGTACATAATTTTTTTTTTGTCATTATTTGTTTTTGTTTTGTTTTTTTAATGTAGGAAATAATTGATCGAGCTATTCGAGCTAATTCAGAAGGTCCTCGTGGTCTCTCTCCATTGCACGGCGAATTACGATCACAGCATGTAATTGTCTAGTCACTTATTATTTGAATTAGAGAACAAAGACACTTGTTTTTTAACAAAAGAAACAGTTGAATATAAAGAAAGTAATAGGTCATGTTATTTTTATTTCATGTTTGAACAGCCGCTGGTCACTCGACATGACGAGCTGAGAGAGCGTGCACGACAACTCTTGGAGCAAGCCAGAAGTCAATCTAAAACATCAGCAATGTCTTCGCCAGTTTCAAGTCCCATTGATGTGAGTCTTAATTACTTATTAATTATTTAATTTGCTAAATTTATAATACATACTAGCAACCTTGCAGTCACCTTGCTGTGACTGCCGTGACTTGTGAACTATAAATAAATAAAATTTTGCTTTATTAAATAACTACTTTTGTTAAATTGCACTGTACTTTTTTAACTATTGACGTTTTTAAAAATATAAGCTCATCCCGACGTTACACTCATCAAGAGCTTTCATTTGAGTACCCACATGGATTTTGATATATTTTTCATATATACATATATATATAATATATATAAATATATGAAATATTGATGTGGGTACTTAAATGAAAGGTCTTGTTGAGTGTGACATCGGGATGAGCTTATATCTTAAAAAATATCAATAGTTCACAAGATACAAGGTCATTTCTTAATTATGTTAAAAACCCATATTATCATATAAATACACTGGCCACAAAATTTTGCTTATTCTCTTAATAATATAGATAATACAATTAAATAATTTCAGTCTCAAAATGAGGACGATCGGCAACAGCAGCTGCGTGAGCGAGCACGTCGGCTGATTGCCGAAGCACGGATGGGTGTTGTTTTAACTCCAAGTCAGCTCGGCGATGATAACAATAGTGATAGACGATCTACCGATGATCAAAATAATAGTCCAAGACGTAGTATGACTCCTTCAACACCCGGTGATCGTTTGAGTATAAAGGCAGGTGTTATCTTACATTTAAAATGTGTTAATTAGACACGTAATGATATTTAACAATACTCGTTTTTATTTTTGCAGTCTGAATATAATGGAAATATACTGGCTAATGCCAGCGCTATTGATAGTGATAAAAAAAATAATTCACCTATGTATTCTTACAATAAAATAATCGAGAGAATTTCACCTGATAAAATTAGCCCGGAAAAAAGCCCACAGACAATTCGAGGGGTAAAAATAAATTTATTACTCATTTATTTTTAGATTTATTGAAGAATAGAATTATTTATTTGATTTAATTACTGTTATTATTTGTAGCTGGGTAAAGATATGACGTCTTACATCCAAAATGAATTAGAGGCTTTAGAAAGAGAACAAACCCAAATAGACATACAGGCGGCGAAACTTGAAAAACAATTACGAGCCGCAATGGAGAGTGATAATGAAGAAGACACTGAACGACTCATGTCACTATGGTTCACGCTTGTTAATAAAAAGAATGCTTTGTTAAGACGGCAAATGCAGCTTAACATTTTGTAAGTAGCTTTAATAAATAATAAATTTATGATATCTATTTATTATTTTTGTTCTAAATAGAACAATAGTAATAAATACTTTTCAATTTTAAGTTAATTGGCTGTACAGTAATACAACAATTTTTATTTATTTGTAATATTTGGTCTGGGCCGTTCGAATCATTTTTTCAGTCAAATTTATCTTTAATGACAAATTTAGATATAAAATGTGACTAAATTGTTTATGCCTGGAGGGAAATACAGGCTAAAAAATATTACAAATAAATAAAAATTGATGTATTAGCCTAAATCCTGGAAAAAATAGACCTGGAAATAATTTTAAAGTTAAGAAAAATTCATATTATTTCAGATTTATTAAATTATTATTATTTTATAATTTAAAAATTCTTTTCGAGCCTTTTTTCCGATTACCATTAGACTGGATAGCCAATTAACTTAAAATTGATAAAGTAATTAAAAACCTGTCTTTAAAAATAAATATTAAAAAAATATTAATAAATTTTTAATCTATCTGTAGAGAAAAAGAAGATGACCTGGAACGACGTTTTGAATTATTAAATCGTGAGTTACGAAGTATACTTGCTGTTGAGGATTGGCAAAAAACAGCCGAGCAGAAAGTAAGAGAAAATCTTTTACTTGAAGAACTAGTTTCTATCGTTAATAAAAGAGATGAACTGGTCCATCATTTAGATACGCAAGAAAGAGCGTAAGTTTTAAATATAAATTTTTTATTTTTATCTTTTTATTCTTCGCATGATTAATCATTGATGTATATTATTTTTGTTTACTACAGAATCGAAGATGATGACGAGATCGAACGTGATTTATCACGTGCTGGTTTAGCGCAACGAAATAAAAATTGCGTGATACAGTGAATAGTAATAATACTATATAGCAATAAATGTTCAATTAATTTTTTTTGCTAATGGAGTTGCCAAAGAAAATGATAAAAATACGTTTCATGAGTCGTGATGTGTTAGTGATTAATTTAAAACTTACAATATAAAAAAAAAAAAAAAATCATTTATAAATCGGTGCAAGGATTGATAATTTTATAAAAGTAAACTTTTTTTACCCGCTGTTGCTTGTTTAAAGGCTTTAGTTTTCTCACTACGTTATTAAATTTATTCGATATAAAGAAATATTGTTTAGTTTTCATTAGTTAGTTAGTAATTAATTATATTAAATATAAAAAATAAAAAAAAAAACGATAATTAAAGTACTAACGGATTCCCGTGTAGTATAGGTTGTTCAATACTGCAAATGCAGTCTAATAATTAATAAATAAAATTTCTTAATTACTTAATTATACTTAAATAAAAATATTTGACTGGTACAAACTGGCTGACCAGTATAATAATAATAATAATAATAATAATAATAATAATAATACTGAATTCGTCCGATAATCTTTAAAACACGGTTAGTTAAAATAATAATCGACATACTCAAATCTGTGCCATAAAATCGTCAAGATATGACAGATGATTTAAATAAATGGCATGCGTGTAGATTTATATTCTAGGCATGCGAATAATTGAAAAGAGTGAATTATTTATATTTTTCATTGCTCACAATTGAATTTTTTTCTACCCACGATGACTGTTGCTAAATGACTGTTAAAAATATTTTCTTTAATTATTATTATTTCTTTTTTTTTTTTATAGTTTATTGATATAAAATTAATTTAAAAAATAAAGAGAGAAAGAGAAAGAAAGTAACAAAGTTATTATTAAGTATGTATATTTTGCTCTAAATTATTATAAGAAAAAAATATTAAAAGATGGAAATATTTTTTTAATTTGCCTAATTGAATGTGTTGAATCACAATTTATGCCAAATTTTTTAACATTGTTAATTCGTTGTAGTAAAAACAATTACACCAATATATAAAGATTAAAAAAGTCAACATTCACATTTTACTAATTTTGTGTATCACGTACATAAGCTACTACTACCGCAGTCTCTTTGATTACCATTTTAAAAGCTTTGATTGTAATTGCGACATTTATTATAAATACTATAAATTCATGCGAAATAAATTAAAAATTTCTATATCGGTATTTATGATCAATAAGATTGAAATTTTTAATAAATCCGTATGCATTGGATTGTATCATCAATTGTACGCTGATGTGAGAGCTTATTTATAAATCTTGACACTTGGTCTATATGGTGTAAATACTTGGAGTGACTAATAGATTTTAAATAGTTAACTTAACACTATTCAGTAAATTAATTGAAATAAAAACAATAGTTATAAGAGTGATCTCTGTAAATACCGCCACTCTCGCCTACAATTTTTTTTTTAATTAATTTAGCACTTTAGTACTTGGTTTATGTAAAATGAAACCTTATAAATTTCATTTTATCGAGTAAACGTCATATATTTAATAACAACAATAATAAAGTGTTCATTGACGCCAGCAATACAATGCAATAATTGATAATTATAGACTTGAGCTTCGCGAGTATCATAAAATTATTTATTAACATATTATGATACTTGTTATTTAACTATTATTAATACTTATCATTATCAGACAATTTAGCGTTTCTGCCGTCGATGGATATGATAATAAATTGTCATTTAAATATATTATTTTATTTTAATATTTTATATTATTATTGTATTGTAATAATAGTATTAATGTATAAGTTTTATTTTATTATGTATATCATACTTTTATCCGGTGCAAATATACGGTGTGATGTGACAAACAATTAAACGAATTGTCAATTTATTTAATTATTAATTATATACATGCATTTATTTATTGTGTGTACATATTTTATTATGCACGTACCCGCATATTTGATGCTTGGAGCATCTCTTTGGAATAATTATTTAATTATTAAACATTAATAATAAATCTACTTAAATTTTAAAAATCTGTTTATATATGTAAATAATCAAAAATTTATATTTTTTCAACATAATTTGAAGGAAACAGTCCAGTTTTTCCTTTTAATTTTCCGTGCCACCAACCACCTTCGTGTTCCATCAAAACCTCAACAATGTCACCTTCTTTGAGACCTAGTTCATCCAAATCTTGAGGCTGGTAGTCATAGAGAGCTTTTACTTTAGGTAAATGTGATACTGGAGGTGGTCTAGGTGGTAATTTGTTTCTATTCGCATTATGAAGCGTCGCTGCTAGCCTCTGGTTAGGATCTTCATACTGATTAATATGTCCTCCAGAAAATCTATTATTACTATTACTATTATTAGTATTATTATTACTATAACTATGATTACTTCCATTAACACTACGTTCATTATTACTATTACTTATTTGATTATTGTCTTGATTAATCAACAGTCTTTGATTATTAATAGGATTGTAACCTGGATAAATAATTGGCTGATTCGGTGGTGCCGGATCGGAAGGAGGTGGTGGTGCTCTTATCAATCCGACACGTGGACCACCTGTAGGATTATTAGTTAAAATTTTCCCGAGTGTCGCTGACAGAGCGGGGACTTTACCGTTGTTAATGTGATTATGTTGCGGCACAGGCCGGATATTTGGTCGATTTGGAGGCAGTGCGGGTCGTAAGCCCGAGGAAATAACGGGAGTATTAACTGGTGCACCAGCAGCAGCTGGTGACGCACGGGGAGTTGATGATGGGATGGGCGGTCTACTTCCTATTGTATCGGTGTTATCGTAAATATTGCTCGATGTTACTCCTCCAACAGTAGGTCGATAAGCATTACTATTGCTTTGATTAATCGACTTATTACTGTTATTATTATTATTATTATTATTATTGAATGAACGTGTGCCAGTTGTTCTGGTGCCAGATAAACGCGATGGTCTCGATGTTGATGGCATACCGGGACCGATAATAACATTCAGGATTTTTCCGTTTATCTTTAACGTCTCTTCGTCGCCGTAACCGGTCATTGAAAATTTAACTTGTCGCGTTCCTCCACCACCCCATCCTTCCTTTTTAACTTTAAACTCTAAGTTATTGCTGAATCTAATGTTCAAAGCGTGACCCAGTTGTTCAAAGTATTTTTTACTAAATGCAGACAAAAATTCCGTTTTAAACATAAGCTGCAATAAACTAGCGTAGTCTTCTTTTGCATGAATTATTATAAAATCATCTTGCAGCGTGCTTAGTGACACGTGACTTATTTGATCAAAGGTAAGCTTTCGCTTGATGACTTCCTCACTCAATCGTTGTCTTCTTGCTCCTGGATCTTTTTTACTTTTTTCTGCTCGGCCAATTAAATACAAACAATTACCAGTAAGTACTAAATCTCTACGGCACATTTTGAAACGTCGATCATATTTTTTAACAACTTCTGCGAAAAATATTTTATCCCGACGACCCAGAAGATTTTTAATACCTGGTCTACTATCCAGACCAATATAATCTCCAACAAAGTTTCTTTCTAGACTCGCGCGTCTACGTTGTTTGTGTCCGTACAATAAATCAGTAGCCGCTTGCTTTTCAGCTTCTTGCCGTTTACGAGCAAAATATTTTTTAAATGCTTTTTGAATTACACGGGCGTAATAATTGTACTTACGATCTCGAGCCTCCTCGAGCATGAATAAACTTTCTGGAGCTTTAACAAAAACTTTTGTTTTACCAAGCTGGTACTGTGTCTCGTCAATCTGAATGCTGGACATGATCCATTGGATACCACGTTTTTCATCTCCTCTCCAGTATGGCCAAGTTTGAGGCGTAAGGATAGCGTACCTGTGTAAAAATTTAGCAAACGGACGTCTATAAGCAAATCCAGCTCTTCTTACACGTATATTTTCTTTCAAGCCCAAGTACTCAACTTGATGTTTTACTCTAAGCGCATCCCAATCACGTGGTTTTTTAGTCTCGTTCGGTTTAATACACCGGATGTAGTGAGGCGTACACTTGATCAACTGAGCAACCAGCCGACTCGCTTGATTGCGAATTTTACTGCCCGCTGTAGTTGGTCTCGATTTAAGTGTTTTAGTCTTACTATTGATAGTTAATTCCTCTTCCGGTGGATACAATAGTTGTACCAAACTATTAGTACTGGTACGCATGAGATCTATCAGGTCAGTAAACAAAACATCCCGGTTTTTGTCACAAAATCCGTCAACTGAGTAAATAACTTGGCCAGCGTAGTGCAAGATTGCAAAACCATCGCCGTTAGCGTGGAAATGAGCGTGACTACTGGCAACAACGGATAATTTTTTTTGTAAATCCCCGTCAGCAGCATCACTACCACCATGAAGAGTTGCGCAAACGTCGTCAAGGACTAGGAAAATACCGGGAGGTCGTTTACCTTCCAGTAGCTCAACAACAACAGCATTATTAAAGTAATCTATCGGTGTCCATTTAATATTTTCTGCGACATACTCCTCCTGTTTTAAAAAGACAAAAAGTATATTAATTAACAGATGTACAATTATTTAGAGTAATTAAGGTCTTGGATAATTATTGTTATTATCTAATTAATGTGATAATTTACCTGCTCAGCTTTCAAGGTCAGCTCGATAAATATTTGTTGTAACTTTTCATTGACAAAGTTTATACAAAATTGCTCAAAGCCATTTGTCTCGAATATTTCGAATCCGTAAATATCAAGGATTGCTATTTCAAATGCATCGCCAGTTGTCATCATTGCCGAATTCACTCGTTTAACTAGATAATCAAAGAGTCGAGCGTATATGTCCTTGGCTAAAGCATCGCGGGTATAAAGTGCTTGAGCGACATTGAGAGTTACATCTACAGACTCAGACTGACTGCCCCATTTCGACTCAAATCCACGTGATATCAATTTATGGGACAATTTTTCTGCTGATATACCCAACAAATATGCCGGCAATCTTAGCACTGAAATATTAAATATTTACAATAATAATAAAATATTTATTAATGTGTATGGGTAACTTAAACTATTAATAGTTTTAATATGCAGTATAAATTTCTTGCCTCTTGGATCTGCAATTTGGGAGTAATTTCCGTTTTCTCGGAATTTAATTGTCCCTATGTGAAGAATCCCGGCTACCAGACGTAGTATATTAGATACTTCGGTCTCTTTGATGTCCATAACGCTCAAAGCTAAAACATTTTACGCTAATTAACGTTCGTCTCTCAACTAATTATATTTTTTCATATCATAAATCATAAATAACAACTATTTAATAATCTAAGTTTATGTTCAATGTCCAGCTATACTTATCAATATATCTAGCTCAAAATTAATTAAATTAGATTGAAATGATTAGAAAGAATTTTTAATCATTCTTGATAAGATTATTGGATTAGAAAAAAAAAAAAAAAAGTTATCAACTAACAACTTGACTGGATTACCTTTCAAAGTTTCTTGAAAATCTTTGGCATCACTGCTACTTCCTCGATCACCCATACGGCAAATATTACCGTCCCAATTCATTAAATAATCACAGTCGTCGAGTTCGTTTCTCAAGCCGAATTCCGCTACAACAAACAGGCTTATATTATGTACGCGCACGTACAGAAGTTGCAGTGCGAAGTAGAAACAACCAAAGACAAGGGGAGAAAAAAGTTAACGAGAATCCCTCGCTCGTGGCCTCGACAACTTTAAAGAGCCCACACCAAAGCAACGCACGTATCGTGTCTCTTTATACTACTTACATTTCATCTGCTCATTTGCTCCAGCTGTCAGTTGATAAAACACATGGAAGCTTCTCTCACCGCCATTATGCTTGACAACCCGTGATTTTTCGAGCAGGAAGTTTGATATTTTACCGCCGATAGGCTGTCCACCATCTCCAAATTGCATCTCTACATACTTTCCCTATTAAAAAAAAAAAAAAATAAACAATTATTCAATGCATTTATCTCAAATATTAAAAAACAATTACTCATTTACATATAAACAACACAGAGTTTTACTCTTTTTTTCTTAATTAAATTCTAATTAATTTTCTTAAATTTTAAATAATTTCTATTGATGTATATTGCCGATAGGCGTATGTTGACTAATAAATAAATAAATAAATAAATAAATAAACTTAAGATAAAAATGTTTAAATAAAAAAATTTAAACATTTTCACACTCTTTAAATCGGCAATAAAGATAAACAAACGTTTAACTTACAAATCGACTACTATTGTTATTCCTAATAGTCTTGGCGTTACCAAACGCCTCGAGCAGAGGATTGGATTCCAAGATAATATCCTTAATTCTCTGTACACGATCCCCGCCGCCGCTGACCCTCGATACATAAGCCATTATGTACTTAGCAGCTACCGTCTTGCCGGCGCCTGACTCACCACTGTTTCATGTTTACGATTAAATCAATGAGAACAAGAAATAATTTACAAGAAAATGGAGAATAAAAAAGCAATAAACATCTCAACATTCATATAAGAAATAAAATGTATGTATCTCGTATTAACAGAGGTCTTGTCACGAACCTTATGATGACGCATTGACTCTCGACGTCTATCAACATGTTGCGGTACATTTCATCTGCCAACCCGTATATATGCGGTGGATTTTCATACGGGGCCTGTAATGTAGAATATTAATTACATACAAGTCTAAGTACCGAGAATTTGTACACTGTAAAAAATTATTGCGTCAAACTTTTTTTTCAAATTTATTGTTGTTTTTAATGATTAGAAAATTGAGCACCTAGCTCAGTAAAACTATAAAAACTTTTCACACCATACCGAAGAGACCAGTAATTTTTTTTTACAGTGTAGTATAATTATTGTTATTGCATAAAATAAAAGTAACTATAATTAACTTACAGCTCCTTGATATATTTGAACTTCCTTCTCGCCAAAGTACGGCATTTGTTTAAATGGATTAATAGAAACCAAGACAGGCCCGATGCAAGTCTAATTATTATTATCATTTTAATTATCAGTACATTAAGGAAAGTGTTAAATATACTTGTGGTGGTGTATAATAACTGACAATAAAGTAAATGATGTAATTTAATGGCACAAGAGCTTCACTGAGGTCAGGAGTCTTGTAAAAAAATTAAATCATAGGATTATAGGATGAGAGTTTCTCACACTCAATCCTCTGAATGTTGAATTAGCATTCAGACTTAAATAATAATGATAATAGTAAAAAAAGGTGGATGGAGTAAGTAAGTAGAAAAGGAAGAGTACAAATAATTTGTTAATGAAAGGATACGTATATGTAGTCATCCATATATCTCTTGCGTAAATTATCCATGATAGCATCCTCGGTGATCTTAGGAAGTAGTACCATGTCATCGACCCCGGATACTTTGACATTTTGACTCTGCCAATGATGGATGACCTGAAAAATGTTTCAATTTAATATTATGTTTTTTTCAATTATTTGATAATTGTTTTATTTTATTTAATGACGGCAATTTAGTACAAGTGCATAATGTTTTATGCAAAAATTAAATTCACAATTCTCGTAGAAAATGAACCAATCACTCTCGCTCTTGTTCAGAGGCAATGTAAATGGGAGTGTCGAGGCTCGAGAAGTGCTTCCGGTCATGAAACTCATGACCGCGCAACGACCAGAGAGCTCTTTACATACTCATATTTAACTTTTTTTTACTCTTTCTTTATTTCTTTTGTAAATGCTCACTCGGCATCAAAGAATTCAGGACATTTTTCGGATTACGTGTCAAGTATTGTTTGTGTCCGATGAAAAGTGAGGAAGAAATGAAAATTTTTATGTTTAATTTAAATGAAAAATAGATAGAGAAGAAAAGAAGAATAGCAACGTTTCCGTTTTATTTATAGAACTTTATTTACACGTTTTGATGATTTTGTTGTTGTTGATGTCGAAAATGTTAATCACTGGACATGTATAACGGTAATTAATGACTTTTGATGCTACACTAAAGGAATGCATTGTCACATACTGATTTAAATGCTTGATACACACGTTAATTCCGCGAGAGCCTTCACGTGTTAAACAGATAAGGAAAACGGTTTTTGTATGATGATTCATTTTTCAAGGGAAAATATATAATATAAGTTTACAAAAAATATATATTACTTCTATTATTATACTTAATGCGGTTGAGACCTTTCCTAATTTCATATTTTTTTAATTCAATTAATTACTTAAAACGTTTTAAAAATTACTTAGTGGTATTTATTAATTAAAAGTTAATTTTGACATCAATTTTAATTAGACCCATTAAGCTATTACTTACACTGTACTTATTATTTTTTATGTAACTATTCATTGATAACAATATTTGAAGGTCATTGTCATGACTTTTGAAGTTTTATCTTGAAAAAATATAAAATTATTTGTTAAGACACCTCTTGTTAAAATAACAAATAAAATTAATAATTCAGTTTGAGTTGTTAAAAATTTAGTCAAAGAGAAATTTGAGAACAAATAAGATAAACTTGATGTACTTTAGCGGTGAATCATCTGGGAATTTAGCTGCATAGAATTTAAAAATATGAAACAAAAGATTTCTTTTCAAGATTCTTTGTTGACAATTTTAAATATAAATAAACCAATAGTTAAGTCAGTCCAGTGAAATTATTAAAATTTAAATAACAGTGTAATTATTTTGATTATTATTGATTTGTTAAACAAACCGGGCCGGTAATGAGTTTGATTATTCGGTCTAGTAAATAGGGCAGTTATAAAACCAATACAACCAAGATTGTACATTGTCATTCTCGTTTTACTTGTTTCGCATTGACGAACAGCGTAAATAGCATCATATCAGCAAACATGACAAGTTGTAAGGTTTCTAATAAATGATCACCGATCAGTAATATTTTAACAAAGTATTTTTTACTTCCATGACCATGGAATTACGGAAGACACATTTTTATCCATAGTATGTTATTTCAAACATTAAAAATAATGATACTGAAATTAGCAATGAAAATTAAGTTAGATATCTAAAATTTTTTAGAATTTTTTTTTATTAAAAAAAAAAAATATTAAAAAAAATGCATTTGTAAAAAACTTGAAAAACTGTAAGTGCAATTTTTAAAAAATATTTTTTTGTTCTAATTAAATTATTGAAAAAAAATTAAAAATGTCGGCTAACTTTAGTATTATAAATTAGCAAACATCTGACAATTAATCGAATTTTTATAAAAAATCAATTATTATAAAAAGAATATTTTTTAAAATTCACACCTACAATTTTTTAAAATTTCTAGATGTGAAATTTTTTCACTAAATTTTTTTCTTTACAATTAAATTGTCATAACAATCTAAAAAAATTTTAGATGTCTGTTAAATTCAGTATCATTAAAAAATGACAATAAAGTTAACCGACATCTAAAAACTTTTAGAATATTCTTTATTGAAAAAAATTCACGTGTAGAAAGTTATAAAAATTATAAGTGCAATTTTGTAAAAACACTTTTTTTTTTTTGTTCTAATTTAATTAATATAAAAAAATCAAAAATTGTTGAACGTCGGTTAATTCTAATATCATCATTAAAAATACCATACTACCTGTAGAAAAAAAAAATAGAACAGGTATCTAACCTGTTTACAATATTAATCTAATCTTCGAAGCTTCAGATAATATTTTAAACTCCGATTGCCTATCATTTAATATCAATAGATTTAATTTAAAAAGATTATGATTAGGAGTGATAATTTATAAAACTGAAATAAAAAACAAGTTTAGTATATGTGAATAGATAAAAAAAATTACTCACCATGATGACTGTATTACTAATCCGTTCAACAAGTATTCCAAGTAAAAATTAAATCACAAAACCGTCACAAATAAATAAAAAAGCCGTCACCAGTAAACAAAACTCTTTAACCGTTTGACCTGGTTAAGCTGATACAGGAGACACAACATCATCAACAGTAAACTAAACAAAACAAAACAAATATATTATATTAAACATAATGAAAAATAATATTAGAAAATAAAATACTGTCATAGCAAATAGCTTACTGGTAATGATTATTTAGTAATTAAAGTTTACTAAAAACTAATTAATGAAAAGTTGAAAGCCGACCTGGGTATAATTATAAAGCTTGGGATTATGTATTAGTTCAGTTTCAGTACAGTAGTCAGTAGTGACTAATAAAACTAATATAAGGCTAATACTAACAGCAACACTCACTAGCGTAAAATGACTCACATAGAGTGTACACTCTACTTCACTAGACTCAGCAGCGTCGAGTCTGACGAACTTGTCTACCGTAGTACGAGCCCACCGACACGAGTGCACTGAAGCACGAGTGAACGCCAGGGACGTGCCGATACGACTGTCTTCTTTTTTTTTTCACGTACTCTTATTACTCCCACTCTAGCTCTGGTTACTCGCTCGCTTCAACCTTCTCTACTCCATTCCCGCCAAATCCTCGCCCTCCTACTCCTACACCTACAAAACACACAATAGTCCATTTCCATAGTAGGGTTATTACAGCCATAAAACTGCTACCAAGTTCTTCTATTCAAACTTTTAGATACTTGTTCATTTATACGTGACCTTTATAACCTTATAAATCACTATCCTGACCTTTAATTTGTTCCTGTCATCTTCAGGTATTGGTTCTTCAATTTAACTTCAAACTCACTAGTTTTCTAATTTTCTACCTGACAACTTTACAAGTTTAATAATTTCAAAAACTTGCTGGATTGACAAGAAGTATTAAATGTAATCTCAGATGTTCTGAAATTATTCAAAATCAGGAAGATAAGTTTCAAATAATATTTTATCAAGAATTTTCAATTAATTAATTTTATTGTTTTTTATTTTAGCTGCTGATTTATTGGATTGTAAATCTTGGATATATTTGTCCAATTGCAGTGATTCAAATGATTGCTTTATTAACAACAATGACAAGGACAAGTAAATATCATAACTAGTCTGAATTTATTTATTTGCTTACTTGAGATTTAAAAATTTTTATATGACACTGAAATTAGCTGACATCTGATAATTTTTTTATTTTTCTTTAAAAATTTTAACTAGGTCTAGAAAATTATTTTTATAAAATTGCATTTATAATTTTTTGAAGTTTTTAAAGATGGAATTCTTTAAATAAATTTTTCTTGGTATAATTTATTTGTTAAAAAAATTCTAAAAATTATCAGATGTCTCTCAATTTATGAAAATTAATTTAGCAGATATTTAATAATTTAAAAAATTTTTGTAACAAATAAATTATGATGAAAATTAAGTTAGCCGACATTTAAAAATTTTTAGAATTGAAAAAATGATTACAAAAAAAAAAAAAAAAATTTACTTGTAAAAAACTTCAAAAACTGTAAGTGCAATTTTTAAAAAATAGTTTTTTATTTTAATTTAATTATTAAATAAAAAAAAAAAAAAAAAAATTAAAAACGTCGGCTTACTTTAGTATTATTAAATTAAGACTAGAAAAAAAATTATTAAAAAATTGACATGTAGAAATTTAAAAAAAATTAAAAGCAATTTTTTAAAATAATTTTTCGGAGTAAATTTGTTTATTAAGTAAAATTAAAAAATGATCTAGTGATTGCTAATTTAAATTTCATATTTTTTTATTGTAATAATTGAATTATTTTGATTTATTAAATCAATAACAACAAATAAAATAATTTTCATGGTCTATGTAATGTAATAATGAGTCTTGTAACGATTAGTGTCGTTCCCAATGACGACATCGAAAGTACACAAGTACAAAGTGTGAGTCAAGAGAATAGAATGGATACTGACATTAGTCGAGTCGGTGCTAGGCAGATTGGATGGTACTAAAGATGAAGAGAACGTAAAATGTGGAATCTAGATACTAAACTTCACTTATATGTGTAACTAATCATAAGTGTTGAAGCTGATGACACTTTAAGGGTCAGGTGGTGCTCGATCGATTAAAAACTAGTATAGTGGACAGTCGATGCCCTCTTGGTCTACTTAAAAAAATATAAAAGGATTGCCGGGAGATCTAATTATAGTTTGATGCAGGATTATCGAGGTCATTAAGAACAGATGAATAGGAAAATGCTTTTAACTTTTTAAATAAAAACCTTAAGGGAAGATTTAACATAAGTTTGTAAGTTTTAAAAGAAATTGATGGTACTGCTGGTACGGACATACTGATTTCTCAGTGGGATAGCCTTTATTACTTTTGTTACTTTTATTGCTTATAAAGTTAATTGGAAAATTTATTGTTGTAGATTGAGGACGTATATTTTTTTACTATTATGGGCTGTGAGCTGAAATTAATCGATTGACCACCTATGAAGATAAAGAAAATAATGTTAACTTTTGATTTTGGAAATCACGATTAGATAAAATCACTGCGCCCACGTCTTTCTTGCTTAGTCACTTAACTAAATTTATCAGGAGCTTTTATGGGTTTTCTGGGATTTAACTCATGATTTATTTACAAATTTACATTATATCGATAGCAAAGATAACGCTCCCACGGTTTATATGGTAATTTAATCGAAAGTGTTTCGTATAATTTATTTAATCAAAAAAATTACTTTTTTATGTTCATATCGAGCTATAAAAATTATGTATGGGATAATGTAACAGTTTACCAGTATCCTACCGATATTTAATACATTTTGTAATAATTGACAATATCATTTTATGACCGATAATTATTTTTTAATTGATTTCTGGTAAAACGGGTTATTTTAATAGGAAATAAATATTAATAGAGATTGAGTAGTGGTTTTCACTCAGGTAAAATGTTTTTTTTTTTTTTTATAATGAAATAATATGCTAATATTTTAAAGTATAAATAAATAATTAGGCAATATATCATTTTATTTTAGTCAAATGTACAATTAAATTGGAGTCCAGGGTTGAGTTGTTATATAAACGTTTGCAAAAATAATAAAATACGTCACAATGAATTTTTGGAAAAGTGCAAATTTATTTCGATCGTGCAGCGATGATCTTTACAAGGTACGTTGATATTTATTATTTTATTTTTTTATTAATCGATCTCATTTATTTATAAACATCTTGAAGATCATCATCTGTCTCTCGTATTTTCTTTCCATTATTTTTTTCATTTTTTTTACTTTTCAATTTATTTTTATCCACGTGTCGGTTTAGCAACTTCCAATGCACACTTATCCGGTCATTTAATAATAAATAAATAAAATACATATACATAATTATTGTTTCATATTACGTAATTATTATTACATATTATTGCTCGTCTTATTTTAAAAGGTAAAAATTTAATTATAAGTACAATTATTAGTTATACATTATGATGATTAAATAATATAAAATAACAATAAAAATATATAATATATATTTATATAAATTATAAATAAAAGTTACTTTACAGACACGCAGAAACATCGAGTATTCTTCAAAATTGACAAACACTTTTTACTCGATGTTTTATTTAATTTACCAATTTTTTTACCTACTAAATATATTTTATTGATTCACATTAGACACGACTAGATTAACTAGATTAAGCGTACAAAAGTTTGAGAGCAATATAAAGATTTTGATTAGAGATCTTGGAACTTTGTAGCATTGTTTGTTTGTTTATTTGTTGTTCTCTGACGGATTACACAATAGATTTATTTGTTTTCACACTCAATTTATTGAATTTATCAAATTTGATACTTAAAAAAAAAAAAAAGAAAACAGCTTAGCGAGCAGTTAACAATGATTGTTTTCGTGTATCAAGTTTAATTGTCGCAATATGTATAAGTCATGGCCTTCAATTAATTTTTTAATTAAATGTACTATTAAATAATTTTCGTACAGCACCGTATCAAATAATGAATAATGAAAATAACGAAACAAAAAGTTTAATAAAATTGATAAAACTAAAACAAATATAAATGACAACTGTAGTTTTAAATAACTATGATATGTCAGCTAAAAAGCATTTTACTAAAACTATATTACTTATTATAATCTTCTATAGAATAATTAAATGCCTCTTTTCATCATTAAAGACTCGCGTATTTTTTTTTTCTACCACATGTTTTAGTACAATTCATTATTTCTATTATTTTTTACTTTATTTCGTTCCTTTTTGCCTTCTTATTCACGCGAATAAGAGAAAAAGGAGTAATTAGATGATTCGAACTATTTTTCATTTTTTACAATTGCCATGACTCCGTTATCTAATAAGCAATATAATTTTTTTCTTTTGAAATAATCTTATTAAAACTCCCGACAATTTATAATACAATTTACAATAAATTAAATAACAAATTAAATTGACTGTAATAATTAAAAGATTAATTTTTCTGTGATTGCAGATCACTTTTGACAAAATTCAATTATTATTAATATATTTTTAAATTTATTTATAATATATTCAAACACTCCACAATTATTTTCAAATATTTAAATTACCTATTCTTATCGGATTTATTGCAATTGACATCCGTTTTATTATACACAATTTTATTTACTTATCTATTTAATTATTCATTTATTTATTTATTAAGTAAACAAAGTGCCTCATTATCACTCAGATTTAGTTTACAGTAGAAGCATTTATTGAAACCTACGTATGTTATTTATTACATATATGATTTTAATATACATATGAATGTTCCTACGCATTTATCACGTACAGGAAAAAAAACCGGCAGATTTTATAATTAATTATTTTTACTATTTTTTTTTTTTTTGGTTTAGCTCTTGGAAAATTTTGCGACCATTTAAATTGACTATGGGATATAATTAATGACATATATTATAAATTTCTTTAAATCTCAGCCAGAAACACGCAGCATGCGCGAATAAGGATTCTAGAATTGCGTAGGCACTTTTAGGAAATACAATAATATTTATATGACTCAAAATCAGTCATTTGTTGCAATAATAATTATTATCATTATTGTTAATCAAAATGTGGAATGCAATTAGAACAGTAAAAAGAACCAAATATTATATTTTTATATATATATTTATAATTTTTATAAATATGTTATGATTTATGATGTTATAATTTATGAGATGAAGCGATGTCAACGAACTCATTTTACTTTTGTTTAACTTTCCTACGTCACAATTTTTCGCATTTTTTTCAATTACACCAATCCGAGTGATGAATTGTTGAAGATATTTACCATCAATCATAATAAACATCTTTCTACAATCTAATATTATTACACATTAAAGATCTACAGTTGTACAGATACAATCTTAGTTTTGTTTTTATTCAATGATAAAATATTTTACTCTGTCTAAATACGCTTGTTTCTTTCAAATTTATTTTTTTTTTTTTTTGTTATTTTATATTTTTTTAGGAAGTATTTTCACACAAATTTTATTTTCATCTATAAAAAATCTACCTGTGTTCGATAGGCCATGTCTTTTTAATAATCCGACGTCACATTACCGTACAATGAACTTTGTAGTAGCAAATAGAAAATAAAGTACAATAATTTCCAAAATAGTTAATGGAAGTTAATGACGTTTTAATAATGTGATGACTTGGCTATTTTTGACTTGGCACTGTCCATATTTATAATTATAATATTTTTTTTTTTTTATTATTATCATTTATCATTTAGAAAAAAAGACTGACTGAGCAATTAAGGAAATTATTTTATTCGGCCGACTGCCTGATCAAAATAGGCCGAGTTTGGTCCTAAGAAACTCCCTGATGGGTACGTAGTAGTGACTTTTGAATGAAATCATTTCAGGTGTCTTGCGAATGCTCTCAAACACTGCTGAGTCAGTTTCAAAAACAATAACAACAACAATAAACAACATTGTTACTGTAAGGATAAATGCCGATACAAATAGACGTATGCATCGCACACTGCGTAACGCACGTGATCTACTGCTACCACCACCAACAATAATTGATTTAGTTGCTGAACCAACTGGTTGCAAACAAAGTTTGCTGTTTTGTAACTTTTGCATTTTTGGTACTGGTGTAACGGATCTACTTTGGGTTTTTCCAAGCCCGTCCACCAACTGACTTTCTGACGACGAGTGATCAAAAGAGTCTCGAAAGAAGTAGTCGTTTGTATCGGCATCGCCCACTTGTCCTCCTACTGAAACAAACAGAAATATAGTTTCAATAAAAGCTTTTCAGTTGCACAGGAAACTTATACAGACACATATATACATATACTTTTTTTATACTTTATAGTTTATATTATGTTTTATTATTTTTTATTTTCTTCCAGTATTTTTTACTTCTCTTTTGTATTATTGTGTGAGCTCTCAGCGGTCGATACATTCGTTTGATTGTTATACACCGAAGCGAGATTTAAACATCCGTTTTTTTTTTCTTTTTTCTATTATAAAAAGGGATAGTGAGAGAGTACAAACATATATGTACAAATATGAACAAGTGGCGTGGTGGATATATAAACGATAAAGGGTAGAGAGGAATAGTTTAAATGAAAAAAACATTTCAATTGAGGGAACGAGAGAGAGAGAGACGTAAATCGTGCACGTCATGGCTCCAAAATCGTGACAGACAGTGGCAATTGTAAAAAAGGCGAAAGGATAATAAAGCGTTCAGTTAGTTTATGAATAGATAAAGCAACAAATGAGTGCACAATTCAGCGAGTCGTAAATATTTTAAAAATGAAAGTAAAATTTTAAATATATTATTTACAGTAAATATAAAAAAAAAAAAAAATAGTTTTTATGGTGATTTGATTACAGATGACGACAACCTACCTCGTGAAATAGTCATTCAAGCTCACCTGGTTCATGTCTACTTTTGACGTCCAAGGGTAAATCTTTACTGGTGTTTCCACCGCCGCATGTTGAAGTATTTGATGTAGTGGCTGCTACAGCCGCTGCAGCAATTGCCATGGCAAGTGCCATCGGTCCATTTCTACTTCTCGCGGAAATTATACTGCCATTAACAACAGTATTCTTTTGTGTCGCTGAAGAGGTATTTGCGGTTACTACAGTATTAGTGGTCTCTAGATTGTCATTCTTCGGTGTAGTCTTGGTGACGGATGACGACGAGCTTACCTGACTCTCAATAGTTCTAATATCTTCTAAGCTATTTCGAGATTCTGAGCTATTGAATCCATTCATATGCTTGGGTGTTGTACCAATTAATCTTGAATAAGTATTTGAGGTTTTTATTCCGGTATTATTGATACCTGGATTTATCTTGAATGATAACGTTGATAGCGATGATGACGCTTTTATAGGCGTTCTGGAGGTTTTAATAATAAGTGCCGTAGATCTTATAATTTTTGGGCTTTTCTCCAGCGAATTTATTTTTTGTCTCACCACATTATCAATATTCTTTCCCACAAGTTCTTCAGAGCCTATGACTATTTTTTGACTGTACAACGCCGGCGGACGGCCAAATGTGTTTTTATTTGAAAATTTCATTTTTTTCACTTGATTTGTGATGGATGTGGTGGTGTGGGCACTCGCATGCGATTCATTTTCGTCTACCGCTAAAGAACAGAAAGAAATAAAAAACAAATCAAGAGGTACTAAAAAAAAAGCCAATCAAAAAATTAAATAATAAAAAAACAAAGCTAAATAACTAACTATTTGCTGATTCGTTCCTTGTACACAATCACTATTATTATTTTTAAATTGTTTCATACGTATATGTACAAATATATATAATATATAAAAATAAAAGTAAAGAGAGTAAATTATAAAGAAAATTAAAAAGAAAAATAAAGAGTTGCTGTGCCCGGAAATATCATTCAGTGAGAGAGTAGCGGCAAAATATGTCCAAAGCTAGGCCGGTTGTATATAAATATATACATATATGTATATTATGCGAAACTCTGCTATCAACTACTTTTATTTATGAGAAAACTCAGAAAAGGAAATAAGGAAATACATGATTTACACAGATATATAAATACGTAAAGGTATTAGTGTAGGTAGAAGAGACGAATTGCCATCAAACTTGGCCAGAAACTTGATCTTCAGGTTTTATCGTAACTTGTGCATCGACCGCTTGGACAGCTTGATAAATTTTCCCTCGACACAAGAATTTTCCCCAGTGTATGACACAAGTATCAAAAAAATCGTAAAAAAGTCCATACCAATAAAAAATAAAGAAAATAAAAAAAAAATCTGAAGAAGACTTTCTTCCGGCATGTTGTATGTTGAAGATAAACCAGCAAGTAGACACACCGGAAGTTGTTTACCCGTATATACCAGACAGTTAGATAAGACGTGTGTTGATTTTAGCAAGAAACAGCGAAATAGGAAATAGCAATAAGCGTTGATGATGTAAAAAAAAAATGATGATAATGTTTTATGTGTGTTGATATAAAATAGCTTATTAGGATATTGCCAGCAATTTAATAAGCGATGATTACCAACCGTTATTTCTCTTGGCATATATTTCTTGGTCCTCTGATACAGTCTCCAATAGTGGTAGTGTATTGTCAGGGCAATAGGGAGAACTAAGGGGAACACCCGAGGCATTAGCTCCGGCCTCAGCCATACCAGCGCCGTCTAAACCCGCGCTATGACAGCTTCTTGGCAAACTTGAATATCCTATTTAAATTGACAGTGATTATTAGTATTATGATACTATCAAACACAATTTAATTTATTATAGTAATAACAATATTAATTAATAATTAATAATTATCGGTAAAATTTTATAAGCTATTAGCTTCTAAATTAAACTGTTGGATCACTCACGAATTTCAATAAGATCTTGACTAGGAGTGCTTGGAGTAGCTGGTACACTACTTGCTTTTCTGCGGAGTCCAGCACTCTGACAACGTTGAACTGGTCCGTCGCCTTTACCACGCAGCGATGAAGCCTCTCCGGAACCCGCAGATGCCGCAGCCGTTTCTTCCAACACTTCCCTCTCCGTTCTCCCGGTGTACTTAAACTTGGTGCCCCACGAGAATATAGATCCGCCGCTTACAACTGGTGCGTCCGAGGCTCTGGGCAACCTGCGTGAAAATTTCTTTACTTTACAACTATTTTATACTTATGTATACATATACACTCCTTCCTCATCATGCATGTCTTTTCGGAAGAGTTAGTCAGAAAATTCATAGCGATATTTTGCAAAGATTATTTTTTTTTATATAGTATATACACAGTTGAGGAAGAATATCAGGAAACCCCGGTTGTTGTTGCTGTTGTCGCAGTTGTTGGTAATGCTATTATTGTATTTTTATTATTTTTATTACCCTGTTGAAGAAGCTATTAAAGTAAGTAGTAAAGTAGGTGTCAACGGCGGTGGAATTGTAAAGTTAAATTACTTTTTCCTTTGATAGTATAAAAAAAATTAAAATACTTTTTTTTTTAACTAAATCTTTTTGCATTTAAGTAAACTTGTATGCAGAATTTATAAAATCAGAATTTATTTATTTATCTCTTCAAGCTTTTTTTCTTTATACCCGATATCATTATTCGCTGTCTTGATAATGTTTATTAGTATAAATAAGAGAAACAAGGAGATGGAGTATGGAATGAGAATTGTTGAGCCTCTGGCAACTAGTTTAATTGGATTAATCTACAAAACGATTACATGGCAATTAGACAGCTGCTTTAATACGATTACACGATGGACCGAGCACCAGAAGCACTAATAAACATGACAAGCTAAATTTTTTAAATCTAGAATAGAATAAAAATTATTAAAACTAATTCTAGTAATTAAATTGCAGTAAAAAAAAAAAAATAAATAAATTTATTATATTTACTTACGTGAAAAACAACATCTGTTCAATGGCGCATCTCCATACATGCCGGCAATTTGATCCAGTCGGACACTTGAAGCCAACGGTATGCTTTTTCTGAAAGTACCGGCAGACTATTTTTGCTATCGATATTTTGCTATCACTATTACTAATATAAATAAATAAAAAATAATGTGTAAGTATTTTTCTATAACTTACATGTGGCTACTCAATATATTTTTTATGATAACTAGTACACGTGTAATTATTTATACCACTATCTAAATTACTAGTAATGATAAAGCGCGAATAGAAGCTTCGCTAATCACTTATATTACTTCAAGTACATAATGCTCTTTTACACTTACGTAGGCGATATATATAAAAGTTACATGTACGGTAGGTTTATAACAAAAAAAAAAAAAAAAAGTTAATAAAAGTGTATTACCCACACGAGAGAGCGTCGACGGAAGTGGGCGAGTGAAGAGTTAAATAAAATAAGAAATGTAACAAGACCGCGAAGAAAGAGCAAATTAAAAGTGAAGTCAAAATAAAAAATTTTAACTCGTCCTAGTCTTGGTCTTAGTCTTGGTTACGTTGTCTTGGTCGTCGTCAGTTCCAGTACACACTGTCGTGACGTTCCGGTGTGTTTAAGAAAGTCTTTGGTATGGTCTCTAGTATGTACGACGTGGTTGGTGAAACATCGAGGCGACTCAACTGGCTTTACTTAATAGCAATCTGGAGTATACATACTACTCACCTTCGTTCTCAAGTCCTTATAGGTGTGCAGAACCAGCCCAATACACAGACCGAGAAAATAATGTAAAAAAAAAAGAGAATAAAAGAGGGAGTTAGTAATGAGATTATTTAGAGGGTGGTTGTATAATCGTATCAACGACATTGAAATAGCACCGTGTAATACCTTATTCCTCTATGTTTTCACTCGGCCCTCTAACACACATATTTTTTTATATATTATATATATTATGAATATAAATATAAATATATTTCGATATTTATTTCAATTTTTTTCTTAGAGCGCATGCACCCGGATAAATACCTCGGTAACTTTATGAAAAACTGTACCAGAAAACCTTGTGAACCGTAGCATAGTAACACAAGGTCGGCTTTAGACCAATTTACTTTTTTATATTTTTTATATGTTTGTATGTATATATATATATATTTTTTATTTTTTATGCCAAGCTCACATATAGACTTATTTTTTAAAAGAAGAAAATGAGATTAATACCGGCTGTAGGAGTGCTTAAGAGCCGTGTGATGAAACAAGAGTATTGTTGGTGTTATAAAAATAGAAATAATAAAAAAAAGTCATTATTATTATTTCAATTCACAAAACTTTTTTATATACACACAAAGTTCACTGTGAGTTTTTTTGCGGAGTATTCAGAAAAGTTAAAAAAGGAAAATAAATTGCTTGGCTCACAATCAAATTAATTTTTGTTTAAAAATTATTATTTTTAAATCAATTGTTCACCAGAGCAAACAATTTTTTTCGTTAGTTAATTTAAACAGTAAATGTTTTATTTTCGACGGATAATTTTTATTTACATACCGCAATAAATGTTTTATTTATTATATATTTTATTTTTACCTCGGTGATGGTCAAATGGACAATAAACATTTTCCCTTCGTAATTTATTTTCTGTACTTCAGACCAGCGGAAATGATTCGTCTGACGTGATCCTTGAAATGTGAGGATTCCGTGATGATTTATCCCTAAGTACAGTTGAGTTCCTTTATGATCCTACATGAATAAAATAAGTTATTGGCTTAATCAAACAAGAATAATGAGAACGTATAATGTAAATAAATATAAATAAAATGATACAATGAGTCATGTTACATTGAAAGAAAAGCATGTGTGTAATTCTCCGGATCATTTATAGCTGCTTACCTTGACAGGATGGGGATCAACCGCATAGGTGTCAAGTTGAGACGCTAGCCTGAGAAAATGTATCTCTGCTTGTTCAGCCGTAAAACCCTTGAGTTGTGTCTGATGTAGTTCCATTGCTTTTTCTTCAATGGTCTCAGTCTGTTTGAGCAGAAGCTTGTGCTCGGAAATGTAATTACCCACGTGGATCTCCGGATCGTACTCGCCAAGCTCGTCTGATTGACCAATACAAATGCCGTGTAGTAGAGAGAAGATAGTACATAAATATGTGGGACATTCCAGGCTAAATCACCCGCTTTTTTTTTATTTTTAATTCTGTTCACTTTATCTTTCTGTTTCAGCTGAAAGTAACTTTGAATTTTAAATTTTTTGATGAATCTTTTAAATTTGAATATTTATCCTGGATTTTTTTTTATTTCTTCATTTACTTTAATCTAAAAATATTTGTACAAAATACTTCTCGGCAAGAGCTCAAAGGAACAGGTAGATTTTTAATTTAATCAAAGTGGTAAATAGAAATTATAATGTAAGCATAATTGCCGGTTCATAAACTTTTCTAGTTACGCTTAAAGAGTTATAAAAAACTAAAGTCTTATTAAAATTAAGAATATAATAGTTTGAATTAAAGCTTATTTTATATTTTACCGCTTACATATCTTACATTTTCCAGTTATCATAAATTTTTCAGAATAATTATTCTTAAGTAATGTAAATTGAAACTAGTTGTGTAATAAATTTTAGAAAGTTAAAAATACAAATTTATTTAACTCTACTATTTTCTATTAATATTTTCATTAGTAAAATAATGTTTTGTTAAAATGTTACTACTACAATAATATTAATTCACTCACAAATAGTCATGAATAATATTTGGAAAACAAACCATGTTCTCCAAAATCAACAATCATCCATATAACTAAATTACATTGAATACAATTGTACGTATAACTGTTGATTTTGACAAGTATTATGAATTATTAATACTATTAAAAAATAATCCCAAATTGACTCTCATGAAATCATTAATATTTCAGGACTGATATAAATGTTGATAGAAAATTAAGAGCTTAATAAATTTTTGTAAAATGATAATCTGAAGATCAAGTGAATGAATAAAAACATTTCAAATTAAAGACGGATTAATTTAGCGTGAAAGCCTAATAATAGATAGATAATTAAGTGATATAGTGGAAGTAGTAACAAGCCTATGATGAGTCTTTATCATAATTGCTTCTCCATTAATACATAAAATATAAATAGACTACAAATCCTTACTGTGGAGAATGCAAGCTGCCAGCAGCGATGCCTCCCCTGGACTGCAGTAGAGTCGTCCATGCAGCAGGTCCCTCTTGAGCTGTTGATAAATTTGATATCTGGTAATCTCATCCTTCAGCCTCAGGGGATCTGGCGGGTAGAATTTCACGCGGAAGCTGAACAGGATTGGCTCCATATCTGCAATAAATTAGCGCTCATAAATACATATCCATATATATGTATTGTAATGTCAATAAAACTAGAACTAGAACTACATCCCAGAAATTATACGGCATATAAACTGCAGTAATTGCATCTGTCTGAAGTTTACTGAGCAAAATTTAAAAAATAAAAATTTAAAGCTCCCTAAAATACGAAAGTAAAGAGAATATTTTTTTTTTACGACAACCGTGACTCAAAGTCCAGCGAAAATTGAAATATTTACTCAGTAGTAGAGTAAACTAAAGAATTCTGGAGCAGCTTACAGCCAAGAATTTATAAGATGAGCAAGACCTGCACGTCTTTCCATCTAGGTAAGCTCTTGTATCTTGCAGTCATGTAGTTTTTATAGTTTTATTTAGAAGTATGAGCTGTACTACATGTGTATGCCTCTACACAGCCTAAGCAGCCTTTGAAAATTTGATGCGACATCGACCCGGCAGGCTGTACCTACCATAAACTAAATAGAAAATGGATAGGTGCGCGTGCTCATACATCTAGTCTAGACTTTAACGGTCTTGATGTATTATATAGGCATAAAAGTATATACATAAGTGTATGTATATGTAGGTGCATCACCCACTGGTCTATTGCTACCGGTTTACGTTTGGTCTCGCGACCCTACGCCGTCAATTGAGACCTTGTACCTACTGTGCCACTGGCGTGTACGTAGAATACTTGTTATGTAGTAAGTAGAATACTTTTATTTGAGAATTGAATCAAAGGGAGCTTCCGCCCGCCCTCGATGTAATCTAAGGTGCTTATAGACTTTACGACCGGAAAATCGATAAGTTTGATGAGTTACTTTGTGGACGTTGGTACGAACCTTTAACTTGCTTGACTACCGATTTCGCTAGGTCCAGCCAATGCTAAAAATAAATACATTTTTTTTATAAATTTAATAAATAGAAATATAATTAGTGTTAATTTAAGTGAAAAAAAAAAACTTACTCGTTGTCTGCAATGATCGACGTAACGAAGTCCAAAGTAATCAGTCTCAATGATGTTGAGTTGTTTGCATACATACTCAAGGATATATCTTCCTTTGTGCTGGGGCTAATAAAAAAAAAAAAAAAAAAATCATTTTCACACACGATTAGTACTTCTGATACGTAAGGTGTACTTTATATAATAAATATAGAGCTACCAGGGGAGAATAAGTCGTTAATTAAACTGTTGCGTTTTCTAAGACACGCGATTGCGCGAATACAAAGAAAGATCTGCAGTTTTTTACACATTTTATATTTATGTCGTTAATAATCACCCCGCTAGATCTTGGGGATAAATAACTTAAATAATCGGTGTTGAAATTAATCAGATGAAAATAGTAGTAATAAAGTCAAGTCACTATGATATTACCCCATTACATCATATTTTATATCATACATGTATTCTATTGCAGTTTAAATAGAGAAAAAGAGAATTAGCATAAACGCTTTTGCGCATTTTTTTCAGCCTTAATAAGACATGACTCTGCAGAATTCGTACTGCGAGTTTAGAAGAGAAGAAGATAAAGAAGTAGAAAAAATTTTTAAGCTAAAAAGCCTAAAAGCGTTGCAGTGATGTGAGTAAATAAAATATAAGAGAGTAATGGAAGCATTGATGTGAAAGGAATAAAAATTTTTAGAGTGTGTTATTGCAATTCCATTTATCGTTTTTGTAGAAACGATTTTTTTTGTTTTAATCAGGTAAATTGATGTACATATACATATATGTATGTCAATATATAATTATAGTATAATTCTATGTCGAGCAGAATGACGAGTTAAAGAGACAATTTAATATATAGACATATGTTTATTGGCTAAACGACCACGCACCACCTTAATGACCAAAAAGACAGGCCAAGGTGATCTAGAGTGTAGAGTCTCGTGTGGTCTACACAACTGTTTGTAATAAAATACATACGATAAAATATATATTACGTACATGTACGTATATGTAAGTATTTAGTTTTAGTACTCAGTTACATTACACAAATTTACGATGTAATAAAACGGAGGTAGAGAAATATCCGATGGATTGTCTATTGCAGTAAAAGGGGTAAAAGCGTGAGTTATATCAACCATGTCTGGAAACTCGTATTTTGTATTGTGTATCATACATATGCATTATTATCCATTTACCCGTCAGTCACATGCATATGTATTTATATCCTGAACATAGACCTTGATTTTAACGTTGAAATTATATATCATTCAACTTTGTGTCTCTTGGATTTTTTAATTCATCACCCTGTTACATCTTCATTCATTTCTTTCTGCGCTTTAATTGAATTTCTGATATTATATTCTCTTGTGTACATCTTAATCTATTTCTTTTTAGCCTTCAATCTGACTCGCTAAAAGGTACAAAAGTGAGGAGAGATGATATTTTTCTTGATACCTTCCGCGGAAGAATATTCATTAGCATTAGCTTCAGATGAATTTAAAAATACGATTTTTTTAATTAAAATATACACAAAATTAGTTTGTTTTTATCTTCACTGGAGTGTATAAATTAAATCTACTCTGAAAAAAAAAAAAATTAATATGATTCGAGAGAAAAATTCTTGAATCAAGTAAAATTTCTTTAAATAAAGAAAAATTTATCAGTTCAAGAATTTTTCTACTCAAGTCAAGAAGATTAGGTTCTTCAAAATTATATACTTGATTCAAAAACATTTTTTTCTGTATAGATAAATCTAGTTGTAAATTCACTCCTTTTATATATGTATCTTGATCTATTTCTCGAACTTAAACTCAGCAAACATTGAATTTTGCGCTATTTCTTCTTGCACTCAAACTTTGCTTCAGATATTTTGACTCTTCCGCTTTCTCTGCTGACCTTTTCCTGTATAATGCGACAAACCTACACTTGAAACGAGTTACGGAAATTTCATCATTGTTACTTGATAAATTTATGTACTAAGTTAAAACTTACTTTTAATTGCCTTTCTTGGACTATAATATACTAGTTATATTTCATATGTAAAATGAACTTCGTACATATATTTTGAATAAAATAAAAATAATTTAAAAATTCTATTTACCTATAGCGTACTATATTTATGATTTTTAATAATTAACTCTCTTATTGAGTAGCTGAAAGTATATGCATATATCATAATACGACTCGATAAATACATTTAACGATTGACAATTAAACGATGATGAGTTAATAATATCTATTTAGAGCGAAATGTAATTACGTATTTAAGGGAACATATTGCAAAGAACTTTTTTATCAATTATACTAATAACCGTCACGTATTATTTATATATATATATATATTGAGATAATTTGCAGTCCACTTTTAAATAATAATTTAATAAAATAACAAATTGCACGTTTTAATTAATTCCACACTTGAACAATCTAAAAAACGCAAGAGCCAATATTATAATATTTTTTTTTTTTTTATAATTTAGAATCTCTCATTACTCGACAAACTTTCAATTTAATTTCAAAAGGTCAATATAAATTATAAATGCAGTAACTTAATTACCATAAAAGTTTTTTTTTTAATCTAATTACTCGGCTAATTTATAATTAAGATTTATTTAAAAGTATGTCGCCATGTAAAATAATTTATGAAGAAAAATAACAAAAAAATTATTTATTTAAGCTTCTAGTTTTTAAAGTTACCAACTATTTTGAAAGAAGCACGAGTAAACTTAGCTAATTATTTTTCACGAAAATAATTCACGATCACGTTTACATTAACAAGGTTAATTACGTACATATATATTTCTTATTTCTACATATATATACTTTCTACCTTTAAACTTTTAGTTTAGTTCTTTGATCAATTTAGGGTAAAGCAAAGACAAGTCAATACGTCAGATTAACGTGAATTCCCACTACTCAAAACTCCCTCGAGTTTTACCTACATATATATTCTCCCCTAGGTTGCATGCACAGTGACAACGAGGGTGAAATTATATTGAAGTAAAGCGGTACATGTTTTGCTATGTAATGGTATTAATACATGTATGCATAAAATATAACTTAGTACTCTACATTCGCATACACAACAGTACAATCAGTCATGACGATACGATATGACATAGCGCTAGGACAGAATAAGAAGAAATGTATGAAGCTATATACACTGTATATAGCTATAAGTACATTAATATACTTTTTTACTACACAACACAAAATACAACTTAACATGTACGAGTAACGTATACTATATTTATATGTGTAAGTGTATCAGTATAACGTTCGTTGGCTATAACATAACTTCATCTATTTCACTCACGCTTTATCATAAAATCTATATCCATTTCCATTTTTAGCCGGGAAGAGTAAGACCATCATAAATATTTATTGAGTACCCACGCGAGTCAATTGTAATCAACGACTTTGTCGTCGATTTCTCTGTGTGAATATTCATTCATTGTTAAAGCAAAAAAAGAGAATAAAATTTAGTGAAAACAAATGAGGAAAAAAAGCTCGATCAAGTATTATAAAACGGAAAAAAGTGTTACACTCATGCGAATGTGAGTTAATAACAATAAAAAAAAAGATAAAAAGCTCTTGAACTAAAATTGAATAACTATATATACATTATGCAGAATAATTGCGAGCAAGTGGACACTTGTGCTTGAGTAACTTGATTTTGATCGAGTGGCTATTGTCGCTGTTGGAGAATGCTCTTGGAACAAAACGACGTTAAAAGATCTCAGCGGAAAAGGGAGAGTAAGGATGGGAGGAAGAAAACGAAAAAGATAAAGAAGAAGAATAAGATGAAGAAATAGAGTAAGAAAAGTTAAAAGAAATGTAAAAATATTTAAAAATATAAAAAGTGGTTAAGGAGAGAGTAGACAGGAAGAGTAAGAGAGATGTCAAGGAGAGGGTGAATGTTCATCTCCCTCATAGTTGGTTGCACATAACCAGGGGATGAGAAATGAGAATTGTGCCAAAAATAACAGCCTTGTCCCACATCTCTTAACGCATATACGTATCCGAAAAGAGTGTAAAGATAAATAGTATTGAAAATAATAAATAAATTTAAGATGATTCTCAGTATTTTCGAAACAATATAATAACTGTTGTTTAAAGTGTATACTCGTCAGCTCTCTTACATTCTGTTATTCACTAAATCGATTTTTATATTCACACACTCTTGCTCACTTTTCTATTCTCTCTTTCTGGCTTTTAAAGAGACATAAGTAATACAAGACCAGAAGAATTGATGTTTCGCGATAGACCTCTTCTATTCGGTGTGTGTATGAATGTGCTCAGTTATCAATAAGCTGCGATTTCACCTCGGAAAAATTTAATACCAACCAAACTTTTATACTTTTTTTTTTATTCTTCTTTTCTTCTTTCCTCATTATTCGTCCCAAGCTATATTATACATTCACACAAATACATATTACATTATCTGTCAAAGCTGTGAAGAATCTATTTAGCTGAAAAATATTCAAACAGATTTATCTTATTTCCATTAAAATTTAATTTTGTTTTGATTGTAATGTATACAATGAGTTAATGAGTAATAAATAAGAAAATAAACAATAAACCATTAATTAACATAAACGCAGACGTTGACGTTGACGTATTGCGTGTGCCACTGTTTTTATACAAGGTCGGCTTAAATAACAGTCTTGTTTATTTTAAAGAAAATAAATAAAAAATTACCTGAAAGTCACAGTGGATAATTTCAGCGTCATCAAGCAGTCGAATAGTGGCACGATGTACCACCGTAACGTCGTTCTTGCTGCCGAATTTCAACATTTCTGATCTCAGATCGCCACCTGAATTATCCTCCCGGCCTTCATCCCTTACACCCCCACAGCACCACACACTTAACGTTATTTAAACAAATTATTTTAAAATAATTGCAGCAATTTTCTTGCTGCTGCTATTTCTTCTCTTCTGCTGCTAATTATTATTTTTTTTTTAATTATAATTATAATAATAATAACAAGAAAAATAAATACTACTACTTAAGATAATAGGCCCGCTGAGGAGAACTCTCTGACAATGACAGAGAGAGAGTTCCTCAACGGGGACACGCGACCGGGCCACTGTTTCTCTCTGAAGCCGCGGGTATCGACTATCGACGAGACTACGGGTCGTGAGTATGAGCAAAGTCGACGAGGCATAGCCGAGTAAACTCGTATAACGGCTTTTTTTTATTTTTCTTCCCTTTTTTTTTTATATTTGTTGTTTATTTTTAATAAATCGCTAATTGTTATCAATTTATCGGATACGTGTCACCCCGACACGCTCTATCTCTTCTTTGACATTTCAGAGCATTATAACCTTACGGTTTGTCTTTATTTTTATTTTAAATTACTCATCTGCTGGTTGTTTTTTTTTTCTACTTAATTTTTCAGCAATACTCATTTATTTATTATTTTTTTAGTTTTATAACATACAAAACTACTTGTGACGGAGAAGAGAAACACCGCTTCACTACTATATAAAGTGTTGTACGCTGATGCTTGTCAGACTCTACGCGCCGCCGCGGGCTTTGAATTCACCCACGCATGCGTAAGTTTGCGCATGCTCGCTTTTAACTTCTTAAATTAAAAAAGCGGGAAATTTTAAAATTTCAAAAATTTAATTTTTTTAATCTGTCATTTATTTAGTTTTTATTTTTATTATTAAAGATTAATTAATGATAATTAATAAATAAACAATATTTTATTGATTATTTTTAATTAAATTTCATGAAAATTTCTAACTTTTTCACAGGAAGTAAATTTATTTGAATTTACTTACTGTGTGAAGATAAGACACCGACAAACAGTAGAGATAATAAATTTCCTTTTGTTTTATTGAAACTGCAAATTACACATGATAATTCAGTCGCTGATGAAGATTGGCTGAGACAAATCCGAATTGGAAGGGATAAACAAAAACTTATGAGTGGTGGGGAATCAGCCGGGAGCGTTGAACAAAGGTCGTTTGCGTGATGAGAAGAGCCGGCGAGTTAGACGGTACCAGATACTCACCAGATCAACATCAACAAGTATTAGTCGTACATCAAATACCGTAATCCAGATCACATCTTGTGGAAGTTTAATAATACAAACTATTACAGGCAGAGTGGCGGCGTTATTTGTGATATCATGGCAGCGGCTACCAGCGTTGTCGTACTCGATCGAGGCAACAATACCACCTGCACGATTAATTTACACGGTGTGTTGTGTTTGTGTTTTTATTTAAACTCATTTTTTGACAGTAACAAATTTTTAACTTTTTTCATTTATCATCTTCATGTTATAAAAAATATATTTATACTTTTCCGGGTGTGTTTCAGTGAAGGCTGTCCAGTTATACTTAATTAAATTTTTTTTAATCATTAAAGTCCGTCTCACCGACCTCTAACTCTTTTGCTCTCTCATCGTTTTTTTTTAAGCTTTTTTTTTACCAGTTCATAATGTCATTGAAGTTATAATTGTTAACACATAAATTTTATCTATATTTATGACTTGTAATTTATATATTTTATTATTCTTAAATACTTTTTTCACACATATATATATATATATATATATTGCTTTAAAGTCTTTAATTACTTTGTTATTATATCTGCAGACGGAGTGATAAAATTGAGCGCGGGATTTTCGCTACCACGTGGATTCACCGTGATATCGCGGTGTTACAAACTCCGCGTATTTTTTTACCTCACTTTAAAATGTAAAAAGTTCTGCATTTTTTTAATTCTAACTCAATAACATATTTACAAAAAAAAAAATGTCATAAAAAGTGATGGACAATTTTTTTGAGTTAATCAATAATCTGGTATTTAAATTAATAAATCGTATGACAGTATTATACAATCTTTGAGAACGGAAATCTAAATAAATATGTATGTATAATTAAAATATATTCTTCACTAATGTAAATTAAATTTTTTATTCCTAGGAGCCACAGTAGTTTCTTGGAGGGTTAACAATCAAGAACAGCTGTTTGTTAGGTAAGTTTTTAAATAATTTATTCATAAATATTTATCGTAAATATTAGTAAGCGTACTAATAATGTTATTTAGCAAGTTAGTGTTAACAAAAATAAAATATAATAGATAATATATAATGTAATAATTTATATTAGATGAAATAAGTGAGTTAGGAATTTTATCGGCAACCTGCTGGATACAGAGAGAAAGAGTGAAGAAAAAAGAAGGGGTAAAAAAAAGACGAAAAAAGTATCCAGGAAAAGCTTACACACTCCAGGACGAGTGTAGAAGGGTAGCGCGAGAACTACCTCAGAAGAAAAAACTAACGGGAGAAACGAGAAACGGCATCAACTCAACATCAGCATCAAGAGTGGTGGTAAGGATGTGATATGTGTTCACTAACGGCTGCCTTTCATCTGTATAGACATTACACATATCTCAGCAAGTAAAACGAATGGTATAAGTAGACACTACACGTTGGCATTTTATTCCCATACTTATTTTTATATATATATATATTTATACCGATACCAAAACTAATATATATGTATACGTATATTATAAACACACATGGGGCATCATCATCCGTATCCATCGCTCCCCCTGTTGCTGCTCTTCAAACAATGCGACGATCAGAAATGCAGAAATTTTTTGTTATTACCATTACAATTCAACAGTAAATGTATATATTATACAAAAAAAGTGAGGGCTGTTGCAAATAACAATAATAATTTATTCACAAACTCTTTTTCAAGTCAAATTTTAAACGAATTTGAAGTATTATATACGGATTTACTATGTATGGTTATTTGTAAATCATTAAGGATATATATATTATTGTTATTATTATTTTTAAGAGGTAATATTTATATTATTCGGTAAGGTTGTCTCTTGGACGCAATTACTAGTGATCCATTTGTTTTTTCAGACCTTAAGAGACGGACTAAAACCAGCGATTTATCTTGAACGGGAAAAAATAAATGGAAAGGAATGAAAAAGTATTATGTATAAGGGGAATGGCATGTAAAAGCAGAAGAAGACGAATAAGAGGATGATGAAAGTGGTGAAAGAGTTTCTGTAGCTTCTGAAGAAAGGTCTTATGTTCTGACGATTGATTGGATAATCCAAAAGTTTAATCGTGAATTTCTAAGGATAAATGAAAGTTTTAACACTTAAGGAAAATTTTTCATTGGATTGAAAGAAGCAACTCAATCCAAGTGATGAACGGGAATTAACGTGACTCAGTATGTAGCATTCGATAAAATGGGTAGAACAGAATTGGAGAAGAGGACGAAGAAGAAGAAGTTGATGAATTTGGTGGTTTGGTTCACTAGCGAGCAGGCCATCAGAGAGTTAGAAGAGGATGTTGCATGTGTGTACGTGTATCTACGAATACATTCTGAAATCCGTGAAGGGAGGAGGGAGGGACAAGGGGGTGGCACTGAAGTAGAGAGCAAGGAAACAAGAAAGCAAGAGAAACAGAGTGAGTGAGATCGAGCACTAATGATGCAGCAGCAGCAGCGCCTGGCGTCGTCGTCGTCGTCGTCGTCCCTGGTTTTTGTCGTCGTTATTCTCTTTCTCACTTACTCTCCCTCTGTATCTGGTTGTTCTTCTTGTCTCTTCAGCTTACTTGTCGGACCGTAGAATTTGCACAGACGATTTTCCAGATGAATTTCCAACTTTAAATTGTTACGACAGCCACGACACAACAAAATTAACAAATCAACTTAATTTTTTGATAACTTTACTTCAAATCATTAATGGTGTTCTCGCTTTTGCCACTTTAATTCATTGGTACTTAGCGTAAAATATGAACATTCAATTGGACTGGATTGTTTTATAATTTATTATTTGTAACTTTAATTATAATTTTGTTTTATGGAATTAGTTTGAAGGAATGGAATATATATTATCCTTGGAGAGGTGCGTTGGCCGGGTACGAGAGAGAAGAAATATATATACATATATATATAAGTGTATAAAAAAAAAAGGGGGAACTTCTGGTGAGTTCTGCAGTTGAAAGGGAATGTTGTAGAATGCCGGCAAAAAGCGTTCAGCCACTGAGATCATTAGTCTACGGTCTTGAGCTTATAACCAACAACGTTCTACTATACGATGTGGTGGTATACCGGGTGGTGAGACACCATCCAATGTTGGTGATGTCTCTTGTATTGGTATCCTGGCTTTTAGAAGCTCAAATGCTGCATCAATCGTTCCAACATTATTTTTACCGTATCGATAAATTGGAAATCTTAGAAGATTTTTAAAATTGAGAAACACGTGGAATACATGTGGACCCATTAACTACCAGCTTGTACCACATGTTTCATTTATTATGGGGCTATAAATACATCCCCATAATACGTAGATATATATATATATAATTAAAAGAGTGGTTTGTAAGTTGATATTAACATCAATTTAGATCTTAAAATTGAAGCTTATCATTATCAGCAAAGATAATGTGATGATTCATGGTTTGAGCAAAAAGTGCTCGGGTGTTTTCGCGCTCATTTGGTCAATCTCTCACGATCAAGCTTGAGTGTGTATCTCAAGTTGCTGTCGTACGATGGTGTGGCAAAGAGTACAGCCTAGCGGATGGATGATGTTCTCTTTGTGTGTTGAGAGGAAAATAAATGCGTTGACCCCGTATGGTATAGTACTATGTGAGAAATGCCAGCGAGTAGTAATATATTTAAAGAAAAGAAAGAAGATATTCTGTTGAATGATATGAAAGGAAAAGAAAAAGAAAGAGAAAGCGAAAGCGAAACCGAAAGATAAAGGAGGATGATGATGATGATGATGAAGATTGGATGAGGAATTGTTCAGATGAAGGCAGTAGTATTATGTTAGACAGTCAGAGAAATACTTGGTTGTACTTGACTGCGATAACAGCTAATGAGGTGATTACAAGTGCCTGATGCTGTTACTGAAACCGCTGGCTTAGTTGTGGTACTCTCTTTAGCGCACCAAAGTCGCTAAAGTGGATTTATAAGAGTGGGCTGAGAATCTGTCGGATTCCTTAGCAGTGATGTGATGCTTTTGATTCAAGTCTTTTACGGATTTTCATAGATCCATTAAATTATATTATTAGTACAATTGCCACTTATCATGTAATTTATTAAGTATACAATGGATTTAATTTATTTTTGTTATTTATTATTAAACAATGATAATGATAACCGTTTTTATTGCAGTTAAGTGTAATCCGTTCTGGCAAATGAAGAGTATAAGAGTGGACGAGCTGGAAGAGTCAGTCTGTCGACGAGCTACAAAAGATATATAAATAAAGGGTACACGTCGAGGCATTGTTTCTTGCTAACTTTGGTTAAACAAAGTTTCGCGGTGACTTCGGCGGCAGGGTGAAAAGCAAAGGGAATCAGCGTGAGGGCGTATCGTCCACGGGGACAAGAGATGATGAAGGGAAAAAGGGATGATAGTATATGTATACATCTACGTATAAATTTATATATATATATTGGAGTATGAGCAAGAAGAGAGGGAGAAAATTCAAGCCCGGTAGAGCAGCAGCCAGCCCGGCTAATCGCAAAAACCGCTGGCTTTGCTCTACACTCGCGCTTCAAACAGGCTACTCGCAAGTACTACCTACCGGGTGGCTGTCTACAACACTTACAACACGTGGTCTCTTCGTTCCAATTATTCAAAATAACTTACGCTTAATTTTAATAACATTCTCTTTAATACGCTCAAGTAGAATTTTTATATAATATCTACTGAGATAAAGTCTACTTTCGAAGATCTGAATTGATATTGAGTAACAATAATTAATTAACTTTTTTCTATCTTGCAGTAACCGCAACTGATGATAAAAGTTAAGTAAAGTAAAATAAAAAGTATCTGTAAGGCTGAGGCTGAGTGATCTCGAGGTCGGTGCCAATCAACCGGAGATCCGGTGTGATTTTCATTGGTTAATCACAAGAAGAAAAGACTGATGTCGATATCCTCAATGGTCTTTTATACTTTACTGGCAAGAGTGACGAGAAAGATTGAGTTAAGGTAGTCAGTAGCCGTGAAATCAGAGCATGATAAAAAATAAAAAAAAATAATGAAGAAAAGAATTATTTTTCTGTGGGAATTTAGAATTTTTTTTTTCTTTTTTTTTTTTTTTTATACTCATTGAAAAAACATGGTCGCCGTTCACTCGAAGCGAAACAACGGGGGACAAGACACAGAAGAGACTAGAAGAGCGAGCAGAAAGAGTATCTAGGTATAGGGTAGATTTATCCCGATGAATCTGCGGAATTGGGATATTGGCGTTGTACAAGTAACGTGTAACCGTGGGGCTACAAGCGATTGTCGAGAAGCGTATAGTTAAACCGTACACAGAGAATACACGGTGAGCATCGGAGGACAGAGGCTGAAGGATAGAAGATGATAGATAGAGAAGAAAAGTTTAGTAGTGCGGAGCCAGAGTAGAGAAGCAAAGCAGAGTGGCAGAAGAACTGAGTAGTTAGTATGGTGGAGGAGAAAGGAGCAAGGGAGGAGGTTGGGAACTGCGATGCCCACAAAAAGCACACCAGACAGCGGCGATCGTTTTTGTTGGGCGTCAGCCGCGTTCTCTACTACCATCACCACCGCCTGCAGCTTTGCGCTACATCGCTCCCCTATACACTACTCTTCTCTACGTGCAAACCTTTTGCCCGTTCCACTCCCTGGTATATATGCTGGCTGGATCTCTTCTTCGTCTTCTAGTATCCTTCCATTCGCCTACTTCTTGCTTCTGGTTCTTCATCGTGTTTGTACTCACCGAGTACCAGAGAGACCGCCTTCACTTCTTATTCGTATTCTCTTATATTTGTCTCTCGCTCCTCGCTCATCCCGTGGGATCTGATCCTACTACAGAAGATCGATCGTCGGGATTAGCTAAAGTTCCTCCTCTGATTTAGATCGCTCCCATCAAATCCGGTCATGTCCTTGCTCAAGTTTTTACAATCGCTCGAGATAAATCAAAATAAATCATCCGATTCAAGTTGAGACAATTCATCGAATCATCAGTTGATGATACATTAAATTATAAAAAATTTTTTACTATTAATTAGCATAGTTTTTATTTTAAATTAACGATCATTGTCTGGATACTTTATTTCTTCATTGAAACTGATACCCGGGGCTAATGACACGAATATAATTTTAAATAGGGGCTGGAGAAATTCAGAAAAGAAGAGAAGACTCGAGTTGAGTTGGTAATATGTAAATTAGCAAGTAAAGTTTTTCCATGAGTTTGTGATAGAAAATACATGGACGAGTAAAGTCAGAGTGGATCGAATTTCCCTCTCGGACACAACCATTCTACCGTGAAATTCTTCTTCTACTCTTGCTGGTGTAAATTAGTTGGTCACCAAGAGTTGTAGAGCACCCGTCCTGCATCTGGTGTATATTTAACGTCAAGTAATAATAAATGAGTCCGAGTTGAGTGCAAGAAATAAAAAGGAATTTTTTTAAATGAAACCAACTGAAAAAATTATTAAGTTTATGGTACTCAACAAAACTATATATTGGATATTGCATCTTGTTGTAACAATATAATTCAGAGATTAATAATACAGTAATAGTAAGATAAAAAAATAATATTAGATGGAACGTCGATGATTATACTATTCAGACATATTTACTGAGAAGCATTAGTCACGTTTGTTTTCTTGTGTTACAGTAAGCAAGCGGTGTTCGACGGGAAGAAGGCCATTAGAGGTGGAATTCCATTTGTCTTTCGTAAGTATATTGAGGAAGCGAACCGAGACACGCAATATCACAATATCTCTTTATCCAAAAAATATAACAAAAGTTCAACTATTCATGAGTAGCATAATTGATTGGCTAATTATCATAAATTATTTTATTTTTGTTTTTTTATTTCAGCTCAATTTGGAGCGTGGTCATTTGGGCCAGGACATGGATTTGCCAGGATCATACGTTGGAATGTGGAAAAATCACCTGAAAGATTGCCGAGCGGTGATGTAGAAGCGATATTTTCAATAATGGACAACGAATTCACTCGTTCTATGTGGAACTATCCATTTCGATTAACTTACAGGCTAATTTTACGTGAAAAAGAGCTTCATTTCAACATTGGTGTTTACAATCCTAGTAAAGAGCACACTTTCAGTTTCAATTTACTTTTGCACACATACTTTAAGGTTCCTGATGTCAGAAGGTGTCAAATTACTGGTCTTCACGGGTGTACTTTCATCGACAAGGTATTTATTACACTTAGGAGGTATTGATCTACTTACCTAGCTATTATATTATGTCTGTATATTTTACTCATGCTTTATTTATAGACGAGGGATAATCAAATTTTTCAAGAGGGTCTGGACGTTGTTACCGTGCGCGAATGGACTGACAGAATTTATCAAAACACTCAACCCGAGCATATAATAACAAATGTTGTGTCAGGGCGAAAAATGCGCGTTCAAAAGTACAACTTTCCCGATACAGTTATTTGGAATCCGTGGCAAGAAAAAGCACGAGACATTCCAGATTTTGGCGACGACGAATTTCCTAATATGATTTGCGTTGAAAGTGGACATGTCAGTAGCCCAGTTATACTGTTGCCAGGAACTGCTTTTGAGGCTAGTCAAATCCTTCAGGTGACTATTATTATTTACAATTAAACAGAAAATAAAAATTTTTATATTGATTATTAAAAAATTTCTGTTTAATAATGATAAATTAATTTATTATTATTAAATTTAAAAGGTCATGTGAGTAGAGGGTGGAGTATCATCGAGCCAAGTGCCGTCAAATAATGTCGTGACATCGGATCACTTTCTTCCTGCATCGGGTACTTTATCACCAGCGCGTCCACGCGCAACTGTTGGCTGGCCGGCCAGTCCACCGAATTGGCTCTATGTACAATCTCCAATGCAGACACCCACGACACCTAATCATCATCATCACCATCACCACCACCATCACCATCCGTCGCATCATTATGCTAATTGTATAACACAGTCCTGTTCAATTTGTTCTCTCAATCTGTAGATTTTTTTTTGCTGGTAACAGACCCAGCATATCAATCAATCAATTCTTATCAACTTAGATTTATTTTAAATATATATATTTTTATTTCTCTAACTTTTAGACTTGCGATGTTAAATAACGCAATATATCAGGGCAGCAAACATTCCTAATAGCTTATTCCTTGGGAGTTGTCTCAAGATGACTGGTGATTTTTCATATTATTATATTTACTTTTATCCCGTTGACGTTACAGTTAAAGCAATGGTGCTATGAATATAATAAGTGACATTGTAGACTTAGATATTTTTTAAAATCTTTTAATTAATCAGCCCATCGACTAAAATCGCTGGGTCTGTTTTGTTTCTATTATAATTATTATTTTTATTAGTATAATTATAATAAATTATGTTTTTTTTTTTCTTTTTTTTTTTTTTTTTTTTTTCTTTCATGTATATGTACCGTTACAGTGCATTGACATGCGAATCACAAGCAATAGTTAATTTTAAATACTGTGTAGATTTACTCAGCTTTTATATTTAATATTTTCAGATAATTGACTGTCAAGAGCTAGTAATTAGCTCATCTCCTCATTGCAATACAATTTAATATCAATGATCGTTTGCTTGCATTAACGTATTAATAGATTAACAACCGTTATCCAATGTTAATTACTATTACTATAATTATTATTATTATTATTATTATAAAATACATGTAATTTAAAAAAAAAAATTTTATTATTTTTTAATACTTTGTAATTGTATCGCTTTCTCATTAAATATTTAAATCTTTAGTTGTGAATGTTATTGTTAAGAATGCGATACTGATCATTAAAAAAATTAAAATGTATACGAAAAAAAAAAAAAAAAAAAAAATGCCAATCAATGAGAATGTTTAATATTACGAACAACATCGAGTTGCAGTGGCTTTTAGCGATATTAAATAATAATTGATGAAATTTTTCATTATTAAGTAATAATAATAATCAAGTTACTACTGGATAGTTTTGAAAAGTAAAATAGATTTTCAGTTATTAACAGTACGAGTAATTGTAAATAGAAAATGATTCAGACATTACTAATAAATTTTTTGGAATGCTGATGAAAATTAAAATTTATTACAGAGAATAGTTTTTGATTAATTAAGTAATGTGTAGTGATTATTTAAAGTTAATCCATGCCGATTGAAGGTATTAATATCTTTTAAAAAATCGCATTTTTTATCTTTCCCACATTTAATGATGGATATAATTTTTTAAATTCACAAGATAACTAAATCCAAGCAATAAATAAAATACAAGATAAATTACTAAATTAAAATACAGAATTAATTAATAAATACGATGGATAATAATAACAATGTGAAAAATGTACTCTCGCTAGGGAAAGTGCAATAAAAATAAATGGGAATATTTAAAATTTTTTTCATTATGTTTCTTAATATCTCCTACTTATACTAATAAATTTTCAATTTAGATACTAGGTGACTTATTAAATATCTAAGAGATTATGCTTATCATAACAATAACTTTATTATCTTAAAACTATATACAACTGTAAGGACGACATTATTTTCGACCATTAAAGTTATTAATGCTTTTATAATACAAATTTTCTATTTATCTTAAGACGTGAGCGTCAGTTGAAGTGTGAATTGTAGAAATGAATACACAATTGATGCTAATTTTTATGTGTATTAAAATATATCAAGAAAAATGACTCGAAAATAATAAATTTTAAAGATAAATACTTATTTTGGTTGACAAAACTTTTAACGATTCCAAATAATACATATAAATTAAAACATAAAGAGGTAATCTGGATTTATGATTATTAATTATTGATAGTAATATTACCATTTATACTTATTGTTATTATTAATTATTAATTTTAAATTGTAAAATATTTCACCTCTTACTTTACATTATTTTGCTTTTCTATAGCTTTTTGTAACTGTTTTTCTCTTATTCGTTCTGCATCACTGTAACAAAAAAGAATAATTTTAATCAACTACCTAATTAATATTGTTAATTTACTTAAAATATATAAATAAAAAAATTACCGTTGTTTTCGCTGCTCGAGCGTTAAACCTTTATTAGTTTCAGTCTCAGCAGCCGATTTTTTATTATTTTTCTTCATGTTTTTAGCACGAGCCAAATCACGTTGGTTTCCACCTGGAAAATTAAAATTTTATCAAGTACTTATAAATTTTATCAACTATCAATATAATTTTTATGAAAATTAAGTTAGCCGATATCTAAAAATTTTTGGAATTTTTTTTTACTGCAAAAATTATGATAAAAAAATAAAATTTAATTTGTAAAAAACTTTAAGTGCAATTTTTAAAAAATATTTTTTTTTTGTTCCAATTCAATAAGTGAAAAAAATTCAAAAAATCAAAAACCTCAGCTAACTTTTTCATTATTAATTCTGTTAAATTAAATTCAAGTTTCACTAAAGGTTAGGTAATAAAATAAATTATAAAAATCATAGACCTGAAAACTAATATCTTCTCTTAGCTCTATAATTACTTATAAAAATTACACAATTAGAAGCACATCGTCGAATTACGAAAGTATAAAACATAGTCTCGAAAATATTTATTCTCAATTTTACAATTAATATTTCGAAATCATAATAATAATATTGAAATGAAAAACCACTTAAAAAATTTTTATAAAAACAAATAGCAAATGTTATTTACAAAACAAAATTTTTACTCTCATTGCAAGCATGGTTAGCTGTGATAAAAAAATTTAACATTGAATTTATGAAATCAATAACCAATTTCAGGGAATGAAAGAAAACTATCGAGGCAAATAGTTTAAAAATATAAATAAAAAATTTAATTAACCAATTTGAATCAAACGAGCTATTGGAAAGTCGAGACATTTTTGTGTACACAGTCGTATACATTTACATCGGTCATAAATACTTAAGCCTATATATAAACATGTATAAAAATAATATTGATAATTATATTACAGAAATAAAAAATAATTGATTTTACTTACGGGTCATTTTTGTAGTCTTGACCTCCGACAAACAAGTACTTAACAAACAGACACGCTAAAAAAATAACAGCAATTCGATGTATTATTCGATGATCTTTTATTTTATATACTGAGATGCTGATTCTAGTTCCTACTCCTAGGTTCTTTGTACTTGTATTCGTAGGCTTCGACCCTTCGCACGCCGTTTATATACACTTATATATTTATAATCACATGTAAAGCAAGTTTTCATGTAATTTTACTACTTATATTTTTTCTGGCCTTAATGTTGGTCAACACGCCACCATTTTTTTACTACCGCGTAATTTTGAATTTATTTTTATTAATACCCCTAAACTTGAAATTTTTTAAAAAAATTAAATGTCAATCAATAAAAACCAAGTAAAAAATAAAATCTAATTTTTTTTAATATAATTTTTATTTTTAAGATAAATAAAATTAATATAAAGTAAAATTCAATGAAAAAATAAATTAAAAAACAAATAATGAAAAAATGATATCAATTATTTTATTGAAGGTATAAACAAAATTGTTAATTACAATTATCAATATCCTTACAATCTAACTTACATAAAGTTTTGTTTAAAAAAAATGCTGGAATGAATCCTTGTATAAGGATTATACCTCACTCAATTGAAGCACATATTTATAGATGTTATTTGTGCTATTAGAAAAATATATTTATTTATATATGTACCTAAATAAATATATAAATAAATATTTCTTCGGCATATAAATGTGAAGACGGTGAGCCACGTATCAAATTTATCATGACATATGTAATTTATGCCGAGGAAATAAAATTAATTTTTCTGTTAAAATTATTATAAAATAAACGTAAAGATAGTCAGGCTTTTTAAAGCTCATCACTTGGAGTCTTGACGGGGTTTCCTTTACGGTCATAACCCTTGAGTTTGTCAGTCGAGTGTTCGGCGATGTACTTGATGAAGTCGTTGAGCTCCCGTCCACCTTCGTACTTGACTGGCGAGCTCTTGGATTTTTTGGGTACCCAGTAGAGAGTTGGGAAGCCACGTACTTCAAACTCTGGAGGTACGTCATTGGCGGTAGCGTCCATCTTGGCGATGACAACGTTTTCTTTGGCCAACTTCTCACCCAATTCATCGTAAATTGGAGTAAGTTTCTGGCAATGTCCACACCAGGGTGCGTAGAACTCAATGAGAACATCAGCATCTGGTTTGGTAACAACTTCCTCGAAGTTCTTGGCAACCACAACCTTAACGGGGCCAGAGTTATCTTCTGGGACGGGTTCGGATTTGATGAACGGTTCCAAGTTCTTTTCTTCAAAGTCTTTAACGAATTTCTGGAAGTTCTCGACGCTGAATTCGTCCTTGAGGACGTATTTAAGACCCTTGTCGTCGCGTGCGAATACGACTGGCTTTTCGGATTTGGTGAACTCAACTCCAAAGTCATTGAGCTCGTGTTGGAAGTCATCTTTGTTTGAGATAGCAAAGTTGAATTCGGGGAACTCTTTGGCGACCTTCATGATTCTGTTACGCCAGTAGTTGGTTCCCTTGGGATTCTTAACGTAGTCAACAGAGTAGAAAGCAACAACCAGTGGGTTCTCGAATGACGCAGCGTTGTCACGAGTACGTACGCCGACCAAACCGAAGTAGTTCTTGGTGACAAAGTCGTTGACATCAGCAATTGAGTCGCCTCCGTCGTGTTCAACGACACTTTCTTCGAACTTATTTTGCAAGACCTTGGGACGGTACAACTTGATGTGGTTCTTAAGTCCTTCTTTCTTCAATAGAGATTTAGCATATGAGTGAGCGAAACGCGCTTTCTCACGTAATTTCTTCGCGACAGATTGGAAGGATTTAGCAAGCTCGGATTTCTCGTCTTCGAAGTAACCGATGAAGCTAACTTCGTCAGTGTCCAAGAATGCTTTCTGGCATTCTTCACCTTTAAGTTCTTTGGAAGCTGGTCCAACTTGTCCCTATGGTGAATAAAAAATTTTTATTTTATCAATTACATAATATTTTTATGTTATAAATTATTTAAGTTTTAATTTTTTAATTAATAATTTGTTTTAAAAAAATATGTTACCTTCATATATTTGACAATTCCTTTAGCTTCACGTGGACCATTGTATTCGCTGACCATTTCACTCTTGGAGAAGATCTTCAAAGTTGGGTAACCACTGACTCCATACTTGCTACAGGTTTCTTTGCCACCCTCTGTACAGTCAACTTTAGCCAAAGTAATGGCTGGATCACTGCCTTTCAGCATCCCAGCGGCTTCAGCATACTCGGGCTTAAGACGTTTACAATGTCCGCACCTACATAAATAAATTTACCGGCATTAGCGACACGTCAAACAGCATAAATAATTAGCACGGCTAATTTAAATGGACTGTGAATAATAAATTACACATTGTAAATAAAAATAAATTTATATTCTTACCAGGGTGCGTAGAACATAACAAGTGTGTTGTCATGACGGTCTAATTCAGCGGTGAAATCACCGTCAGTGAGGTCAAGAACGTCTTCTTCAGCAGCCAAAGCTCCAAGAGCCAGGAAGCACAGAACAAACCACTTAGATAACATAATTTATTATAAAAAAACTATACCAATAATTGTAGATCGACACTACACACGTCGCCGGTTTCTCCAAATATGAAGATCTCTGTTAATTCCGACAGACTAAATAGATTTATCTCTTATCTCTGTTTTATTTATTTGGTAGCTTGTCTTAGTCTATCTTTCTCGCTCTGAATGAGACACGTTTGAAAATTAAACGACGAATCCCGATGCCAAGACGTGGCTTTTGTAAAACTTGTCACCACAGACGGATCTGTTCAGTGTTGTCGGCTTTCTATTGGTTATTATTCGAGTTTCTATGAAGCTATTACTCCAATCGTTATTACGCAGTCAGCGGTGTCGCCGCGACTGATGGCAGCCATGACACTATCAGCAAACATGGCCGAGTTAGGACGGTTGATTTGAAAATTTAGTTTTTTTGTTTAAATATATAAATTATAAAAATATAGTTATATAAGTAAAAAATAAATAATGTAATTTTATGAAAATTAATTTAACAGGCACTTAATAATTTTATAATACTAAAGTTAGCCGACGTTTTTAATTTTTTATTGTTTTTTTTTTTTTCATTTATTAAATTAGGTATTATAAAAATATTTTTAAAAAATTGCACGTGTAGTTTTTTAAATTTTTTACAAATTAATTTTTTTTTTTAATATTTTTATAATAATTTTTTCAATAAAAAAAAATTCTAAAAATTTTTAAATGTCGGCTAACTTAATTTTCATAATAAATTTAAGAATTTTGGTGAAAATAAATTATTGAAAAAAAAAATTGACATATAGAAATTAAAAATGCAATTTTTTTTAAATAATTTTTTCGAACAAATTTGTTTGTTAGAAAAAATTAAAAAATGGTCAAGTGACTGCTAACTTTAATGTCATTATAATTTTTTAAGTGAAAAAATGACTTCAGACAAGAAAAGCTTAGATTTTTGTGTTGTACCTAATTGTCACAATTATCGAAATAAATACATATCATTGCACAGATTTCCAAAAGATTTAGAACTCCAAAATTTATGGTTACGAGCTGTTAAATTAAAATCTTTTTCCTTTGCATCCCAAGTATGCAGCGATCATTTTCTTCTTAAAGATTTTTATTTACCCGGTAAATTTTTTAATATTATTTACTAATATTTTTTAATTGTATAATTTAATTTATAATTTTTGTTCTAAGGTGTCACAACAATGAGAAGACGTATAAGGTCTAAAATTGTACCCACTAAAATTTACCCAGTACCTATGAATACGAAAAAATTGCTTGCAAGCCTCTTATTCTTCGCAGAAATTTTTTTTTACTCTATTTTTATTATTTATTTTAGTACCGTTGATAAAAATCAAGTTTTGGATTTAACGGAAGCAGGTCGAAGGGATTCTGATGATCAACTTGATAGTTTAAGTCGATCGTGCTACAGCCAACCAAGTGAAGATTAAATTAGATTGGATAGGATAATCATCAAAATTAAATTTTTATTGAAAAAAAAAATTCGTCCAATTACATCAATGAAATTTCGCGCCACTACTCTGCAAGGCGTGGCTTTAGACCCTAGATTTGAGCAAGTTTGCCAACGTGAATGATGAAAATAACGAAATTGCGATTTATTATATTTTTCTGAAATTACCAGACTAGACTCTATTATTTATTTATCATCTTCATCCTCATCCTGCGGTCCATAAGTTCACAAAGGAAGGCATTGTAGGAGAGGTCATTGTTTGTGACAACAATGAAGAGATTGTGCTGTATTTGATGTTTTGTTAATTTAATTACGTCGAACAATTAATTCTATTGAAATACTGTGAGTAATTATAATATTTTAACAATTTGTTTTGTGTATTGCTTGTATATATTTCAAACTGAATCAAGTTTTTTATTTTTGTATAGTATTGTCGGATATTTTTTTACGTCGTACACAATTTATAAATATATTTTTAGATGGATGAAATTACACTATGTTTAATGACATTTTATAATATATTATTTACTAATAATAGACTATCAATTTTTACTATTATATTTCAAAAAATAATTTTTATTTTTAGAAATACCAAAAGTTGATCTCATAAATAAAATAACGATTTTTAAAAGGCACATTTTTTTTTTTTTTTTTTTTTGTAATGGAAGTTTGTAAACATTTTAGACTAGTCCATTACTAAAACTGACAGTTCTATTATACTTTAAAAATAAAAAAATGACTTGAGAGAGAAAAGTTTGTAGAATTTTATTAGCAATAAAAAATAAACATGTCACTAAACTTTTCTTACTTCTAAATAATTCAACGCGACGGAAAGTGAAGATAAATTTCTGTACAAAATACCCTTTTCAGTGAAGCTTAAGTAAGTTTAACAATTTTATGAGTTAAATAATGAATTATAAATTAGTAATTTACAAAAATTTAATCATTCACTACGCTAAATCAATTATCGACAAAATAAACAATTATTTTATCAGAATAAATCGAATTGATTAATTTCAAAGGTTTTTAATAAAAAAAATTAACAATTAATATTGAGAGAAATAAAATAAATTGATTGTATTTTTATAAAGCTCTTTATAACATTCGAATGATTTGTAATTAAAAATATGTAAATATTTCAACAGCTAATTAAATTCTGTAGATATTCAAAAATATATTATTGATGAAATAGACTCGATATTACATAAATTAAAATTTAAATTAATAACAACCGACCAAACAAGGAATAATAAATAATTTAAAAATCAAACAATGAAAATTTTCACAAATAATCAACAATAAATAAAAATTAGTCAGTATAAATAATATCATAAATTGATTTAGGTAAATGATCACTGACAAATGCTTGAAGTCTTTCTTTGCGAGTAACCGGAGTGTATCTTTTCAAGGGGAAAGTTTTGGTAGTTCCATCAACTAAAGCTCTCATAACTCGAGTTAAGTCAGCTTCTGGTCCTTTAGTGTATTTTTCAAGTGACAACATCTCCTTCTGGAACAATTCCTCCCCGTACTCTTTGCGTGTTTGCGGTTCCAACTGTACCCACATGTCTCGAGCTTGATTTAGAAGGGCAGAATTGTCTTTTAACCATGAGTTACCGGCAACATATTCACCTGTCTCGACAACAACTACATCCACGCCCCATCTGCGCATTTCCAGTCTCAAACACGAACCCCATGCTTCTAATGCAGCCTATGTATACAAATTAATTCATTAATTAATCAGCGGATCGATTTATTTCCACCTACTGGGTAGTGAATACAGTCACTGCATTACTAAATGTTTTATCTACTCGTAAATGGATATAATTATTTGATAAACATTACTTACTCCATTGGCACATTGCACGCCTCGAATTGCGCTTGGTATTCGAGCTAAAATACTAGTAACTAAAATAATTCGTCCTTTACAACGTCTAATTAAAGGTAAAAAGACCTAAAAATTAAAATGAAAAATTTTTTCATTAATAACTTAATTAATAATTTTCTTAATAATATTGTTTATTTATTAATTTTTTAATTTTTTCTCGGCATCGCCAAATAAATTCATTATTTTTGTTTAATTTTCAAGCCAAAATTTCAGAATTTAAAAATTTATAATTTATATATTATAATTTAAGAAATATATTAACTGTTGTGTAATTCCGATTGGCGTTAAAATGAATAAATAAATAAATAAAAAACTTTTCATATTTTTTTATGATACTGAAATTAGCAGACATCTGACAATTTTTTTAATTTTTACAATCAATCAATTATTATAAAATATTTCTTTAAATTTGTACTTGAAATTTTTTTCAATTTTTACATGTGTATTTTTTTTGCTAAATATTTTTCATTATAATTTAATTGTTATAAAAATTAAATAAATTTTTAGATGTCTGTTAAATCCAGTATTATATTCTTTTTCTATTTTAGGTTTATTTTAATAATATATAAAGCATACATACTTGAGTTAATCGTGCGACACTTATGAAATTCGTGTCAACGCTTTTTCGCACTACTGAAAGAGGCACCCATTCACATTCACCGAGAGTAATCCAAGCGTTTGCATGTATTAATGCCCATAATCCTTAAATGAGTTAAATAAATAATAAGTAACAAGTTTTATAATTCATCTCGTTATCAAAGACATTATTTCACCATAATGTCAAGATATTATAAATTCATCTTAATTAATTATTCAATTTAATAATTTCAAATAAGCTTCTATCTCTTCTTCTGATTAACTCTATTTTCGCTGACAGATATATATTTTTTGCTGAATTTCATTTTAATATTTTAGTTAGAAATAAAAATGAGCAAGGTATGCAGTTTTAGATTTAAATATATTTGTTTAATTATCAACAAAACTAATTAGAAAAAAAAAAATTCTTCGTATAATGAAGATATAAATCAATTAAAAAATATACAAAGCTGATTTAGTAAAAGAACTTAACTTCCAAACTGACGTTTAATTAACGTCAACTAAAAATCTCGAGTATTGATAATTAAAAGTTTAAATGGGATTTATTTAACTTTCAAATGCCAATTTTTATTTTATTCCAGTTATAGCTAACTTATATTAGTAATTTAAAATATTTAGCGAAGTAGTTGTTAAGAGTTAGTTATTTCGCGTTACTAAAGTCAAAAGGGCGTATCTTAAAATGTAAGCCCTTTAGGTTTTGCAGAACCAGAAAGGCGTAGAAAAAAATTTTTTCTCCAAATTAGGGAATGTATAAAAAATAAAAATCTTGTTGAAAAACGAAAAAAAAATTTTTTTTTCGACATACGCCCTTTTGACTTTAAGAAAAAAAAATTTTGATCGAATGAAAAAATGATTTTTGAAAATTGAACTGAAAATACTATCACAGCCAAGTTTTTTGAAATTGTCAATTTATGTTAGATCTTAAAAAATTTTATTTTAATTTTTTTCAGTAAATTTTGATAAAATACAAAAAATTGAAAATTAAAAAAATTGGGATGTGTTAATGTTTTCAGTCTTAATTCCAAAAATCAATTTTTCCTTAAATCTCGACGTTTTAACGTCCTTAGAAGCTATTAAGCTACTTTGACTATTTTTTCATATATGCCCTTTTAATTTAAAAATTTTTTTTCTTAAAGTCAAAAAAGCGTATGTCGACAAAAAAATTTTTTTGCGTTTTTCAACAAGATTTTTACTTTTATACATTCTCTAGTTGGGAGAAAAATTTTTTTTATACGTAATTTGTTAATAAATACCTGGAGCACCATCGGGTAAATTTTCGTTAACGTAAAGAAAAGCAGAATGTATGTCATGTTCATTAGTTATATCTAATTGTAATGCATGCAATCTGCCAGAGGTATCTTTTTTTAAATTATCAACTTTATCTTCATTATCAAACTTGTTTGTAAATCCAGCAAACACAGTGAAACCCTGAAGCAGATAAAATAATAGATGAATTTAATTTTTAATTATAAAATGTAGTAAATAGTTAATTGGAATACTCACTAATTCATCGAGCCTTTTCGCCAAAGCACATCCAACTCTCGAGTCACATCCCGTAACAAGGACAGCTTTACCAGGTGCAGTCACCTGAGAGACAGTTCAATTAATATTTATTCTAGCTTTTATCTTGTGTTCTAAAGATCCATTATATTCATTCCCCAGCGGACTCGTAATGTAAAGGTCAGAGGGTACCGGTTATTTTATTATTAAATTTATGGATTTAAACTTTTTTAGTTCTTTTATAACGTAACTGTATTGTCATTGAACTAGTGTAGCTTGACATTGAGAATTTTAAATAATTTTATTTTAGTATTTTTTAGGTCGCTGTTATTATGGTCTTACCTTGAGGTTGTGATAGAAGAGCGTGAAACCTATGGACAATGATAAAAAAAGAAGAAATAGCACGAAACTTGAAGTTTGAGATATGCCCAAAGTATTTAGAACAGTAGAAATAATAACTGCTACCGCATGGGAAAAAGCTACTGGTAGAAGACATCGTTCTAATAATTCCCAAGTTTGACTATCATCTGGTTCCTCGGTCACTTTTTTAGCTGGCATTTTATTAAATAAATTATTTATTTATTTATATTTCGATTTAGGTCGTTATTATGTAAATAATTAATAATTATGTCGTTGAAAGGAGAATTTTCAGCTAGTCAAAATTATAACTTGATCACAGCAATAGCTGAGCTAACTTTAAACTGGAAATAGTTTCTCATTTTAATACTCAACTAAAAATAAGTCGCAGGGCTGCGTCTTTAAATTTTGTATCCCTTGTTTTTATTTTCAATTTATTTTTATTTTTATTTTTATTTTTTTTTTTTTAATTTAAAAACTAATTTTGCAGTCCTGCTTTTTAAACTTTTCAAATAAACTCCAGTTTATTTTATCAAACTAATAAAATAAAATGATTATTTTTTATTAGCAATAAACAAATAAAATAATCAATAAACAGTATCAGTAAATTCAAACTCAAAAACAAAAAGATTTAATTAATTGAATAGTAATCGTAAACATAAACATAGACATAATAAATATCCGCAAGACAAAATCAATATTTTGCATATTAAACGTTTATTAATTTATTATTATTCCGCGCATTGAAATAATTAATTAAATAGAAAACACAAACCAGTACATAATTAACTGCAGGGTCAATTGAACTCAGCGTGAGGTAGGCAGCTGTCAATGTCATCATTGGAATGCGGCTGGGTCAAAAATTCGTGTAAGTTCAACTTCTAAGAGTTGTCGAGATCAGAGACCATTGCGCTCTATAAATGAAAGAGCCTAAGTAGAAAAAAAAAAAAAAAAAAAGGTTCGAGGAGAAAAAGGGTGAAGGAACTAGAAAGGGGAAGAAATGAACGTGGAAGGAACGAGAGAGGATAGAAGCGAATAGAAGTTGAGTCGTGGATCGGAAAGAGTGGAGTTGGTTGAGGTAAAGGGGTGGTTTGAGGGTGAGGTTATTGATTCGGTGGATGTAGTCGGTATATATTTAAGAGTGGGGGTGAGTTGGGTTTGTCACATGACTGTATGTATACAACAGCAGTCTACGTTCGCTATAAATAGGAAGGGTGGTTGCACCATTGACCCAGTGCTGGTTGGATTACCGTGGTGGGTGGTCGGTGGTGTTCTCTTTGTACGCCTTAGAACTTTCACACTCAATCCTAAACTTTATTTCTTCTATTGTATTATTTGTCAACAATCTTGAATCAAATTTATCAGATTTTTAATTTCTGAATTGGAAAAAAAAGCTCAATTTGAAAGTGAAAAGTTTACGTAAATATGTTTTGGTTAATGCGAGTTGAAAATAAAAAATCTTATATTATTTAAGAAGCTCAAAGCCCCCTTGACACTGCCCGCACTTATATGGACCTAAACCCTTACCTGCATCAAGATACCAAGTGATTCTAAATTATTGTTAAGAGACATAAAATAGCTTACTAATATTAATAAGTAGTTTTAAAACTAATATTCTCGATCAAAAAAGGTGTATACGTTTGTGCCTAATCCGGTATTTAGTACAAAAGATCCGTAATGAGCAGTTGAAAACTTAAAAACACAGTTTGTTGAGTGTGTTAAAGTTATCTATCAGTTTTTGAGTTATTGTTTGTTTTATTTAAAGCCAAGATGTCTGAGGGGAATTCGGCAGTGACGACAGTGACCGGCAACCCCTACAAAATCGTCGACTGCTCCAGGGAAAAGCGAAAGGGAATAACCGCAGCTTCACTTGAAGATTTGACCAACGTCGCCAGAAGTAGATTAGCTCTGCCTACCGATGCTGACATCACAATTGTCCTGGAACAAGATGGTAATTTATTTTAATTTTATTCATCAAATATTTGCCAGAGTTTGTCAGTTCAATGATCGATTCTGGGTCAAAGTACTCGATCCATATAATAAACTCTTAAAATTAATCCTCTTAGGATGAATGATTTAGGATATTTTTATTTAGTTAAGTAAAAATTAAAATTAAATAATAAAATAATGGTTTTAGGTACGGAAGTGGATGATGAAGAGTACTTTGCAACGTTGGAAAGAAATACGAGTTTAATGGTACTCAACGGATCTGAAAAGTGGGCCGCACCCGGCAGCGCAAAGACCGCGACGTCACGTTATATTCTCGTTGATAATGTTGACAGTGCTGGACGGACTGAGGAAAGCACTACTCGCGGAAATTATCACCGGCCGATCGAACCACTTGTGTCATCATTGCACAATGATCCAACACACATTTCTCTACTGGGTGGCAACGACCTAGAATTACTCAGCGACATGAATCCCGATAGTTTGGCTGACATAGTGCCTGATCGCATGTTTCTGGAACAACTCAAGGAGGCGTCGGGCAGATTCTTGGCTGAAAAACGTCAAGCCCAAGAGTCAATGGCACTTCTCCAGATGTACGCAAGCAGCGGGGAGATGGAGCGGGCGTAGGCAATGTGGGGGGTGGGCGCCCTCACCATTGCCAGCATGTATCGTGTGCGACGTCGAATATTTTATAAAGGTCGCCAGTTTCAGCAAACTATGATTTTGTTTTGGAATTGATGCCCAAAAATTAATGTTTATAGAGAAATTATTACCATTAATCATTCATTAATACTATTTATTATTATTATTATTACGATCAATTGAATTGATCGTGGTAATAATCATCCCGATTATTGTCAAGACAAATTTATGCAAATAATTGTGTGTCTTATCTATTATTTGTGGCTATCGCGCCGAATCTGTAAGGAATTATTGTTAAAACCTCATTGTCGAGTTAGAGATAGGTACTTAGATATATTATAAATATATTAATTGTAATCTTTAATTAATTACTTAAAATAATAGGCGTATAATAGTTGTTATGGATTAATTATATTTAAATAGATAGTAATTATTTATTTGAATGTGGTTATTTGTTAGAGTAAAGATATAAGTATATATATTATATAAATTTTCTCTTGAATTGTATTCTTGAATGATCGCTATGACTCAAAGTCAAAGTGCGCGCACCCGACGGAATTGTAAAATTGAGACGCTCAATAATGACAAGACTCACTGTGTAATATTGGAGCATTTTAAATGCAAATCTAAAGTTATTAACCGTTTTATGGGAATGTTATTAAATTGTAATCGGTAATATCGATTTGTAATAGTAAGTTTACTGTAAGTAACTTTTAGAATGTTTACTTTCAAAAATTTTTATACGCTAATTTTGACATCGAGAATTTATTATTGTAATATAATAAATTTCGTTTAAAAAATAATAATAATTGTCGCTAGAATTTTTGCTGTAATTTTAAAATAACAATTAATAATTAATAGTGTTAAATTTTTTATATTAAGGCGAAAATATTGATCGTATAAAAAAATAAAAAAAAAAAATTGTCCAACATTTAATTTTAAAAAAAAAATATCTCATAATTTTTTTTTTTAGGACCAATAAAAAAAATTTAAATCATTTATTATGAATCTTAATTTTGGAATTACAGTAAAAAAATTAGTAGGATAAAAAAATTATGAGATATTTTTGTTCCATAATTCTTTTTATGTGAAAAATATTTTCGCCGTAAGATCTGACATTTAAATAATTTATTTTGAAATTTTAGCAAAACTCTTGGTCCTAATAATAATAAAGCGAAGAAATTTTTTGAAAGTAAACTCTGTATTGATTGTAATCGATAAATAAAAGTAACTGACAACCCCCTTCAGAAGAAGATTGTAAATTTAAAAAAGTAGGAAATGTATACGTCGCTTGGGTAGGTCCCTTATGACCTTGAAAGATTGGATTATTATTACCTTATTGAATCTTCATAAACAATTTAAAATAATTAAAAAAAAAAAAACATTCCGTATGTCATGGTATGTTGTTGGTTGTACGTAGATAAGAAAAAATATTTATTTTACGTTTACTAATGTGCAAGTAAAAAAAAAAAAATAATGATTTAAGACTGATTCATAGACACCACACGCACATTATATGTCATTCCCATTTAGATCACCAAATCATTGTTTGCATAAAATATTTATGATGATAATTGATAATTGAGATACAAATATAATGTATAAATTACGTATTACAATCGACACATACAATATCAGTCCTTTGATACCAAGCGAAGTAGTGCATTTGATATTATTCCATTAGTGCATCTAAATTATAAATATATAAATTACCAGGTTATTAAATAAACAGCTAAGCAAATTAATTAAACTAATTAAAAGTATGTATTCAATCGTTTCTGAACAATCTAGAGGCTTCTGATAAAGACTGTATGCTCGAATCCTGCCCTTTGCCCTTTACCGCTTAAGCCTTTTAAACTATTGTCTATTTTTCCCCTAAACGACCATTTTTTAAATTACTTCTATTATTAATAATTTAATTAGAGCACAGAAGCCTCCCTTATTAAATAAATATTTATAATTATAATGCCCACTGTGTAAAAATTAATAATTAATGGTAACGCTTATGATAAGTCGATAGAAGTTATTGTAATCTGTCCAAGAAAAAAATGTTCAGATATTAATTATTTAAAATTATGTTTTTATCTGATCATTTTTTCTTTTATTGCTGATAGTATTTTAAGAAATTAGTTAATAATTTTATTAATTAATAAATAAATAAAAAAAAAAAAGATAAAATAAAGTAAAATAATAATTAAATTGCTGCAACGGTAACTAAAATGTGAGGCTGTTAGTCAATAACTGAAATATCGAAATAGTACTGCCAATCAATTTACTTAAAGATTTAAAAATAAATAACAAAAGCCAAATGATGCTCAACTATATCGCAGGTTTGAGTTTTGCGTTTAATTATAGGAGCTAAATATACTGAATCGCAGGTGCTTGTTAATATCGTGGTTTGAAGATAAATGTAGTAAAGCTTAAATATAACTTGTGTAAATTCATAAGTACGTAGTAGCTATTTAAACAAAAGATTGCGAGTTACAAGTTAATTAATGATATTTACAGACCAACTGTCAACAATTATACCGTAAATAGAGAAGATAAACCTGCGAAGCCAAATTATGGGAGTATTTGTCCTCTCGTGATGCTCAAAAAAAAAAAAAAAATTTAATTTTAATTAGTTAATGTTTATTTTATGTATTAATAACATTTAAAAGTAACGTTGAACGTCTTTAGACGAAGTAAAACGTTTTTTGGCTAGCAGCCGATAAAATTTTATGTACATTTAATAATTAACGATCAATAATGTAGTAATTAATATACATACAGTATAAATATATATATATATTAAAAGAAAAAAGAAAAATTATGATAGTATTGAATTGTATTTAATTAATATTATTATTATTATTTATATTAATGAATGAAGTAAATAGTTATATTTTGATGGTATTTAAAAAATTAGCGTCTATTAATTGGAACAGAGCACTAGATGCTTCATTCCACCGTGCTGACGCATTTCTTAGCTGACAAGCCGCCTCCTGTACAGTCAGTTCGCTCTTAACTAGCTGTTTGTTTATACCCATGAGCTCCTGGATGCCAGCATTAATAGTACCTTCTGTCAGACTAAGTAAATCTGTTCTCAATGATTCATTACATTCGTCTGTTGGTATAAAAATAAATAATTAAATTAATATTGTAAGAGAAAATCAATTATTATTGTGATATTTTTAATTTATCATTAAATATTTAATAATTTTAATGCTAGTTTATGGATTAATATAAATTTATTATAGTCTGCTTTTAATCAATTTATTCTATGTTTTATTATAAATAAATTTATATATAGTATTGAATAGTGATGTCAGAATATACAAAAATATAAATTTAAATAAATTGTATTTGTGATTATATATTCCAGTTAATTATTAATTACTATTGTAATAAACATTTAAAGTATATTGTATTAATGTAATAATAAAATAGTTAGATAAAAAACTACTTTTTATTTAATTTATTATTTAGCAAAAAGAAATCCCTTTTATTTAATCATAATGTAATTTATTAAAATTCAATTTTTTTATTATAGAAAATTTATTTTAATTATAAAATAAAAATAGAAAACTCACGTAATTTTTTATGCAATAAACTGTTATACTTGATAGAACTTTTCTTGGTACTTGGCTTAATATCCATGTAGGGTGGACATGCTGTTGCATCAATTGCAGCGCTTACACTACTCCAACTCGCTCCATCTAAAATTATGAATTATTTATATTTATTAAATTAAATAAATAATCTGTTTATTTATTTATTCATACAATTGAATGCATTACCATCATCTGATTCAGTAGCTTCTCCAGAAATTATTTTCCCCGATGTATTTTTAATATATTTAAAAGTAAAACCCTAAAATAAATACCAATTATAAAATTGAGTAAGTTAAGTTATTTATTCTTACTTGAATAAAATTAAATATTTACTCACTATCGGAATTTCATGAGTTTCTTCATCAGATTCTGGAGCCTCTCCAGGCACTACAATAGCTTTTGTGTCCATTATTTATAATTAATCAAAAATCAACAAAGTTAATCAATAACAGCTTGGAAATTGTGTTAAAATATTTAGAATCATTAATTATATAAATTGTTTATCTCCATTTTACCGTGATACGTTGTACGACAGCTCAGCTGTCAAAATAAACTAGGTTATGTTTTTGCATGGCTGTCGTTGATAAACATGACAATAATAATCAATAAAACTTGTTTAATTTTGTACATAATAAAGAACAAAATTAATATTTTTAATTAAATAAAAAATGATATTGAAGTTAGCTGACAACTGTCAATTTTTTTAATTTTTATAAAAATCAATTAAAGTAAAAGACCCAGTTATTGACACTTGCAATTTTATTCTAAATTAATAAAAATAAAATGTTCTCAAAAAACCAATTATCTTAAAATATATATTCACTAATTTATTATAGTTAATTTATTTTTTTTCAATTAAAATAAAACTGCAAGTGTCAATAACTGGGTCTTTTACCTTACAATAAAAAAATGCTTCAAAAAATTTCTACTAACAATATTTTTTAATTTTCACATACGAAATTTTAAAAAAAAATTTTTTTCATGTTAATTTAATTGCTATAAAATTATAAAAAAAATTTCTAACTTCAGTTAACTTCAGTGTCTTAAATAAAAAATAGAATTTTATTAACATTTTTACAAAATATTTACATATAAACAAGTGGACAATAATTAATAATAACGAATCATAATAATTAATTACCCACGAAGAATATTTAACTCTTCTGGTGTAACATGCATTCTTAAATCCTTTTCACGAATAATATCCTGAATTTGCGTCAACAACTGGGGAGCAATCCCAGCAGCGTCAATATACACAGATCGTGCCCAAGGACAACTGCTGATACTCTCATGATAAACTGTCTCGCCTTTTTTCTCACACAAACCTTCTTCTCGTAGTAGCAACATGTACAGCCTCCAGACCAGTGGACAGCAGCGTATATCTGGGACCCTAAAATCATAAAAAAATAATTTATATATTATTATTTTATATTCACAGCAATAAATTTAAATTAAATGACCATCAACAAGAAATTGAAGTATTGAAGTACCTAAAAATATTGTTGTGAAAATGAACAAGTCTATTGAGCGCAGCAGTCCTTGCTGTTGAATCATTCAAACAAATTGTCGAGTACAATCGAGCACGCCCCGCTAAACATCCAGCAATTGTTGGCCACAGCCGTTGCTCATGATTGCTTACACTTCGTAAACAGATACTCCAATGTGGTAATTCGCTCTATTCAATGAACAAAAATAAATTTTATTATTTATCCAACTGTGAGTGTATATAAAAATATAAAATATCATACCTCAATGCCAGCGTAAACAGAGAGCAAATAAAAATTATCCGGATTGTCTTCAAATGCTTGTTTCAGTGATTCTTTCAGTACAGAGAACTTGTCAATTTTTAATTCAACCATCAACTGCAAAAATGATATTTTATCCTCGTAAAATCGTTCTTGAATCCAAGGGCAGTTTTTAGAAATCTCCAGACAATTGTCAAATATATTTAAAATTTCTTGATGTCCATGTTCTGTGATAAAAAGAAGATAAATGTAGCAAACGATCGCATCGCAGTGAAAAACTGGTAAAAATTCTTGGTCAACCTGATCTACGGATTCGAAATTATCAACAAAATCTTGATAGCAATTGTGTAAATATTGCTCAGTTAATTCCAAAGAACCTTCAGTCTTTCCGGTCATTGCACAGAGTACTCTAATTACTTGGCTTATATTTGATTTAAGCTCATCCCACATTCTTACATCGAGTAACACCTCTAGTAGAGTTCTGTACAAACTCATTAAAGCCGCGCGTTCGTATTGATTCGTACAAGATTCTGGATTATTTCCTTTCGTTTGGATAGCGGTTTCTAAAATATTTACACTATTACTAACACGACCCATTTCGCGCTCAATTAAAGCGTACTCTCGGTAGAAATGTAAATTATTCCGATTCTCATCCTGCTTCAGAAAGTCTTTCAAGATTCCCTTGAGCTTCTTAACACTTTTGTCGCTTTTAACAGCATCATTTTTCTGCATCCAAAGCAGCATTCTCTCGAACCTTAACCACCAGACGTAGAAACTCGTTCTTTGATGATCAGAACCAAAACTCTCGGCAATCATACGAAAGACATCGCGTACAAAGTCCAAGTACGCATCACGCGCTGGGTGATAGCGCAAATATTGCGGACCAGAGGTAAGTCCAGCGTTGAATAATCCTTTGGTCAGCAATTCTCTCTGCTGGTGGCCGGCCATCTCACCTGAGCAAGGATACAGGATCGGTATCAACGACTCGTACGACTCAAAAGTCCAATTACTCTCATCTAAACCTAATTCTTGCATAAAATTATGTCTCGTAGGCAGCAGCGGAACTTTCAAAGCTAAAAAAATGTAAACTCCCATTTTAAAATTATAATTCTTACTTAACAACGGATGAACAAACTCAGTAACATCTTCCGGCGTGATAAATCTGTTAGAGTCACCCACGAGTTCCAATTGCTCGCGACTAACGCTCGTCCAGTGGCAGTTTTCTCTCAACAACTCGACTCTTAGCCAGAGTTGATTCAGCGGCAACTGAGACGTCAAAATAACTTCCTCCATTTCAATTAATTTTTTCTCATCAATAGACCCCTTAAAATAAGCGTGCTGTTTGTCGACGTTGAGGTTCAGGTTCATATTCAGGCGCAGAGCTTCCCACATTTGCTCCCAGAGACCTCCGTGCCGAAGAAATATCAATGATTGGTACGTCATCTTGAGCAGACGTTCGTCGTAAACCTTGGGATTACTTCTTGGCCACAGGTGGAGACTTTCGAAGCACTTGCTGTACAACTTGAGGACTCTGGAAACATTGCAAAGCGATACAGACGATCTAGTAGCTGTGATAAGAGCTTGCCAGAGAACTATGTTACCCGAATCTTTGCTGATCATCTGCTCGACTCGGTCGATGTACTCATCAGTTGGCAGCAATTCATCTAAAAAGAACAATTTAGCTTTTAGTAGTTTACTACAGCCAGTATTTTTCTCCAAGGCCTTCTCTACGATCGCCAACTTTCTCGAGTATTTTAAAGAGTTGGTTTCCTTCTGACCATAAGTCGATCCGAATTCATTGTCACGGTCATCGAAATTTATATACTCAAGCCATAAATCAATGTTGTGTGGATCTTCCATCAATTGTTGGTTGAAATACTTAATCTTGGACTTCTTTTCTTCTTCTAGCTTTAAAATTTTCTCCTTCATTTCTTCAGATTCTTCCTCAGTTGCAATTTTATGTCTCTGTATTACCGTATCTGACTTAGTTTTAGACTTGGCTTCTTTTTTGGCTAAATTTTTAGCGAAGTATCTCGTACTGGTTGTCTTTTCCTTCTTCATGAGAACAAAACCTAGAGCTTTGTCGTAACGATGGTACCTAGGACGAGCGCGCGAGCATAAAGTGTCTACTTTGTAAATACACTTGCTCTTCCCTCGGTCCTCGTAGTAGAGATTTTCAACCACTGACTTATACTTGGCTGGTCTGTCTTTGTACTTATCTTTCTTGTGTTTCTTTGATTTTTTGTGCTTCTTGTGATGGCTCTTGTGCTTCGGAGAATCGACCTCCTCGACATCAGAGTCCAGGCTAATAGTTTCATGATTTTTTTCTGGTAGTTGATCGATAACTTCGCAGTCCGATGAATCTGATGATAAAATAACAATCCGCGGACCAGATACTATTTCTGGCTGAAAACTGGAGTTCGTTAACCAGCTTGCGCTCGATTCATTTATTGTTTTTGCTTCTGGAAATTCTAATGAACTCGATGGGTTGTAAATTCCGTAGGCAGGAAATAATGACATTGTCTAAAATTATAGTTTTATTTAATAATAATATCAATCGTATAATGTACGTTGGTAAAATAACCTCTACTTACCAATAATTTATATTTTTATAGATAAATTATTAATTAAATAATTATCAATTTTCACCGCTAAATATTACAAGTATTTCATAATAAATAAATATTACTACTTTGGTTAAATAATTTCAATGTAATTATTGTGGTAATGTAAAATAATAGACTAACAATAACAAAAAAAAACGTCACAACCAACTGGGTAATGTTTATTTTTGTAATTAGTGTCTCTATTACTCGCTTGGCGGCGCAGGTGAAAGTCACGCAACTCAGTTTTTAACACTTTTATTTTTCTTTACAATACAAAGAAAGCAGAAAGATGCGAGATTCGAAAGACCGGTAAAAATATTTAATCATTGAAATCAATTGTTAATTAAGGTAATTAAAATTTTAATAAGTTAATACAGTAATAATTTACGGTCTTAAACTGTTTGAAAAATAAATAGTGATTTTTAAGATTACTTTAGATCATGATTGTAGGAAATTTCGTTAATTTTTCAAACAAATAAAAACTTCGAAAAATACGCTCTTTTAGAAAATGAATAATTGAATAATTTATTGAGCAGCAGAGAATTTTTTCTAAAATTTAATTTGTTTACAAACATTTGTCAATTTTTAGGATTTCTATAACAACTAAATTATTATGAAAAAATTAATAATACTGAAGTTAACTGTCAGCAGTCAATTTTAAAAATTTTAATAACAAATCAATTACAGAAAAAAAGGTTCTAAAAATTTTCACTTACCTATAATTTTTATTAAATTTCACATGTGTAATTTCTTAATTAAATTTTTTTTAGAATAATTCAATTGCTATAAAATTCTAAAAAAATTTTTAATGTCTGTTAACTTCAGTGTCATAAAAATTAGTGATATTAAAGTTAACCGACATTCAACAATTTTAAATTTTTTTTTATTAATTAAATTAAGACTAAAATAATATTTTTAAAAAATTGCACGTGTAATTTTTCAAAACTTTTGTATGTGAAATTTTTTCTTTTAATTTTTTTTAAAATAATTTTTCAATAAAACAAATTGTAAAAATTTTTTAGATGTCGGCTAACTTAATTATCATTAAAAATTATCAT